CAGATAATCTTGGGTGAAAAGTTTTATCAAAATCTATTTGGGTAGAAGAATCTCGTTGCCATCCCATCAAACCTGCATTTCCATGACAACATACTCTCGATCAGCATTGACGTTTCATTTTCATCATGACTCCAACGCGGAAAATAATTGGACATATTCCGAGATTTTAATCAATTTTTTTTCATACAATAAAATGAGTTTGTGATTATGGAATGAATGATGACGTACAATCTGATTTGATTTCATTATAAGGTTACAAAAGTCCTACCTCTACATCTACGCAGTTTAATCATTGTATTTCAAAATTTAGTCTGAACAAAACTAGGAGACTGAATGTTATAATCTTAAAATATACAAAATGGCATGACTTCGACAATTATTATCACAATTTTGTGTTTTTATTGCTAACTTAATGTTCAAACACTGAAGTACATCAATTCTAAATTCTATGTTACACTTTTCTGATGGTCCTCTAGCACGTAAGTGACAGGAAACATTGCTTAACAATTCATGGCTTCCCTCGGTGAATGTTAACGTCTTGGAATGAAATAGCAATTTTCTAATTAGATTATCTCCCAAATGCTGCGATATTTTATAAATAAAGAGATAGATAGGCGATGTTTGCTTGCACGTTTCGTATAAATCATGTAATTACTCATTGTGTTTGGAATGACTACCTTACAAATGAGCATTTGGTTGGATCCATAGAGAATTTGAGCATCTTAACGAGGAATTCCATTACCTTTTGCATTCGTTTGACTTTACTTCTTAAAAGAGAGCTTCGTCTTCACTCTTTCAAACTTAAATAAACCTGTGAACTCACCGCCCCAATCAGTGTTCGTCGGCCAAATTTGACCGACGTTCTATATATGGTCATTCCTTCTGACATCATCGTTGAGCCCTGAATTGACCAATGACATGCGCATATTTAATTAGCACGTATTTGGTGTATGTTTCTTCAAGCTCACTGATTGTTGGAAGAAAGGTCAGCGCGTCGGTCAGAAGTGATTTATTACCCAAACTGACACCGGTACCCGTCGTGGGGGAGAGGCTACTAAACTGTAATATGGTCTCTACTAGGCAGAGTGTAGTTTAACTAGACTCTGCACGCAGGGTAGAATTCCGTTGACTTGGTTGATACCTTTTGCATTCGTTTGATTTCACTTCTTAAAAGAGAGCTTTTTCTCCACTCTTTTAGTTTACAGTGAATCTCTGATCTCACTGAGCTAATCAGAGATTGTCGTCGAAACACAGATAACGTTGTGTATTATGGTCCTTTTCTCTGATAGAGAAACACCAATGGATTGGTTGATCTTATACAGAATATAATAAATAGGCAGAAATGATAATAGAAATATATATCTAAAACAAAAAAAGTCTCAACCTAAAAAATAGTTTCAACCTAAAAAAATATATAGGTTGTTCAAAAATTAAGAAGATGACAGAGTTAATGAATGTCAAGATAAGAAACTCTATTGGGCAGTCTATCATGGCCTTAACGCATTATCTGACCATAATAAGCCATTGATGTCATCTAAATCAAACTAAAGGAATAGAAGAAAGAATTCTAAACATTACTTAAATTTACACAAGGCATTTCAAATGACAGTCCTAAGCATGCTAAGTATGATATGTCCAATATGTCTGCTATGTCACAGTTATGACCTTAGATTTTGGCTTTTGTTTGAAAACAATGATCTTAGCTGGCATAAAAATAAACAATATTTAGACTGACTTGATGATTTGACATATTGTTGATGTTGGAAAAAAATAAAAAGATAAACAACAAAAAGAAAAGTAAACATCCCTCATAGAGTAAAACTCGCCACACCATGCATGCCCTTTTTTAGGTTTAATCACTCATTTGAAACAATCTGTGACTGTAAGCATGATAACTGAGAACTCCTTTGGCATGTCTTAACCCATAACCCATGGGTCCTGTCCCCATTTAGGCTGTAACTCTTTGTTCTAAGAAGTAGTATGATGATGAACAAATTGAGGACGTTCACTGACTTCTCAAAATAATTACTCTTTAACCACAATGTTCTATTTTATTTCCTTCTCTTCAACTTGTCTTAAAGGAGGAAGGTGTTAATCATGTTTATCGTGCCCATATTGTCTTGGAAATACAATAAAAAGTGTAATAATCTTAAGTACAACTATATACAGTATATCATTGATCCCCCAGCATTGAAGCAGGTAGGTATATGTACTAGGTACTGCACCCAGTGGATATAGGGTGTTCAGATTTGTAAACTATTTTTTATACCTATCGTGGTAAGCCACGCCTTTTCCATCTCTATCCCTCTGTGAGATGCACAGTGAGAGAAGTGATTTGAACATAAAATGATTCAAACACACTTCAAGATGAAGACATTCATGAATAATTTAATACTTTGGCCAGCTTTTCAAAGTATAGTAAAACCTACACGTATGGAGCCCCAAAAATGTGTTCACTGTAGGTAGGTGTTTACCACAGAGAGGCGAATTTATAAAGAAGTCAGTGGAGTATATGCTGAGAAAGGGTGTTCACTAGACACAGGTGTTCACTAGAGAGAGATGTTCACTAAGACAGGTTTCACTATAATGGAAAAGTTACCAGAATTATTGAATTCATAGATAATGCCTTATACATCTGGGCATTCTAGTATATTCTACTATTGAGGTAATCTACCTATGTTCCTATAGATCAATGCCTACCTGGCTCCAGACAGATATAACATCTATGGGAGACTAATCATTACATTTAATGGATACATAAACATCTTATCTATTGTGATGAAATGGAAATTGCTCGCTACATTCATGCTTCACATTCCCCAGTGTATTATGTAATACAATGACAGGTTGGATTGTAGGCCATAACTGTTCAATTTTCATTAGTCGGCATTTAATGGAATATCGCAACATTGGGATTAGAGGATACATCTGTCTGGAATACACCTGCATGTTGATTTATCTAGAAGTGATATCTAATTTGGCATTAGTTGATACCAAAATATGTATAGTTGATAAACTTAATGTACACTATCAAAACTATTTCGCATGTTCTTTTTTGCTTTTTAATTAAAAAAGTAATTTTATCAAAAACTTACTTTTGGATGTCGAACATATGTCTACATTTCTACTCTGTCATTCAATTTGTTTCTATAGTTCTGCCATTCAATCCCTTATAGCTTAACTTGTATGCATTTCTCAATTACCATATCCCTATTGTTATATGGTGTCAAAACAAGACAACCCTGGATTTACCTCATATCTCTGTCATTTTAGGGAATTACTGCCCGATATTTGGCATATTTGCTTTTAATTTCATAAAATTTCCTACCGGCCTACCATATTTCATGACCATGAGACTGACAGTCACAATGTTACAATGTCGTTTTTTGACCACCCTGTACCAGTGCAGTGTATTCTTTCCCCCATATAAGAAATACCTTAACGAGGCTATAGCCTTTTTATTTTTCCATGAAGCCACTCAGTAAAATTAAGATAACTCTGCAACCTGATGTCCAATCAATATCATTCGAGTATCTATGTGTTCCTGACACGTTTGGGCATCCAGTAATGACGTCTACTCAACGTCTACTCAATGTTTGCACACGAAATTGACGTAATTCATGACTGAAATCAAGCATTTTAGGCCACCTTAATGGATCAAATTCATGATTCAAAAAGCAACCCAATAAATGACATAAAGCACTGCACTATTAGAAATTGAAAAAAGGTTTACTATGGCATCCCATGGAAAAGGAGACATGCGTGGGTAGATACGACATAAGGAAGACAATCTCCAATTCTTGCAATTAGCTTTCTCTTAAAACTATTTTGCAATTGCTTGTCAGATTTATCAAGTCTCGGAGGGAAAATGGTGTATATCAAATTAGTCCCTCATTGACGATTAACATTCATTGTTTTACAAGACATGTGATACCAATTGTACACTCACATAAGCTAATAAAATAGAGACATATAAAACATACATTATGTAAAATTCCTCTAGCCCTCATAATAAAGCGATTCCCGATTTTTGTATCTTTAGATTGGACTACATGTACGAGTACATCGCATGCCATGGGAAAAAGAGTATAATGATTGGGAATAGTGCACCATGGTACAATATTATATGCAGGGCTACCATATGCAGTGGTTGAATAAAGTGCATCATGATAAACCATGACATCTCAAATCTTCTCAGCCCATGTGAAACAGAAAGATGCCATATGAGTATCAGAATGAACAAAGTGTGCCATGCCAGAAAATAATGTGCCATGTTTAAGAATTGCCCATAAGATGTAAGATCTAATATGAGAAAAGAGCGATCAATAATCAATCTCTCCTTCATCTGTTGTCAAAAACCTTGTTTGTCCTACCCCTTCCCTCCTATGTATTTCACATAGTGATGTATCACGTCTCAGATAGGTGGGAGGGGGGGGGGGGTTGTTCAGGGGGGGATTAAAGCGAACTCCTCTGGCCAGGTCATTATGATGTGCAATGTTTTTATACATGAACATGGGGACATGAGCTACATATTGCATGATGGTACAACAAGATAGGATTTATCTGAACATCTACATCTAGACCAATTTCCTTTGAGGTCTCTCTGAAGGCTAAAAAGCATTAATCTTAGCTCTGTTGTTTGGCCTGAGGTATGGCGTATAGCATGATACTGTTACTAATGCCAGTCAAATCTCCAATGATCCTGAATTCGGCAACTAGGGAAATATCATGCGTTTCAAACCTGTCCAAGATGAAGGCCAGATATAAGTACATTAAAACCTATTTAAGTTGACACCTTTGGTACTTCTTAAAAGTGTTCTACTTGGGAGGTGTTTGACTTACAGAGGTTCACTTAAGATGAAGTCACTTGACTCTGAAGTGTTCCATTAACAGAGGTGTTCCACTCTACAGGTTTCACTGTAATGCATAGATTAATTCAAAACTATGACACAAAATATCAGTTTCGATAAAAAAGATGAATTCATTATCATTTTACTCACCAGGGTAATAATCGTTGGCTTTGGACATTTTCATTTTGGCACCAGCCTCTTTTTGGATCTGTGCGATGGTTTCACCCCCCTTTCCGATAATTGCCCCAGCTGCAATACTTGGCACAAGTACTTTAACATGTATTCCGCCATCTGAAAAAAGAATCACAATAATCAGAAATATCCTAAAAATTCATATTTCACACTTATGTACCAAGACGAGGGTGAAGGTTCTATTACCCCGTTTTGGGAAGCAGACATAACAAAATACTTTAAGGATATGTTTACAGAAATAAGCCGAATTTCAAGAGAATGACTCTAAAATTGTATCAAGTTGATAGAATGTTTGTTGATTGATGATGGCAGTTGTAACAGTACATTTCTATTTTCATTATTCATTACAGGCACCCAGGTTTGTTGAAATAACTTCTTTCAAATGTTGAAATGAGCTCAGGTTAGAAGATTGAGAGGGTTCACATTTCACACATCTCATCACCAATGCAAACCTACAAGCCCCATATGGTTCATATCGTTTTTTATCAAATGGCGAAAATATTAAATATGCGCCATAAAATCCTAAAAAGAGAGATAATCGGCTTCATAACGAGAATTGTGTTACACAAATACCACCACTGGGATAAAAATAAATAATTCACACAAGTTTTGTTGTTTATAACCTCTCGTTGAATATCATCAATTCAACTAAATATTTCTCGATTATTCATGAACAGCTGATAAATAATTTTGACTTCTAGCAGGCAGAACATTTAAAAGATAAATCGAGTTAAAGATAAATCAGCTAAAAGATAAATTGGGTAAATACTACCACTGAACTACCTACTTTAGATTGTCTAACTTTGAAAAGTTTAAACACTTGTGCTTCAAATAGGAAATGGAAACAAGAAGTTGGGTCATCCCGACCTAGTGGATCAAAATTGTACTTAGTGCTATGGCCAAAGGGGAATATTTCTCAGGTGCTTTGTTTTTTAAGTGCATGTTAGTCTTCATCGCAGACCTTTGTGAAGCATTGACCAAGGAGGTCTAACATGTCAATGTAACAGACTAACATATGTCCCACACAGATACATTTAAGATGTCACAGATGTTAAGAATACTTCACTAGAACTATGTGGTCAGACAACTCTCCTAGACACAAAGAGGGAGGTATGAGTCAACCCAACATATATTGTATCAGGTGATTTAATCCAGCCTATCACATGTGTTTGACCAGTATACACAATATCAACAATTGTGTCTCTGACAATATTCTAAAGCATCTTTTATGAACTAGTAATTATGAATCAATAATTCTTATTAGTAATCCTCAAGTTATCAACATCTTCAATTATTTTTCTTAACCCTCAGATTACTGATATCTTCAATTATGTTTCTTCACCCTCAGGCTACCAAGAAACGGGAAGTGCATGTTGAAATGATATTTATCCAAGAAAGTGGTTTATTCTATCCTTATATTCTGAGCTAAGAAGGGTATGGGGAACCTTTGTAAATCTGAAAAACTACAAATATCTCAGTAAAAAAAATCCTTTTAACAGTAGATTTCATATACCCTTCAATAATAAAAAAGCTCACCTCTACTCCTCAAATTAGATAGAGATAATGTTTGGACTTTTAAAGGTTACAAATAATAAAGCTACATTTGAGATCATGGAGACTTTATCAATCATGCATACTCCCTTCATTAACATTTTAAGTATATTTAAACTATTTATACATTTAAGTATGGAAAATAGATGTGGGGCCAGGAGGATGTAGACTTAATGCAAGAGCATATAAAAGATCATTCACAAACAGATAATTTCTTATCATTGGGTGATACTGGAGTATGAAGTTGTATATCTTTGATTATTTTTAAATGTCAAAGTTAATATCACGTTTCAAATATAACAAACATCGGCTTATTGGTTTGAAGCATTTTTAACAAAAATCTTGCATAATATGAATTTTTACACGCTAACCTTTTAAAATGTTGCATCCAAGGGTGTTCAAATAATTCCTGGATAAAATAACCATGTAGTCGTAAACAACTGAGAGATTGTTCAAAGTGTTTCATGTATCTATGACGCACATGATGCAGTTAACGCGATTTGATAACAACAAACAACTGAACTCACTGACAGTGCCAAGAGGGGAGATGGTAGATGAACACATGTACTGCTAATCCGTTATAGATGAACTTTTAACTTGCATAAAACATCATTCAATGATTTAAAAATAAAAATAAAATATGGGTTCTTGATGGAGAATCCAAGAGAAAATGAACTAACACAATCTTGACAATCAATTTCCCATATTGATAATGAATATTTGAGATTTGGTTTGCAGAAATCAAACTGGAGAAATTTTTCATTGGAAGGGAATCCCCCTAGACAACACATGATGTAATTTATCTGTTTTAAACATTACTGTTCAGCAAAATATTGATCTGAACGTAATAGATCTTGAAATCAATTTTACTTCCAGACTGGCTTCTAATGGCTTACATGCTCAATCAGCCAACGAGCACATTACCCCTTGCCCCAGAAACAATATACTTTTTATAAATTCTCAACAGAAAAATTATAAAACGTGAGATATAATGATGACATGTTGAACACTAAAAAGTCAGAATGTTTGGCCCATTTTCATCTTTTCAAACATTAATGAGTTTGTCATAAAACTAAAATATTCGCGATAGGGTTCATATTTGGAATGAACTCGGGAGTTAACAGCGAAACCTAATTCTTTCAAAGCTTCAGTAATTTACTAATATCGCATGGCACTTCAAAGGCATCAAAAAAGTTCAATTAATTATTTCCAATATCTAGAAATAAGATCTGCTTTTTGGTTTATCCATTTCTGAATTCTCTGGAGCTCTCTTATCCAGATATATCATCAAGCCACGATAACTCTTCTTCCATAAAATGGATAAAACCCTAGGGGTGATATCAAAATGTTGACAGTTATAAAACACAAATCTACTTCTGTTATGCTTAACCCCCTCCCTAAAGAAAAAATATGAAAATGTTGATTTGCATTCACATGAAAATCAGAAATGAAATCTTGATTTGCTCCCTAATGAACATCATTTTTGTACAACTATTGATATTTGGACCCCATCCCTTAGTACATGTAGGTTGAAAAATGACTGTTTTGATATCAAGCTATGAAATTAACTGTAGTAATGTTCAGGTTAGCTATCATTCCACCTATCTTGTAACTTATACATCTTGCAACTGTTTACATTTGAGGTTAAAATGTCTAGAAATGCGCACATGGTAGGCTAACCTCAATCATTATGACAAATTAATAGGCGAAAAGCAAGTGAAGAGAACAGGGTCTACTCAAATATGAAAATTAGCCGATAAAATCAAAGTTCTTTGAAAATATTAAGAAAGCTGAATGAGTTATAACTGTGATAAATCCCATGGTTAAAGGCCCAGAAGGAACTTAACATGTAAGTAATGAACACATTTGGATGCAAGATTTATACCACACGCAAACCCTATAGACAGAAAACAAATCCGTTATTGAACATTGCTTATTACCAATACCTTTTACAGATAGCAGAATACTAAATGAGTCTATAGAGACTTAAATGCCATACAATCTCCCAACTTTTTACATTGCTGACGATGCACATTTTTGCAGGAACTACTTAATCAGAAGGTTATTCACAACCAAAAGGTTAACGTGTCCTACCACATTGAATAAAGTGCATTAGAGCAAAATTACATTACACATAGATGATTATTATCAGATAGTAGATAATAAGTCCCTCTCTATTCTAAGTTATCAGCCATACCTTGTTGTTTATTAGGTATTTCCCAGTTATCAGATAGCCAGACTTGTTTGTTTAGCTTACTCCTTAATATGCAGGATACTGGTTATTTCCAAAGATATTCTGTATTTCTGCCTGGTTATTTCCAAAGGTATTCTGTATTTCTGCCTTAGATGATGCAACAGATGCAAACATATCCAATCTCATTACCCCATAATAAACATCTTTCAAATCTTATAATTTCATTTGAATCCGCGGCAACACATATCTTAATCATATCCAGTATAGGGTATGTCAAACAATTAGGAATTAAGACATTGAAGTAAAGATCAGGGAGGGGACCATAGCAGATAATTAGTAGAAGATCAGGCCCGTAGCCAGGATTTGCCAAGGGGGGGGGTCACTTTTTGAAAATTCCAGGGGGGGGGTTTCACTTATAACAATTTTGGTCCAAAAATGGCCAAAATCACTTAAAAGGTGCTGAGAATGGTGAAAAACTGCATGATTTTGAAAGATTTTTGGCCAGGGGGGGGGTTCCCTCGAACCCATCAACCCCCCCCCCTGGCTACGGGCCTGAAGATTTTTGTCTAAATGAAAAATGAAACTGATATACATGTGTATAAGACAGACAGATATAGTGTATATGATGAATGGAAAGAAAACATTTATGACTGGCAATTAACACGTGACTTCATAGGTCATCATGTAGATGAACCAGGAAGATCCTTAGGGAAATTATGACATACTCACACATGCTCTGTAACTCATGTTAATCATGTAAATATACAAATACTTTAAACATGAACAATACAGTGTCCTGTTCTATGATATGTACATAATTGTATGTACGTACCTTATTCTCTGTAATTAGCGCCCAGGGCGTTTAGAAAATTGAAAATACATTATTTAGACCATTCTAATAAGCGCCCATGTATGAAAGAAATCAGAAATCCCGAGGAATTTCATGTATGGCAATTTTTCTTGACAAGAATGCATTTTCTTCAACATATTTTTATAATAATATGACAAGTGCTGTTATTGGAGAGAATACGGTAAAGATCGCTTAGACAATATTGACAGTGGTTGAAGACCCGTCTATGTCTAATTTATTTCCGGCACGCCCACTTTGTCATTATCGCCGATTACCTTCAATATTTCCACTAGAGACTGCTGGATATCGATCTAAAGTTATACATTATTTCTAATTTGATGAGAGATCATCATTATTCGTGCAAAAGTCGTGTAAAAGTCGAGAAACATTAAAAAGAAACCAGAAAGTTCACGACCTTGACATGCGCAGAACATCTGCGCAGTAGCTTTTGAAATTTCTGAATGCCGATAAAGAACAATTCCTTCATTCATTATGGATTATTATGATTCCTCGATGTTTCTTGAACTTTGTGAAGCGGGGTGGGCGCTTATTAGAGAGTGGGCGGTAATTACAGAGAATACGGTATGTATAATTGTATCATATTAGAGCAATTACCTTAATAATGAATGGGCTTTTTTCGCCATAAATGATCTGTATAGCTTATCCTGTGATTCTTGAGAATTTTTTTGAAATATCATATGTTGCCCTTCATGCTTCTTGACTTGCCATCCTAAAACTAATATCAGTGATATCTTCACAACAATAGACAAAATAAGTTTTTATGTTATCCCTGGATGAATGGTTTTCTACTTTCATGTGCTGTTCCTAATAAGGGTACCATGATGCAACAGACTGACAGTGTTGATATGCAGCATATATCTTTCTTTAATGTTGCCCTCATGATATGCACAAATGATAGGGAAGTGGTCACTAACACTTTGAAAAAAAATAGATTATGAGATGGAACAAACCTAGTACTAAACTAGTGTAAGTGAAAAAAACCTGGCCAAAAATTCTTCCATAATCATGCAGTTTTTCACCATTCTGAGCACTTTTCAAGTGATTTTGGGCCAACGTTGTCAAATGTGAACCCCCAGGAATTTTTTTGAAACGTGACCCCCCTGGCAAAAATGGGCCTGATATGTAATAATATAGACGTAAACGATGTAGAATATTCAATGCAGTTTAGAAGTATCAAATGAATAGTAAGACTCGACTTTATGTTTACGAAATGAACAATTATCATTTTGCATCTTGTTTTAGTGGCAAAGTACAACATTTGCTACTGGTCAAAACAGTTCAGTTTAGCCCCCCCCCTGCAATGTAAAATACATGCTTTTTGTAAACATAATTGAAGGCAACAGGCCAGATCCAGGTCTGTCTAGGGTTCAGGCCAATAGGTCATATTACTGTTCAATTGTCAATACTGTCTGTATCGTGAATCAGACTGCATAATCAAGAGCTTTTTTAAAAGATTATTCAAACATTCAAGAAATGTTTCCTAAGCATATTACAACAACTGGGTGATGTACATTTGAAAATTACATATCATTCTTCTGAAGGCCAGTGGGGGCATTGAGCTGGCTACAGGCCTAATCCTGGATTTTTGGGAAAAATGAACCCCCTTGGTAAAAGCTGGCTACACCCTGATCCTGATTAATGGAAACATCACTGCCATGGAATAATCACTGATATAAAAGTTCACACAGACATGCAAAATAGCCACTATATAAAGTGAATGACTTGGTCAAATGAGCAACACAGAAAATTACAAAAACTATAACTTTTCATTTTATAATTTGTATATACTTAGAAAGCCTTATAGTCAATAAGAGTTGATAGAATGATCGTGATCAAATATCACATTATCATTGGCATGACAGATATCTTTATTCTACAACTGTGAATTTATCATCTAGACACAACATGCAATATAGTAAACCATGCTAAGGATTAGCATTACATCATATGATGCTTTTTATTTCAAGTATTAAAATAACAGATCAAAGGGTAGTTAAAATTTATCTCTATTAAAAGAAAAAATTCAAATGCAAACAATTTTAAAGGTTAAATCAACATGCGATTCTTACTTAAATGTTTCATAAATACACATCTTAAAATGTGATATATGCATGTTAGAGTCAAAGTACATCTACTTTGAATGACATTTTAGTTTCTAATTATACAAGCTAAATTTATGTTCTACAGTTACATGTATCTTATGAGCTACTACTATTAGGGCTTATCATTTTATAATTTGCGATGAAAATCGTTATCTTGTTATTTTTTATCTAATAATTTAATAAAATGATAATTATGACTCTCTCTAGTGAGCACCTGTGTTTAGTGAACACCACTTAATCCTGCATAAAATCCCCTCTCTGTAAGGATCTTCTACCTACAGTGAGCACTTTTTATGGCTCTATGATCTTCACTATATACAGGTTTTACTGTGTATCCCATATGTAAATGAGGGTTATATAAGCTATCATGACCAGTACTGTCAAATTTAAAAATAGACCCTTGATATTCTAGATGGTTTCATGTATTATTCATCAAGTGACTACTTGATGTGAGATCGATTCATAAAACAATAGGTGTCTGGCAAAAGTAAGATATTCATGCTTGAGTTGCTGGCTGTGAGATTATGAGGCATATCCCAATCTGATTCAGTTGTCAAATAACACAAGATATTATAATCACATACTGTAATTGATATGGACCTTAAATAAACAGATTTTCATGATCCAGATATATTTAAGTTTCTATTAAGAGCATGTGGCATACAAGACATATGTTAACATCATGTATATGTACTTGACTTTTAAAAACACATTAATAAAACATATTAGTATATGGGATGTCTGAAAATATTCCATTACATGAAAAAACCTAGACACTAAAAGTTAAAATGATCAACCAGCATCCTTTTAATCTCCTTTTATAAAATAATAAAAAATCACCCCCCCCCCCTCCCAATATACTCTAATCTTGATCCACATAGCTATTTTATAAGACAGAAATGAGATATCTGTGTATGATAGTCTATCAGGCAAATATCATGTCATTTCCTCTTCTTTTGAACTCCTTATTTGAATTGAAAAGCTACTTCCATTTCTCATGCATATTCTAACATCTATATATGTAATGTTTGTTATTTTCTAGTAAGTTCATATAATACACAACTGGCTGCTATGTAATCTTGGAGTATATTGGTCATTTCATACCTACAATTTATATGTAACATGTTGACTAGACTTTACCTAGACAAGTAGAAGTTTACATAAGCCTTCAAGTACAGTAAGGGGATATATTAGGAGTATATGAGTCATACAAAATGTTAAACATTATTATTGGCATCACTTAAAAATCTAGTAAATCTTCGGTTCATTTATAATTTATAACAAATCTTAGTTCATATAATGATTTTTCATTTTACCGAACCAAACATGACCTTTGTGCTAAAAGAGCTACTGATGAAAAATTTAATCCTTAAATATGAAGTTTTCTCAGATGACAATACATAGAATATGCTCTTATCATAAGAAAATCATAAAATCAATTTTGTATCAGGCGTATGTTGATATAAACTGAATGACAGTCATATTTGAAGTACTTCTTATATTAATGCTAAGGGAAATGAAAGTAAACAAAGAAACCGCATAAGTGGTTTTTCAGCACGAGTAATAAAATGATGAACAAAACCATAATGTTATATGTATTTATACTGTTAATATAAAATGCATGACAAAGTTGATTTTGAAATTATATAGCCAAGCCAAGTAAAGGTTTGAACTAGTAAGAGTATCCTACGATATGAGTTTATGACATTTACTATTTTACTTGTAAGGGATAGAAACTGCTATCAAAACGCAGCCAGTCTGTTTAGCCTTTCAGAGTTAAGGCAGCACTCCCAAAACCCAGAACACAGATGTAATCCATATTTTCAAAAGCCTTGTAAAAATCCAAGTGTACATGTATATGTTCATCCCAAAAATAACAGGATGTTTCAGAGAGTGTTCAAAGTAAATGCTGAAATAAATTTATAGAGAAAAAAACTTTCCAGAACTATGCGAATATATCAAAAATTGTTGCCATAGCATTTATAATAAATATTTTCATCAGAGACGATATTATGCAATAGATCTGCAGTTATTTCAAAACATACATGTAAGAATATTCTTCTTAGGACTAAGAAACTCTGAACTTTAGCATACATATATGAAAGCGATCATAGCAATCCAATATTTCTGAATAGCCATAGTCACCGAATTAACAAGCCCCTAAGTTTACTCGAGTCTCTAGCTTACTTGTAAAATATGGGGAAGTAAATCTTGGCTTCGGGATTTCAATCGAGAATCGTAAAATCATACACATATGGTTGACATCTCAACAAACAATCAGTACAATATTTAAATAAGCCTTTTTGGACTAATAAAGGTTTGTGATCTGTAAGATCATTAAAAAGATTTGAGATTCCCAACGAAAACGTTTCCTGAAAAAAAAAATTCAGACCAAAAAATCTGGCAAGTTCATTTTGAAGGTCATTTTCAACACGAAATATCGAATGTTTAAAAGAATGATATACATAACAGTAAAGCTATACCTGGTCCTTGATTCGACTTCTTTGATATTCCACCTTCATTTTCGCCATCAAGAGGTCGTTTACGAGAATCTGAGCTATCCATTGCAACGTCTTGGTTAAAACTCATGCCGGATAGCAATGATTACTGGATAGCCTCGTTTCAAAACTGTCAAATTTAAGACCCCTACGGCAGTGTAAAATTTCTACATTCCAGGGTCGGATAATTTTACACTACGTCGTGTTTATAGTAAAATCATGATTTTAATATGAATTTGATATTTCAATCGAGATTCAATAAAGTAATTAGATCATTTGAAAACCAGGTTTCTTCTTTTTCTTTGGTAGAAGAGGTCTGTCAAAGTACATGACGTCATTAGAAAGGAAAAATGGCGGACGGAGAACTGAATGTGGATTCTCTGATTTCCCGACTTCTTGAAGGTATTTCTTTATATAATATTAACCGATTAGGACAGATTCAAAAGTAAAAGCAGAAATACTATATTGTTTAATCATTCTAATGTATATAATTTGTAGAGAAGTGAAGCTCGGGTGTGATAATTTTCATCTTTGTGAACTTCGAACATTTTCATTTTTCAAAAAATCTGATTTTTATTCTGCTTGCTTCCGTGTTCATGGCGAATATGGATATGAGTCAATTTAGAATCGTGATATATCCCTTAGTATTAGTGAAAGCTCAAATTTCTGTCTGTCATTATAAATTGCTCCTGTGTATTTGCTGCAAGAACTTTGCCTTATAATAATCTGGCTCAATAACCAAACCTGTCCAGTTATCTACTCACTGAATCTGAAATGTCGTAGATCTGGGCCAAACGATATCCAATAGAAAATAGGTGTATTTACTTTAGAAAAGACACACTGCTTTTCAATCTACAATATTTGCTGATATGTGAATAAAAGTATAAAATTTACACATTTGTCCCTAGTCCCTAAAATGCTTATTTCGTTCAGTATAACATTTGTCCAGTATAACTTATTGAGGAATCTTGAATAATCGAATATACTCTCCATCATATTTATTTCCAGACTAACTGCTTTATGCATACATCAATTATAAAGTAATCTAAAACATTATTCACATGATGTCCAACAGTCGAAAAATCAATTTATTCTCTCATTCGGTCATATTCTTAAGTTTTTCCCCCATGTATACTAAATTAGACTAATTTCAACATCATTATAACCTTGGGCTTTCAATAGATTGAATGCCCATGTTATAACCCTGAAAACACCACATTTATGTGTAAGTTATGAAAGCTTTATTACAAATAAATACTCAGGTTTACATGGAGCACAATATTTTGGTTGGATGGCCAATAGGGAACGACTAATAAGTGATCATTGGTTACATGTTTCTTCAAGGGTAAATGCACCTATTTTTTTCTATTGGTGCTCGTCTGGCCCAGAATTATGACGCTAGGCGTATATAAACAGGCCAAACGTGTTTGGTTAATTATACTCATAATGGGGTTGATTTTTAATTTTTTATTTTCAAATCACCCCCATAACTACTAGGGATGGGACGGTTCGGTTCGGTTTTTCGGATCATCAGCCGTCGGTTCGGTTTTTTCGGTTCGGTTCATTCATTTTAAGGATTTGTATTGATTGACATGATTAGCTGCTTTGTCTCTGACGTTATAACAATATTTTATAGATGGAATTTTATGTTATAGTATTTCATGAACAATACATATTATTTAAAATACATGACTAAAGAATATAGTACCAGGGACCACATGATTGATTACCGAGGGATACAAATACGCGGATACGAAACGAATCTAGTAAACGAGTGAGCTAGCAACAGACAAGACAGACAAGACTAGGAATATCAAAAATGTTGCTGTAAAACAGTGTTTTTAACTTTTTTATTGATACTTGACCAATGAAATATTAATCCGAAAACGATCCGAAAAGCTGATCCGAAAGTAGGGCCGTGATCCGAAAACCGATCCGAAGGCTATGAACCGCGGTTTTTCGGTATTTCGGTTATCCGTCCCACCCCTAATAACTACTTGTGTATTGAAACCTTGTGGTTGAAAATAAGCTGGATTATCAGCTTTGTATCAACTACTGACAATAATTTGTAATACCAAGATTACAATACACAATGCACAAGTAGGGGTATTCTCGAACACATGGCATTGTTAGGCAGTCTTCAATAATAAATTGTTTTTATTATGATTTTTTATTGAAACTTTAAATTAGACACACCATGATACAGTGATATATATTGTTAAGAGTCTTACATGACAATGCTCTAGATTTTCACCTGGTGCCAAGGGTTTATCCGGAAATGCTCAAGGAATATTCCCTATATCTTTATACTCCATTTGCGAAAGTCTGTAAGTTATGAGCTGCTTCTGTGTGGATCAGGACTTGTCTGTATCTCTTTTGACATTTTCTAGCGAGAAATCAAAATGGCAGTTTTAATGGAAATTTTTTGATAATAACTTGGACATATGTAATTACAGTATTAGAAATTAGACTTTGTTGATTGAAAAAATTCAAATCAGATTATTTTGAATTTAACAAACCAACTGAAAGGAACAAAACTTGATGTGAAGAGAAACAATTAGGGATATTTAACACCCAGACATAGATTCATCGTAAGATCTGGATTAAATATGAGTGATCTAGGGTTTTCATTAGCAGCAGGCAACAGGCGATTTTCACCGGTTGATTTCACAAAATCGCCTGTTGTTTTTAGGGACTTTTCAACTTTTCCCTGTTAAATTTATGATTTCCATTAATTTTGCCTGTTGTTTTCATTTATTTAGCCTGTTGAGATAAGTCTTCTTTTTGCCATCTTCACCCCATGCAGACAAATTGCCTAAAATTACATTTGTATGATGCAAGACTCGACATCCACTGGGAAATAAGAAAAATTTTGCCACCCTTGAAGCAAATTAATTTTTACTGCTTTATAAATGGTGAATGACAGACACATTGAGTTATATAAGTATGAGAATAGCACAACGTCTTGATATTTCAAGGTAACTTGTTTGAATAGAGATGGTAGTGATTGAAATTACGATGTAAAGATAAAACCCAAACGGAATATTTGTAGATTTCTTTGAAAAACTAAGAAATATAAATCACATATCGAATTTTTCAAAACAGAAAAAACATGTATAAATAGTAAGGCCTACAGGTCCGATTCCCCTGGTCGCATTAACATTGATCTTGTGCATGTCATACAATTAATATTTGAAAGGCAACTATTATTCAAACTTATGATCGGAGATTAGTATGATGTGTACTTCAAGGTAACAAAATAATACTAGTATCATACTAATGTCTGATCATAAGTTAGAACAATAGTTGCGTTTGAAATATTAATTGTGTGACATACACGAGACCAATGATAATTCTTGTTTTTTGAGATATACTCAAAAGGTATCGCCTACCTTCATTGGTGGTAAGCAAAATACAATACTATATACAACTTATACATCGAATATACAGAAGTGTAATGAACATTTTTGGTTCAGTTCAAGTATGTTCTCTATTCCCGGAAACAAGCTTTTGTTTGATATTCAAACTAAAACCGAACTTCTCACAGAAAAACAATTTGAATCATTGGAATGAAATACAGTTCTTTCTTTTTTGCGCATGCATAGAAAACCTGTAAAAAGTAAAAAAAAAACTGAACCTCGCACAGATTGCCTCGACTCTCAAAAGGTTAGACTCAAACTTCACACAATTCAAAATATGTGGTACAAGTTATATTATTACAGAGCAATTTTCAGAGATAAATACATGTACATGCATGTAAATGCTAGGCCATGTATAGTTATAATGCATTGCTACTTTTTCCTGCAAGTTGGATAGAAAATTCTGTCTCATGCATTTATAATAGAATTACTATTAACAGTGTGAATGTTATGTTTATAGTTCGAGGATGCAGGCCTGGGAAAACTGTGCATATGACAGAAGCTGAAGTGCGGGGGTTGTGTCTTAAATCTCGAGAAATCTTTCTCAGTCAGCCAATCTTGCTAGAACTAGAGGCTCCTTTAAAAATATGTGGTAGGTACAATGGGGGTAGAGGCAGTTTATGATCCAGAGGATTTTGGACACAGGGTGTTCAAAAAGTTTAGAAATTATTTCTTAAACTTAATATTTTGAATATTATCCCTTACTTTATCAGTTTCTAAATATTTGAGAAACAATATAAATTCCTGACTGACATCATACATGGGCGTTTTTGTCACTGCTCTCATAAATATAATTTGTCACTCAGTTTTATGAAATGCTGAGATTGAACTAGAGTGAAGAATTTAAACACAACTCAATTTCAATTAATGGCAACTTATGAATCAGCATTGATTTACATAAATCTAACTTAATAATAGATTTATTGTTTCGGATTTCAACGAACTGATAAATTTTATTGACATTTTATCATCTACGGCAAACAAGTGCATTCTATAGTAGAGTGTTATGGCACTGTTATTACCATAGCTATACGCTAATACTAATTGTAACATTGCTTTCTTGAACAACGCTAAACCAGAATTTTGCAGAAAAAGATAGATCTTTCAATTTCATATATTTTTTAGGTATACATCTTGACCTAATGTTTCATAAGCTAACTAGATGGGCGTGAAATAGACAAACTGCATGGTATATATTACAATGTACCATATGTGGATAATCTGTATACTTCTCGTGGTTAATTTGTACGATTTATTGTTCATTCTTAGTGCATGTCACAAAGACCTCAGCGTCGAAATGATATGAATATAAATGTGGCTCATTATTGGCGGCATCCCGCGTGTGTAGGTTATTTTATGTAATGTTGCTATGGTATTCTCTATACCACTGTAGCATTTTGTAGCCTCTTGAATACCCAGAATGAGGGATATTACTGTTCCAAATAAAATTCCATGGGAACCCAGAGTAGTGAATATATCTATCAAAGAGTTTTTAACTAAAACTGTTCTAAGTTTGATAATATTTATCAAATCAAAAAAAGTTATATTTTAAAATGGATGTAATGGATGTTTACTTTCCTTATGAAACCAAACATCATGTTGTATATTTAGATGTATAATAATGTCTAAAAAACTTGCAAAAATGTTCTGGTTTCAAGCCCTATAATTTACGGGCTGGTATTCAAGAGGTTAAATATAACGGAGTGGCTCCAGGACCGACAATTGTCGGTACTAGAGACTGTCAAGGGGTATTTGCTGGGGTACCGACAATTGTCGGCACTCTATCGTCAACTAGTAGTGGCAGATAGAGAACCGACAATTGTCGGTACGCAAGTGGCTGCTACGTGTTTTTGCTAGAGAGCCGACAATTTCATAAATAAATGCACTACTTTTACTTTTAATATTACCTCATCACTGGTAGCCTAGTGGTTAGCGAGCACGACTCAAACACACTCGGTCCCGAGTTCGAATCCCGGCAAGACCTACTTTTTTTCTTTTGAGGGGGGGGGGGCATAGTGCTTCTTTTGCAGTATGGAATCGTACAGGCATTAACTTGTAGTGAGCCATAATTTATTTCGACAAAAATTGATTCAACTTCCATCAAAATTGTCCTACAAGCTTCAATTAAAAAACATTTTAAAGCTCTTTTCTTGTTCTATCTAATGGGTCGTAATATACAGTTAGGGGAGGGGATGCTTTCGCCCCCGTCGCTCTCTACCCTTACTACGTCATGGCACAGGAGAAATATCTCATTTGGAATATATCACTGTTTACTTTGCGTTTGGTAGCTCTCTCATGCGAGATGGAATTGTGGCCATTAACTAAGGGAGCCAAATGCAACTTCCATCAAAAATTGTGCTATAAGGTATGAGTACCGTAATCCAACACCAAATTCGAAAATTCATAACAATACTTTGCACATATGGCGTTCGTGACCAACTATGAAACGCTTACCCCCCATAGTGTTATATATCAAAATGCACCTGTCCATATAGGGGTTCGATTGACCTACATCAAATTATAGGGAGTCAGGTTACTTTTTGAGATATCAGCGTCCGTTTATTGTAACTCGCGTTTGCTACCACTTCCTCAATAACCTAGATGCGAGTAGAAATAATCTTGATTTACGTCATTAAAAATTCACAATTCAGTCAAACTGATGTCATATTTGGAATCTACATGTAAAATTACATCCAGAAATGTGGTTTTGAAAAGAGTTTATCAACTTTCTTTGAAAAAATAATTTTCTTTGAAAATGTGACTTTGGGTCGGGGAGATTCCCCATAGACCCAATGCTGTAAAACCACAAAAAGTGAAATATCTTTTCTTGTGTTAGGCAGATAATATTTTCTTTTACTGGAAATATTTCAATTTGTATAACTATTAAATACATAATGGTAATATGAAAAGTGAAGCACTAAAACTGATGAATATTCAAGTTTAAGGAAATTTTGTAATACCCTGCCATGTTATTTCCCCCGAATCAGCCACCTGGTGGCGAAATTGGTAACTACCTTCTCGCATCTGAGTAATTCTGATATGACGGGCAAACGCGTAGTAAACATGCTCACGTTCGGAACTATTTTGACCTACATCGCTATTTTCGTAATTCAAATGAAAGTTGAACTCCTCTTTATTTTGACACCAAATAGTGGCATACTAGGTACCCTAGAAAGAGAAGCCAACTATGGGTTATTTAGAACGATACCACAGGTTTTTAAATGGACTATATAGGGGTTATACTTTTTGGCGGATGGATATGGATCCTCATACCATAAGCTTCAAATAAAAAACATTCTAGCTATTTTCTTCTATCTAATGGGTAGCAAACGCCCCTTTCTACGCCTGATCGGCTCAGGAGAAATATCCTGTCTGTTTAGAATATATATAGCCGTTTACTCTGCATTAATAGCTCTCTAACGTCTTACTTGTTCATGTTTTTTATTGGGCCTTTCAACGTTTACTACCATTCCCTGTTCCCGGGCTACCATTTTTTGACTGGGTTTGGTAATCCCCGGGTAACCGGGGCTAATGCCCTCCCGGGTTTTGCACTTGTTCCCAAAATATTCGTATGATATCTGAAATATCCACCCGCGCATTGCGCATGCGCCAGAAAATTCGAAAATCAATATTTGTCGGTTCTCTAGCGTGTAAACACAGCATATCTCCCGTACCGACAATTTATTTGTCGGTCCTCTAGCGTGCCACCACATCAGAGTCTAGAGTACCGACAATTGTCGGTACTCTAGCCTTTACGTAAATAAAATGTACTCTAAGGGAGAAGTAAACTTTCACCATACTTGACATATTGGACATCTTCAATAGCTCAAAGGTATACCACTGTACTTTAGAACTCATATATCATGTTGTGTTTTCCCAGTGTAGTCCCAAAACTAGCTACAGGCCCTAATGAACCTCATTTTATGCATCGTACACATTTTCTTACTGGAATTTCTGTGTTTAGGTGATATCCATGGACAATACACAGACCTCCTACGTCTATTTGAATATGGAGGTTTCCCGCCAGAAGCTAACTACTTATTCCTTGGTGACTATGTCGACAGAGGGAAACAGTCGTTAGAAACTATTTGTCTACTCTTAGCCTATAAGATCAAGTACCCAGAAAACTTCTTCCTCCTCCGTGGAAATCACGAGTGTGCGAGTATCAACAGAATATATGGGTTTTATGATGAATGTAAGTCTCTGTTTATTTATTCAATTCTTCTATAATTTATTTGTGACTTTAAGTTATCAAAGCTATTGAGATTAGTTATGAATATTGCCTTTCATGCACATGTATGTAATTAATGTTCCATTATTCCAACACCTGCGTTATTTGAATTCATGAAATTATGAAATTAGATATCTATCTGCTATGTACAGGGCACAGATTACGCAGAAGTACCCTGATGTATTTCCAATAATTATCTTATTTATATGCTATCAATATTTTATTTAACAGATGTTACATGTTTTATAATTAGTTATATATAAGTAATTAATAATGAGATTGTGATAGTCATTTTGTACCAGTTATGAATCTTGCTTTGTAGACAGAGGAGGATTGAAATTAGAACAAACAACTATGTCTAGTTTCTTTCCTTTACTGATACACATGAACATGGGTTAAAGTTATGTTATCTTTCAGAGGTTTTCAGTTTATTGGTATATATAAATAGATTTATCTGGATTTGATTTATGGAAATGGTAATTCATTTGGGACTTTTCGGGAATAAAATTATGTTATAGATGACATAATGGGAATATGCATGTTTCAAATCTTGGGCGTTTTAGTAATATTTCAAATTTTGATGAGTAATCAAATTAAGCTCTCACTTATGCAGCGTGCTGGCTGTATAAAATGAGACGCAATTATCGATTTTATGCCATTTTGTTTGACAATTACTTTACCCCATGTGTTTGCTATTGCCCTGCAGGTAAAAGACGATACAATATCAGATTATGGAAAACATTCACAGACTGCTTCAACTGTCTCCCCAAAGCTGCAATAGTTGATGAGAAAATATTCTGCTGTCACGGAGGTACCAACGATTCAACAAACCTAGATATTTCCTGAAGTTTAGCATGAGTGAAGCAGGTTGGAAAATCAAGGGAATTTGTAGAGTTTCGGATTTTTAAATTTTTGTGGTATTTGTAGCCCAATTTCAACTTTACCACACATGGGAACTTATTTTTCATGATTGTCTTTGGTAAGAGTTTCAATGACCTTCTGAAATTCTGAAATTTTCCATAGATGTCTCACTCATGAAAAGCTTAAGGATTTTGATCTGGAGTGAACTACAATGCCATTGATATGAACATGAGTTCCGGTTGTAGTTTCCTTCAGGGTATAGTAGAAACCATACAGTCATCCTAGTCATGCCAGTCCTTGTTATGAAACATGGAGACCCCAAGGCTGACAGGGATGGTTGCCATGGTGCTAGTTACCACAGTTACCTACATAAACAACAACAACTCACTGTGTTGTCTGCTTGTTTCTAGGCAAGAGGCGGTTCAACATTAAACTGTGGAAAACTTTCACAGACTGTTTCAACTGTCTCCCAATCGCGGCCATTATAGACGAGAAAATATTCTGCTGCCACGGAGGTATAGGCCTTTAGCTCGTCTAAATGCTACTCAAAGTATCTGTAATGAAATTTCAGTAAAGAATGTTACAGGTTTCATGTTTACAAGGCTTGAATACATAGGATACATCAATCATAAAGATTCCATTAACTAAAAATATCAATCTTTTTCATCTTTTAAAGTGTTAATTAAGTAAAAGTCGTAATTTTTTTATAAAGAAGTCTCAGATACCGAAAAAGTTCTACATTTTAATTGCTGATTCATTGCAGGTAGAAGCATACTGTACTTTTGATAAAGAAAAGTAGTATGATTGTGACAATTGTTTCTGAAAGTAACTTTTAAAAATCTACTCTGTATTTAAGCACTGTGTTAAATGAAATGAAAGATACTTTGGGTAGTTCAGTATAGACTAGCTGAGGAGGTACTCTCAATGTTGGTAATTTATATGTACTGTATGGTACATGTATGTAGTTATATACTAGCAATTATGTACATCTCTAGTTACATTCTAGTCATTCTATTATTTGATGTTCATGTTATGTGTTCAAACTTCATGTTGTTATAACTGAGAGTGAATGAAATGCATTGACGTCATAATGCTGTGGTTCTTGCATCAAATAAAGCGTGAAATTAGTGTATTGAGCTTATAAGCCTTATATTATAGACATTTTACACCAACATCATTTATCTTTAGCTCATGCAATGGATGAAACAATAAAATGAACAATAAAAAAAGTGAAATCTCAACTATATTGATAACTTCAATATCATGAAAACAATATGATATTGTACAAACAACGTTATGGTTTAATACTCTGGCGGTGCTCTCTGCAGACCTTATGATCAAAATAACACTAAAACCATGTAATTAAAAGTGGGATTGGTCATCTCATCAAAATTATTACTATGGTTTATTTACATCTAGTCCATACTGAACTTAAAACATCAGCACCCATAACATGCAAAAAGGAAAATAAATGTCAACACATTTTCCAAAATACACAACAATTCCACTGTTGAACAATACACTATTTTACAATAATCAACCCCATGAATGTAACTTTTTCCTGGATCATGTAAATGTTACCAGTAATTATTCAGAATAAACTATAACACAGTTCCAATATGCAGGTATAATTGAGAAATGAATTCATTTGGGTAAGTAATTGTCTACTAAAAAGACTTGTCTGGTGTAAAAATCCAATGCATTACTTGTATTACTTTTATGACATGATGTATTGTGCTTTGTAGGACTCTCACCAGATTTACAGTCGATGGAACAGATTAGACGAATCATGAGGCCCACAGATGTACCTGATACAGGTAAATTAAAGTGATCCGACTATTTTTTTAAATCCACCCAAGAATTGAGTATGAAGAATATATACTGAGCCTCATACATAAATTTTTCATGTCTTAGAATGTTCTCCATCTTGTCATGATGATGCTATGATCTTTTGTAATATGATTTTTGATAGAGGTGATCCGAAATTCTAAGATTTTTGAAATCTATAATCTCAGCTCACAATTCTAATGGTTTTACCTTAATGTTGATAGTATGAATATGTTGGGACTTTTTTATTCACTGTTATACTATGGTATATACTCTTTGAAAATTTATTATATGGATAATTGTTGGATATAGCTACATAAGTCATTTGAGAGATCATTTTGCATACAAGCCAAAAACCTCAACCGGTCAAAAAAATGAACAGGGCCAATCTAGGCTTGGTGATTTTTTGGCATGTGTCGTAGAATAACATGAGAAGTGTCCATTTGACCAGTGGGTCCAAAATCAACATAACTCACCCTGGTGTATTCCTCCAAGTATTCTAACACCTCAACCCATATATATTTGGTGTTATTTGTAGGTCTACTATGTGATCTATTGTGGTCAGATCCTGATAAAGATGTCTCAGGTTGGGGAGAGAATGACAGGGGTGTTTCATTTACTTTCGGTGCAGATGTGGTCAGCAAATTTTTAAACAGACACGATCTTGATCTGATATGTCGGGCACATCAGGTTAGTATCTACAGATTGTAGGCTGTTGATAAACAAGACACAATATTGTTTTACCATCAAAGTTTTCAATTTGAGATTAGTAGAATAAATTTGATTAGTCAAATTATATTGGACACTTGATGCTTACTTTTCATTGGCTTATTATATTGGCTTATTGTTGAGCCTCGTTTTAAAGATCAAATATACACTCCTCAAATAATATTTTGTTCGATTCTATTGAGAGGAATGCCTACATGTGCCTACATTGAAAGTAGTGTTCCCTAAGCCTGGCATGCTAAAATACACATCATGATGTGTTTTATTTTTATATTTTACTCCAAGTTTTACATTTCCAACATTGATCACCACATTAGTATTGTTGGCCCTATTACATGTTTTTCAAAAATACAAAATTCATACTCATGAATACAAAATCTGGAAATCTGAAAAGCATCCAGTTTTAAAAAATGATTTACAAAACAACAGTAACAGGAAAGGAAATTAAAAAAAATGGTTGCACATACAAACTTTATAAATTCCTATATTTCCAGGTTGTGGAGGATGGCTATGAGTTCTTCGCCAAGAGACAGCTGGTGACGTTATTTTCCGCACCCAATTATTGCGGGGAGTTTGATAATGCAGGCGCTATGATGTCAGTGGATGACACACTAATGTGCTCCTTTCAGGTAAACTAACATTCAATGCCAATTTGTTTGCCAATTACGTATGTGAAGATCTTTGTTAAGATTCTCTTGTTCATTTCTTAATTCTGAACAATTATTGTGCATTACAGCAGTGGCATTTTTCGATCAGTGAAAATAAATCTGAAAGTTGCAACAAAAACATGGAACTCGTTCTTCTGTTCTCTGTTCTGTAATGTGTAAACCACGAGCACTGGCTATTTATGCTATTATCAACTATTGATACAACTTTAGTGCCACACTGGTTTTTGAAGCTTGCCAAGTGCTATGTTATGTCCATTCTTTAAAATAAAGTACAGTTCATTCTATTGTGTTGCTACCTAAGAGGAGTTTGGAATTAGATGAACTGTTATTTTTCACTTGTTACTGTATTCTATCTTGTAATTTATTCATATTTTCTATTTTCAGATTCTAAAACCATCAGACAAAAAGACAAAATACCAATATGGTGGATTGAACTCTGGGCGGCCAATCACACCACCTAGGGGTGGCAAAAAATAACCTGTGTCATTTCAAGTAATTATTTAGCAGTTTATACCATTGATAAACTCCGCAAGTAAGTTATACAACACAGCTGAGTTCAATCCAACTCTCTTCCATCACATAATACACCAACAGACCTATTGTGACATCATAAACAAAACCCATTGTGACATCATATAATAAACCTATTGTGACATCACAAACATGCTTCAATGAGGAATGCCATAGTTTGTCTCCAAGTATACTATATATATATAGCAGACATGTATATACTGGCATACTGCTTTATGTGTCAGAACACAAGGAATCAACCAATCAGAACACAAGGAATCAACCAATCAGAACACAAGGAATCAACCAACCAGAACATAAGGAATCAACCTATCAGAACACAAGGAATCAACCAATCAGAACACAAGGAATCAACCAACCAATCAATGATGACCAATAATAAACATTGGAAGAAAATAGAAACCCAATAATAGGAAACTATTACTAATTGAAACATGATTGTCTCATGATTTCCTTTGACAGTACAATACCAGGGGTGCATTACCAGAGAATTCCTAAGGACGTCAATTTCATGGTTACAGTATATTTTGGAATTTTGTAGCTAAGAATTTCGAGGTAATGTACCCCAGGCTAAGTACATCTTTCTAAATGATTGGAGATCGATACACAGAAAAACACATACAGCTACAGTGAAAGCATTATATGTATATACAATATGGTGGTAGAATAAAAGCTACTAAAATACACAAGACATTTCACAATTGTTCATTGTATAAATGTCCAATAATTCAACTCATGCTCAGTCTCAGTTTATATAATATAAATGTGCATAAACTTTAAAACACATCACTGTACTAATTTTTAATCAAGATCACTTTTTGTGTTAATTTGTGGTACGAATGAATGATTTATACAAACAATAACTATTTTCTTACATATAAATGTGTCATAAAACTATGCAATAAAGCTAGAAAGTAAAATGTATATGTAAAAGTAAAGTTATGAGGTGGAAAATGAGCAATTTCGCTTCATGACATAATGCACTATATTTGAACTAGTCTAGATTGTTATATTCCACGCCGATTTATTCTATAATGTTGAACAAAATATGATTTTTTAATTTTGTCATTTTATCATTTTTTCCCACCTGTGACTGAATCATTCTTTTACCATATATGGGAAAAATCACAAAATCAGAGTCTGCTTTGACATGTGAAGATTTAGCTCGATTTAAATTAGTTTTTTTTGTATTGTTAAAGTAGCTTTTTACCATCAATATGCGTTCCTCAAAAGACTGTAAATGTGCACCCCGTTATTTATTAATTAAAAAGGCAACCTGTGGTTAATTTTATTGTATGATTTACCTCAGATATATTGGGTTAGCACATTCAAACATCTTCTATTTTCAGTTTAGGGAAAATCTTTGGGAAAATTACTCTTTCAGTAGAGGCATTTTCAGTTCAGTTTAGTGAAGGGTCTTTGGAAAAGTTCCTCTATTCATAGGGTATAACTTAAGAATGGTAGTGAATTTAATTTTGCAATAGAGTATTAGGCAGAAGAGAAAATTGCATTATTGGTAAAGGTGATGCAATTTGGGTATTGAGATTATTGCAATATGGGTAGAATGTGTTTGTATGAGCTAGCAGTCTGTAGATAGTGTACATTACACTGAATTATAATTCCTATATACCACAGCTTATTGCTATCAATACATAATGTAGTATGGCTGAAAGTCAACTTTCTCCATGTGCTGTTCCCCAGTTATCCCCCCTCCCCCCTTTCTCCTGATATGGACTGTGCCAAACCTTCGCAATCCACATTGAATGTTAGACTCGAGAGTAATAAGTATACAAGGGGAAGAGGACAAACTTGGATCATCATATGCAGAAAGCACTAGGGTATATAGTACTAGGCCTATAGGCATATTCTTTATTCTTAGTTATATATTTCACCAGGCATTGCCATTATTCATGTAAACATGTATTTATATTTAAACTCGCTGAAAGACAATTAAGGACGCATACATTTATTACAAAATGCCCTCTTTAGCATGATATTTATTGACTCAAAATATGTGATCATTATATAGAATGTTACCACTGCAGATAAACGTCAGAATTAATTCATCACAGTTTCTATAGGGGATCTACAACATTTATGTTCTACAACATTTATGTTCTACAACATTTATGTTCTACAACATTTATATTATGCAAATTAGTTACTGCCAAAGATGTTTAAGAGCGCTACATGGTGTATTAATTAGTTTAATGTTGGTTTGTAATTTTTCAGGTTTTTGTTGGTATTTCTCAGTATAATGACAGAAGGGTAATATTATACAAATAGTGACTGAAATTGAGGGCAATAGTGTAAATTATTTCCCCGAGGGAATATCCTCTACAATGTACTATTCCCGAAGCCGCAGGCTGAGGGAATAGTACATTGTAGAGGATATTCCCAAGGGGAAATCATTTACACTATTGCTCGAAATTAGGCAGTCACTATTTGTTTTATTATATACCCTATACTGACTCTTGTCCCCTCTGTGAAGGCCAAAAAGGCTTAGAAAGCCCCCTCCCCGGGTCCATTGTTAGCATTATAAGCTGTGACGTCATCAGATGCTCAAAAGGAAATATTTGCCTCTGAAACTCTCACTTGACAAATTCAATCGCGTTTAACACGCGGAATAGATTATCATATCACTTGAAATTACACAGACGTATTGAGCTTAGGGAACTTTATACACGTTGCTTATATTGTATCGTTCACGCACGTCTGTCATGGTGAACGAAGTTGATTTGTGTTTGTGTTCATCCTCCATTTTTCTGTTTTTCGTCTGCGCAGTGATGATGCGCAGACGTTTCCAAGGGTAATAGAAGTTGCAATCGTGACGTCATCGGGCAATAGTTCAAATGTATATTCCCGCTGACGTCACATTTGAGGGAATATAACTTTCCGAGGGAAATAGTAAATCTATTTCGGAACACGTGACTAGGTATTGACCAATCAGGATTAGTGTTACATATTGGGTATATAATAAATCAAAATATCAATTTTTGCCAAAAATCTCACTTTGGGATATCATATGCAAATACATTCATGCTTTGTAAGGTATAGTTTCCAATTATCATTAGTTGCGGAAGTATGAATTTTGTAAGGGGGAAGGGGGTAGATGATGGGATATTCAAGTAAAAGATGAATCAACACTTGTGGTGATGACATAAAAAGTTTGTTATATAATGGGAGGGGCAAGCCATCATCGGATAAAATAGACAATATCCCTAAGCGTAACCTGCGGATATCAATTAAATCTTTTACAGTTTACACTCCATTATATTGTTTGTTCTTTGGCAAATGTTGACTTTTGGTGTGAGCCCTGAGATTTCTGTTTTTACTGATTAAAGCATATTGTTAGGGGGTGGTACTCGAAAGATGGCAAATGAGGAATTTTAGTGTTGATAAATGTCCATTTTGTAAATGGATGATTTTGTATTGATGTTTACCAATGCCATCTATGACTATGTAAATTTCAGAAGCTTCCAATGAGTAGTGATGTATGTATTTCAGTCACTGAGAATCTGTGAAAAAATGGTGTTTTTTTGGATTGTACAATCGTCAATGCAATTTTTCCTTTATGTAACCAGTTAATTTAATGTAAATAACAAATATCATTATGGACTAAATTGTGTATTGCGTTGAATTCTTGTCTATATGATTCTTAAAGTACATGTATATGAGAATCCGTATTCAGTGTGTATGTGATGGGATTTGGGGACCATAAATCAGTCGAAGCAAAGTAACATCCATTTCAGTATGAGAGGAAGAGGATGGACAGGACAGTTACATTCCCTTATCTTAATTTAAATGTCCCCCTCCTAATTTCTTATTTTGCTGAAAACATGATCACGCCTCACCATCGACAATGTTCAGTGACAAGATATACCATCGTACACTTAAGGTGTACCGTGTCACTATTAACTGATTTGAAGCGAAAACTATGATGTAGGTTTGATTGTGGTTTTCAAAAATTAATTTGAGGAGTACATAAAGGATTTCATGTTTGATTTCTTGTGTATTCGATTTGGAAGACATTTACTTTTCTAATTACGTTAAAAGATTTTCGAGCAGTGCTCAACTTTTTTCGTTGTTAATCTACCCATGCAATTGGTTGGTTGGAAAAATGTGTTTTTTTACACATTTCCTTTGATCATTTTCTCCCCTGTCGTCTAAGAGTGCCGATTAATTTTTATGAGAATATGTTTCTCTAAACTACACAATTTAAGACGGTTGAAGGTTTTATTTATTAATGTATTTGGTATAATTAAAAATATCAAAAATGTATGTTGTCATTTCCAATGTACGTTGTCCCGGTAATTGAAATGTAAACAATGCAATGATTTAATTTCAAAATGCATTAAGGGTTTTATGAGTAACAAGTGATATTCAACGAACATGTTCATGTATCCCTGGTACAGATAAACAGGTAAAAGTGATTTTTACCTCTTGTTGAATGCTATTTTATTTTATGAAAGTTTTGATATGGTGATTAATATTTGACCATGGGGTGTTATCTTCCAACCTCTTTGACCATTCGGCATCGGTACGTAACGTTATGTTGCACTTTTATGAATTTTGATAATCTTAAGGAGTTCATGGAGAGATATATACTAGCTAATCGAAGATGACTTTCGAAATCCCGTTCATGCAATATCTTGAAAGTGCAGAGGTTCAATATAGTTCAATCAAGTTGAATTAGTAATACTGGATTGTTCCGTTTCAGTTTTAAATGAATCTGATCCCCCTGTCCCTTAGTGTTATGAAAAATACATTGTCTACATAAGCGTTAAATGTGAATTCAGATATGTAAGTTTAATGGGACAACGTACATCGAGGTGACAACGTACACTTATGATTTTTTGATTTTTATTATTTTAGCAAAAACGTGAATATTTATTAGATATATCTTTGACCGACCTTAATTATGTAATTTTGGGAAGCATTCTCATAAAAATAATCGACACTCTTAGGCGACAGGGGAAAAAATGACCAAAGGAAATGTGAAAAAAACTACATTTTCCAACCAATCATTGTTGATGGGTAGATTTACTTCGAAAAAACTCAAGCACTGCCCGAAAATCTTTTCACTGAATTAGAAAGGTTAATGTCTTCCAAATCGAATACACACGAAATTAAACATAAAATCCCTTAAGTATTCCTCAGATTAATTTTTAAAACCTACACCACACCCACATCATCGTTTTTGTTTTATATCAGTTAGAAAAGTGACACCATACATCTAAAGTTTACGACAGTATATTTTGTCACTGTATGTTATCGATGGTTAGGCATGTGGTGGGACATTGTTAAAAATGTACACCCCCCCCCCTTTTAAATGAACTTCTCTGAGTACACACTTTGGTCAGCTTAGCTATTTTCCTCACATTAGTTTCAGTCTGATTCTGCTGGATGTCGGTCGGGTGACTTTGAATTCATAAAAGCACAGTTATGCCATCTTTAGTTTGGTTCGACCTAACATGTATTCCTTCTTAGTGTCCTGTGTAGTTCATGGGGTGCAATTACATATTTTCCAGTCTTGACTACTGCTTTTGCAATATTTTTTTATTGATTGGTTTTGATAATTTATCCAAACTCAACTGTGGATCAACAAAATTTGTCCAGACATGGCATGGATTGACTCCACTGAGCCGTTTCTTTGTTCCACTCGGGAGAAGGGTTTACATCCTGATCTATTAAGGTATCCTATATGGCTCAAGGAATATATACACTGGAAGAACAACATAAGTGCTGTGCGAAATTCCAGTTCTCTCAGTCATTATGAGTGGCAGATATTTCAAGGTATTTTCGCATGGTGAAATGACATCTTTATTGGACGTGTTGGTGCATAGGCCCTGGGAACATGGATAATAAAATCGGGTTGAGTTCTGTATGAAGGGAACTCGACTCAATTTTTTATACATGTTCCCGGGCCCTTTGTGTTGGAGCATTGTGAGAGGTTTCCCAGTTCCTTTTGGTCCCTGACTTAAATGTATGTGAAATATGGTTTTTATTTAGCCAATTGATAAGTATATGAAACTTTTTCGCTAGTTTTGATGCATAATGTACCCCTACTGAGATTCAAAATAAGTATCCTTACAAAAAACAAATTGTCAATATCATAGAAAAAACACAAAATTGGCAACAGGTACGAAATACTCAGAAGAAATGACATGAAAATTTTAAAAGAAAATTGCACTTTCAGAATATACTTGAGGTTTTTGATAATTGTTTGAATTCCCCACCAGTTTGATTTGAAGTGAAAAAACAAGATATCTACCATTTGATGTAAGAAATATCAGAAAAATTGCATCGCTTTATGCACAGGTTTACTGTTCATTATCTGAGTGTGTATAGAGATTGTAAAATCGAAACTAAAGCCGTGCTTAGCATGAATTCAATTCAACCAAAATACTAACAAAAACTCCACCAACTCAATTGAGGAAAATAGGATGGTCAGCAAAGCAACGTAAGAGTAAAAGCACAAAAAGAGTATTAAAAGGTCATTGAGAAATGCTTTAAAAAGGACTGCAAAAAGTCCTGTGACATTATTAGGATGGCTGAAGGGAGGGAGATGTGACCGTCTTTAGTGAATGCAGACCAGTGGGGGGTCCCTGCATATCGAAATACAGTAAATCCGTTAGTGAATACCTCTCTCTAGTAAACACCATTGTCTTTAGTGGATGCAGACCAGTGGGCGATCCCTGCATATCGAAATACAGTAAAACCTTTCTTGGTGAATACCTCTCTCTAGTAAACACTTGTGTTTAGTGAACACCATGTAATGAAACATTTCACAATTGACTTTCGTATAAAATCCCCTCTCTGTAATGAACACCTACCTACAATGAACACCTTTTTGTGTCTCCATCACCTATGATACAGGTATTACTATTAATCCCTCGTTTCAAAACAGTCATACCACACGCTAAAAGTAAACAAATATATAAGGGTTATGTACTGGGAGGTTTTGGATATGGGGTTTATCCAGAGGGAGATGTGCATATCTCACGAGGGATGAACCCAATATCCAAACCGACTGTACATAACTGCTTTATCCTATACCAAGTATAGAGTTTTCTAATTTTCTTTCAATTTTTTTTATTTTTTCAATTTTTCACATTTTCAATCTTTTTTTCTATTTTTTCTATTTTTTTCAATCTTTTATTTTTTTCAATTTTTCACATTTTTTCTTTTTTCAAGTTTTCTTATTTTTTCAAATTTTTTTTCGAAGTGGGAAGATATGCCCTGGAGCAGGAGATATGGCGGGAGATATGGAGGTTCGGGATATGGAAACCTCAAAATCAGGATACGGGATATATCTTACCAACTTATCTCCCTTAAACTCTACTTGGCATGGGATAAAGAAGAATATTAAGAGGAGCGAGTTTATAATATCACCCTCAAGTCTTGGTAACTGGGTGTTCTGGAAATAAAGATACAAGTTCTGAAATTCAGTATTCTACTTTTTCTGAAAAGAGGGGAAGATGTGGCCCCTTCTACTGGATGTGCACCCGTGGGTGATCCCTGCAAATAATCCCATTTCAAAACACTACAACACACTTAATTAAATCTGTTGACAAATACTGAAAAATATCAAGGAAGGGGAGAGGGCTTATAGATAATTCCCTGTAAATTATCAACCTAGGTTCTGGAAATGTGAAAATCCTTAAGGTTTCCTTCTCCTTTGTAGGACTTCTATACATTAGCCTAAATATTAAAATATGAATAAAACTTACCTTCTTATTTGACCTTACTGGCTTTAGTGTATCGGCCTCTACAGTAACATTGAATCGAATGACCGATTCACCAAGCTAAGTCTAGGCCTACTAAAATCAAAGTACTTGTATTTTTACTTTTCAGACACTCTGTAAATCTACCTAGCTTAGCGGATGTTGTGTTTTAGAGAACTCCCAATACGCCACGACCCAAGCAAATACTTGTAAAAGTTACCTTTTTAAAATGCTCTATTAAATCAATAATTCTATTATTCTTCAACATCAAATAAACCAACTTGTTTTATTCCAAACATTTAGGAACGTTTATATATTTATTATCGTACCATTGTACCACAAAAACATATAACATCAAGTCATGTCGAACTTTTTTCATAATATAAAACAAAATACATAAACTACAGTAAACTAGTTGAAAACTAGTTTAGGGATACCCATTCACTCGTTCCACCAAGGTTAGTGAATAAAATTAGAATAGATGCTTGGAATAAAGTTGTTTCACTCCATTGCCATTGAAAGCATATAAAGCGCAGGCTGAATAAAAAAGTAACTTTATTTTTATAAAAATACACTGGGTCTAAATAGTAAACATGTTAAAAGGAACACTGAATGTGGTAAAGTTCATTTCAGTTTACGGATGATCTACATCTAGCATTGCATTCTGGTAAGTAAGATTTTATCCCAACACTGATGATTTCCCTTGTTTAAATAATAATAGAAATGCATTTAATTGATTCAGAAATGTACTATGGAATAAGTAAAATGGAATAAATACATTGTTAAAGCATACTTTTATATTGACCTCAGTATCAATGGATATTACGGCAAATCTGAACTTCACCTTATTCATGTTTCATGAGTACATGGATACCGATGATATGATATTATATAAAGATGTCTTAATCCTTTATCTGGTTCAGACTGGATACATAAAAGGCTCATGCTGCTTATCTAGCTACAAGCTTTGCCAAAAAGTTTGGACATTACAATTTTAAAAACAGTTACATAAAATACCGGGGTATTATGTTAAATGTCATCTTCATATGATAATCCCAATTGGTCGCAATGAGTCACATGGCTAAACATCTAGACCTTTGTTAAGTTGGCTTCTGGTCAAGGGATTAGTATGCGATGTGACTTTTTTGCCCGTTTCCAATATTTAGGTCAACTTCTTTTCAGTTTGATGTTGTTTGCTTCAACCAGAACAGATTGCGTCGGAACACCAAAGCTGGATGTACAATGGTAAGTGGTCATTTTCTTTATTAAATATAGATTGAAAGAGAGTTTTTGTGACATGTACTAGTCTACAGATCGGAGGTGGGGGGATTAATCCGTGAATTTTGTATCAGTGTATAAAAACTTGTTTTTTTTAAATGCAATCACTTTTTTAATTTTTGACCTTGAATTTTGGACAAACAAATAATGGTTCCAAAAGAAGTAGAAAAAGTGCAAATGTAAGAGTCATTGATCTCTCATTTTTACATTTTTCATGTATTCATCAAATTCAATACATTGAGATGTTCATTCAGAAATCAAATACCTCACTAAAAGCACAAATATATTCACAATTCACTCCTTTTCGAATCTCATAACCTGTTTGACGATTTTTTTAAAATCATCAAATTTCTCATAATTTCCCAAACTATTGTATTAAAGGAACGAAATAAAGAATAAATATTAACATGCTTTAACCTTAACACACTATTAAAAGAAGAATCAGATCTATAGGGTGTACCAAAATTACAAGTATTATGTTCAGTTGACCAACCAATCTATTCCTTACAATCTCAAATACAATTTCTCCCAAAAGATCCACGATATGTTATAAATTGGTGAAGTGCCGAAATGGATAAAAAATGTTTAAATTCTCCCAAATGATAAAAATGGTAAAAAAAGATATAGAAAAATAATACATTATGAATATACAGGGTGGTCCAAAAAAATGGGACACTCGTATTTCAAAAATAAATATTGATTTTCTTGATGAAAACATGTCATATTATATACCAATGGATAGGGAATTTACTTATCTTTAATTTGGTATATCATAAGTTCAAATTTATTGTAATGTCTGTCAACCAGCGTCCATAATGTAAATGACGTCATTTTCATTTCAAAACGGGTTTTCCAAAACTTGCAAAAGCAAGTTTTATTGTCAACTTTATTTACATAAACAGACGATCAATATGTCCACCATTTTGATCAATTGTACCCCTCAATTTTGGCCTAAACTGGCCAATACCATTATTGATATGCTGTTAAAGACAATGAATTTCACTTGTCATTAATTCAATTCTGTCCTCAAGAGACTGAATAGATGTAAGGGGTTCATGGTACACCAATTCTGTTAGTTCTTCCCATACGTGGTAGTCGCAGATGTTGGTTGATCGTATGATCTGGGGGAGGCAGTGATTAGGGAGATGAATATAGGCACATTTTCTTTTAAACATTTGAAACTCTTCTGAGATCTATTGCTTGGAGCCCCATCTTGTTGGAAAATGTAATGATTCGAGAATGAGCTCATACCAGGGTCTACAAACAACATAAGTGGATAATGCGATGTCAACGTCTGTGACTAACTCGTATTGGGAGAACGAACAGAATTGGTTTACCATGAACCCCTCACATCTACTCAGTCCCTTATTAAGGATAGACTTGTTGAGAAATGGAATTTATTGTCTCAACAGAATATCAATGATGTTTTTGACCAGTTAAGGCCAAAATTGAGAGCTATAATTGATCAAAATGATGGACATATGAACGTCTGTTTTTGTAAAAAAAGTTGACAAAAAACTTGTTTTTTGCAAGTTTTGGAGAACCCGTTTTGAAACTAAAATGACGTCATTTATATAATGGACGCTGGTTGACAGACATTATAATAAATTTGAACTTATGATACACCAAATTAAAGATAAGTAAATTCCCTATCCACTGGTATATAATATGACATGTTGTCATCAAGAAAAACATTATTTATTTTTGAAATACGAGTGTCCCATTTTTTTGGACCACCCTGTATTATTGTGAAAATATTTAGGTTCTCCTCAAATACAGTATGCAAATTGGGTATTTTGAGAAAATAGATATGACTAGGAATGATATGAGCCCAAAATATTCTAAAATTCAAACAATTTTCGCCACTACATGCTAGTGACTACTTGCTATATCTGATTCTGTCTTTGAGCGAAGTATCCAGGTTGCCAAACTTATGGAGGGAGTGTATATTAGGCCTGGAATTGCAAATCTCGTGTTATATTTATTATTCTGTATTTACAAGTTAATTTCCTTACAATTTGAAATTCAGTTACAGACCGCGGGTTTCTAGACCATTGATTTTGAAAGCTAAAAATACGTCAACTTGTATCCTCAATTGCTTCGACCTAGATATATTCACCTCAATCAAGGATGCAGAAAATAACACTATTATATTTAGTGATTTTCAATGATTTGTTTTTATATATTTTATTTTTTAATTCCTGGGCGCCAGTTTGAAAGATGTGGAGAATTAGTGGAAGAAATATACATTGACGTCCTCTAATTTTTTTTCAATTTCACATCGAAAAATCAGAAAAATCTGAAGTTCAGTTTTTTAGAAGTGATTTTGAATCTCAAATGACATACAAAAACTTCCAGATTAGTACTAACCAACATTTTCAAAAAGGCCTTACTTAAGCTTTAATGTCCTGTTTAGAACCCCTATCCTTACTATTGAAAATTGATTCGAGCAATACTATCCCATATGAAAGTACTTACTGAGATTCGATCAACTTGAGTTCTTCTTAGAAAAACAGGAATTCAGCAAGGGTGCATTGAAATAACATGGTGATATACTTGATGGTCCAAATGCTAAGTCATTGGTCAATGGAGTATGTTCCCATGTTAAGTCAATGCACCCTTGCTGAAATCATTTTCTCAGAAGAACTCAAGTTGATGGAGTCTCAACAAGTATATCCATGTTGGATAGTATTGCTAGAATCCATGTTCAATAGAACATTTAATATTTCATGTTGAAGTGGAAGTCTATCAATGAGATAATGTATTTGATAATATCCTAGGAACTATTAAACAAATGATTACTTAGAACGGAGTAATAGGAACAATCATTGGGAAATCAGTCATCATAGAGTAAAATATGAAAGTAATGTGGATGTCAGAATGATACAATTACTAGTATGGTATATTATACCAAACTAGAAAACATACATCATAGTCTTTCATAGCAAGTTCCAAGGCAATCTCGGTATATCATCGCATTCAGCTGCATCACTGTACTGTATCAAAAACAATGGTAAGCACGGGTGTTAAGCCACGATGATACCACGAGCACATGCTCTGAGGATCCGCGTTGTTTGAACCTACCGCCGAGCTCACTTATACATCAAGACCTGTTACACAGTCATGATACCGCCGAGCAAGCTCATTGTATCACCGGGTCTGCTTTACCCACATGGTAAAGATCGGCGGACGAAGTTGGGCAGAAAAAGCAGAGTTTCCATGGCAATAATATTACATTGATTTACACTCCCCTCCATAAGTTTGGCACCCGGAAGTTACCTTTTGGATCGCATGTAAAATCATGTTTGTTTTTGACGATATCACTAAAATTGCACAGTTGTTACCTACTGTATTCGAAGAGCAAAAATGGGATTCAGACAAAAACAGGATTAACAGGATTTTTCGCTGGGACTTCCAGTTGCCAGACTCATGTAGAGGGGTGTAAATAATTGTAGTTTCTGTTCTCCTCAAAATGTATCTTAATTTAGTGCAAGATGTGGATAACTATGAAATATACGGTAATTCAAAAGGATGGACAGGTTTTGTGTAAGAGACGGAGACTGGTTAAGGCCGTAACTTGATTTTTTCACATGCCAAAACTAGAATTCTGAGTTTTCTTTAAACACTTTGAATTGAATGTTTCGGCACCTTGATTCTTCCATTACTTCCAAACATGTCAGATATATTTTCTCGAATCTCTTTTCAGATATTTAATTTTGGAAAAAATGCAATATTTTAATTTTGATTTACAATTCAAACGAGATTTAAATAAACAGTATGATTTATTTTTTACTTATCTCAGTTGTACACTCCCCTCCATAAGTTTGGCAACCTTTTCCCCCCATTGAACTACGTGTTAAAGCCTCTTTACGTTTGAATTTCTATTTACTTAACCTGCGATTTAAATACTTATACTATTAATGGAAACATAATTTGACTTTAATTCCAATACCTCCAAATTTTCTCAATTCTTTTCCTCAATTAAGATAGGTCGAAAATTGATGAGGAATTTGAGGAATTTTTGAAAATCGACATTCCCATGTTAACCAATGGGAAATGGTAGGTTTGCCGCAAGTCATATGACAGAATATCCATCCATCCGAGTCCTTGCAAAAAATACGAGTTAGGCAGGCAATTGAATTTGCTAACTTTATTTAACAAAAAATTGATATGTTTCTTCAGGTTCAACAAAGTTATAGGGCTTTAAAGTCAAAATTGTTTTTCAAAAAACCTCTCCCATTGAAATAACACAGGAGGCGAAAAATTATTTTCAATCATGACTTTGAAGCGCTGTAACTTTAATATTCATCATATAAACTAAACACTTAGTGTTTAAAAAAGTTAGACAATTCAATTTTCTATATAAAAATACTTTTTGCTGAATCTTTTACTGAAAAGATATCCTGATTTCTGATTTGGCCCGAACCCTCCATTTCCCATTGGATTACATGGGAATGACGATTTTCAAAAATTCATCAAATTTATTATCAATTTTCGACCTATTGTAATTGAGGAAAAAAATTGAGAAAATTTGGAAGTATTGGAAATAAAGTCAAGTTACGTTTCCATCAATATTATAAGTTATTTCATCGCCGGTTAAGTAAATAAAAATTCAGACTTAAAGAAGCTTTAACACGTAGTTCAATGGGGAAAAAAGGTTGCCAAACTTATGGAGGGGAGTGTAACGTCTTTCACAAAAACAACTGAGTTGTCACAACTTTTTATGCAGAGTGAACCCCTTGTCCTAATCATAATTTTGTATTTTGTGCTCTTAATGTACCCTTCTATATTGTTTATTTGAAGGGATTTCTATTATGATCTTTTTATGAAGCAATGAATATATCTTAATAAAAAAGAACACTTTTTATAATTTAATAATTACATACCCACTATTTTTTTTCCATTCAGAGCCATTTGAGGCCATCTTTAGCCAACTAACACCATTGAGAGTTGAAACACGAAGGCCTAGTATTTCGGGACTTCAACGACATCAAGCATGGCGGTAGGTGGTTTTAACATTTAAATTTTATCTTAAAAAATAAATGAGTCAACCATAACATGTAACTTGTAAAATGTGACATAGTAACATGTAATGTGATGTAACATGTGATATGGTAACATGTAATTTGTGACATGTTGCAAAGCTTGTTTTATGTGTTAATATTTAAAAGCTTGTTAATAAAGGTTTATCGTCTATTAAAGGTTTTTATGTCACCACCACGAGTAGAGGGTTGGTGTTCGGTGTTCGGCGTCTGTAACAAATGTCAGGTAGTGACACCTTGCATGTGAATGCCTTGGTTAAGTTTGCCTTGCGCCTCGCCTATATTTGGGTCCTGGCCACGCCCCTTCAAAACAATTAATTTACAAAAAGTATTTATTTTACGAATAGTTCAATTGTTATCCTTCGCAAGAGATCGACTTCATGTACGATGTTGTGTGGCTAGGCGATGGCATTCTGGGTTTTCGATTATTAGAGTATACTACTGAAATAAGAATGGTGTTGGTACGTTGGTGTAAGGTGGTGTTGGGTTAAGTTAGGTGTACGGACACACGGGTTCTACTGTATACTAAAATGTAACACGATCAGACACTGATACAGCCGAAAAGCAAATCAGATCAGGCACAACCTGTGATACCAACATACACAACCAACTTTTGTGAACTTGACACAACCCAAGGAGACACCCAGCATACAACACAATTGGGCACAACCAAACTCCTCACAATTGGGCACAACCTGTACCCACAAAAAACACAACCCAATCACCAGATACCAAGCATTGGGTTATAACAACCACCCAACGAAATGATCACGATATCAAAACATTTAGGCACAACCTACACAAACAAAATCACAATCAACATCCCACCCTTCATTAAGCTGCTTTTGAAGAACATATCATGGATCAACGCCCATGAGTTCGAAAACATTTCGGACTCTTACAGTGACTCGCACTTACAAGAGAAGATCCGCTATCAGGATTGGGATGTTTGGCCTCCTCTGTAAATATGACAATAAAAGACATGTACCACTGTCATCGTCCTAGGATCAACCAAATATACTCTACCTGACACAAAGAGGGTGTCCCAGAAATTGTACCCAAATGAAACAAGAATAACTCTTCTTTCCTTCATCGAAAGAGAATTTATTTTCCATTTAGCACTTCGAAAGTTCTAGAAAGATGTAAATTACTTCCGGTGAAATTTAATATTTTAGTTGACTTGCTCTAAATGATCCCAATTAGAGCTAAATCACTTTTGAATAAATTTTGAATATTTAATGATGTAATTCAAGATGATTTCAATTACATTACTAGATATTGAAACAGAAGCTTGCAGATATTCAATCAAATAGTGGAGTTTCTAATATACCTTTGAAATCCCGCGAATTCTCTTTTTCGTGAGATTTTAAGAGATTCACACATTAAACCTCTAATGACTTACCTTTGCCTTTTTAATAGCATATTTAAATTCAATGGGAACTCTTCTACAATCATAACTTTAACTCATACAGTAATGTCATTTAAATCATTTTCCATTACTTTTTCAACTTTTCTAATTTTGGGCCAAATCTCCATTGATGCAATGCTAAAGTTCTTTAAATCCTTGGTTTATTCGGATGACAGGGCCTTCCCATAGTATGCCATTCGAGTTTTAGACAGATTCAACCAACACCCCCATCCTTGATAAATCATGAAATTAAGTGATTATTGCAAGATTTTAACATTGAAATCTATGGCAGTCTGGCCCAACCATAACAAATTAAACAAGAGTGACATCTATTATGTCAGCATTATTCATTTATATGGAAACTCCCTTCACAGCATTGTTTTATGTTGCATCGGTACAATTTCTTTGGGGGGGACGTCAAGCATGAAAAATGGGTGATTGTACTAAAACAGGACTTTTCTCAAATTGTCTTTCAGTTGATTAAATGTCAAGAATATTTCTTCATCACTCATAGAGCTATTTTACATGTTTTGTCTCGGGTACAATTTATTTTGAGACACCCTGTATTGACTTGTGAAAGTTTAAGGAAACTGAGACACTAGACTATGTCTCCAAGGTCCCCAAAACGAGACCTGACATCGTTTGAATACAGATTGCATGACTTGATGTGTGTATATATTATGTGATGTCTCAAGACAATTTCTAATTCACTACCTCCATATTATCATCTTAACGAGATTGCCCCATATGTTTTCAGACCATGGCCAAGAGGAAAGTATATGAAATAGCCGGGGGATTATATCCAGGAAAGTCCATTGAGATCGGAGGATTGTTTATCAGCTGCAATGGGAAGTAAGGATATTTAGAATTGTATTTGTGTTTGGAGTTTATCCGTCAAACAGGTTTGTAACAAGTTTGAAGAGAGAGTGAGATAATACCACCACGAAGAATGATAATCATAGTAATTTCCTCTTTTTTGGGAGGGGGGGGGGGTGTCTTGAAAGAGAAAGATTTTCGACTGTCGGGGAGATATACAGGGTGGTTAGAAAAACGGCAACCCTGGATTATCCTTTTGTCTTTATTCCTGATATTTGGCACATTTTTACATCATATACTTTTCTATAAGCCCACCATATTTTACGACAAGACTGATGGTCAAATGTTACGGCACTTTAACTTTAAACAACATGCCCCAGCTAGCACGATTGTTTCCCCTGGATCATGTTGTTCAAAGTGCTGTTAAAATTTTGGGCTTTCAGTCGCACACCGGAATAGGCTGACAACGGTAAAGTCAGATACCGTTGTCACAAATGGCGGACATAACCGTCACTTCAATTAGATTTTCATGAAATTTATGTTTAGGCTAATAGAGCACCTAGGCTAAATTCCTTTGGAACAACAATCGATCAAAGTGTTGCTATACTCATTGTACAGTAATTATGTTCTACCATCGATATAAAGTCTTTAATTTAACCGATCAAATTGAGATACGGGACAACGGACAATTTATTACCATATGCCGTTGTCTTTGTAAATTATTTCAAATTCAGATTCCGTTGTCATTGACGATATCGAAGACGCTATATTGTGGCGATTCACAACTCAATTTGATCGAAATTGGGATTTCATATGATACATCATCACAAGAGCTAAATACATGCACATAATTAGCGACGATAAAATCCCATGAAATGAGGACCAAGTGATTAAAGAGCTGAAGCGACGGTTGTGTCCGCCATTTGTGACAACGGTATCTGACTTTTCCGTTATCAGGCTATTCCAGTGTGAGTCGGATGGCCATGAATATCGTAACCTATAAGAAGTTGAATGAAGTATATATGTGCTAAATATAGTTGCTGTTTTTGATCACCCTGTATTACATCTGCCTCGAGATAATCCTCAGTATATTGAACCTCATTCAAGTTAATCTCTTTAAACATTTTAATTGTACGATTACATTTAAAATCCGGCTTAATAAATCTATTTGGAACTACTTCTGTCACCGTTTGAGCCATACCATTAACTAAATGCATATACACTCCATGGTCCACTTCAAACGTTTGGCAACTAATGTAGAAGTGCCCTGGTAACTATGCGTTCAAATCCACGGTATATTGTATGTTTGGTGACTTTGACAAACTTGTCATAAATATCTGGCCTATTCTGATTGGATAAAACAAGTAATTCAAATTTAGAAATAGGCTTTTAACCCTATCTAACGTGGACTTCGAGTTACCAAACTTATGGCCGTTGTGTATAACTTTATTTCACCCCCATTTGTGTAAGATAATATTCAATCTTATTTCAGCTTCGCAGTTGCCCTTCAGTGTGATCAAATAGGGTCCAGACATATCGGAATCGCTCTGAAGATCTTAGTGGATTATCCTAGTAAAGAATTCACCCTGTCTTGGAACAGAAATGGGACAGAGTCCGAGTTCAAAGTTCAGCCATCCAGCTTTCCCTTCAATATCAAAGAAGATTTTTCTTTCGTTCTCGAGGCTACTAAAGAAAAATACCAAGTAAGCTTTATTGTGTGTCTATCTGTACACGTATCTTATGTGACGATGCAAAATATTACTTATGTAACAAGATGACCCCACCCATTCATTCATGTTGGGAACTTACCCAAATCTGCCCTGTTATAGGGTTTGTATGTCTGTAAGGACGTATCTGACGTATAGGATGGAATTCACTTCAATAAAGGCTCATATGGGCCATAACCAAGACCCTGTTATCTCCCAGTCCATTTCCCGGAGTTAGGAAAATAGATATTGGGTGGTAGGGGCAGAAATAATCCAAGACTCGGAGTTCTTAATTTCAATGTGACCTTCAATTCTTTACTAATTGACAATCTATGGCTTTACTATTTCAATATCCGCTTAATTTTGATAACAAAAACGGTTTTTATTTCAATTATGAATAGCATGTCACAATTTACATATGACTATTAGTATCCATTTATATTTCTGTCTGTGCTATTATCGTTTCATTAAACTACAATATAGTATGGGCGATTATAGAAAATTATATCTCAATGATCTGGGCGATTATAGAAAATTATACGCCAATGATTGATAAACTACAGCAAAATTGGCACAATTGGCAATACGAGAAAAAATAGCTAAAGTCTCTGCCTGGTATATTATTAGAAAGGTCATTCGAGCATTTGAAGTTCATATTAAAACTTGAAAGACTATTTTGCACTTTTGAGTTACTTGATTTCAATGTATTTCATAGGAACTTATGTATTTTCATCTCAAGTTTCAATAACTTTCAGCCATTGAACTTTCTTTAAAAACCCCAATACAATGGCACAATTAAAAAAATAAAATAGTTTCACTTATTTAGAATAAAAAACATTTACGTGGGTATCCACCTTTTTCTCCAACAAAAAACATTTCTCCCATAGAAAACACATCCTTTTAAAAACAACAGTCATTGAAAAAAGTTGCAAGGTACTAGTTACTAGGTCACGGGATACTAGAGTATCCGCGTATATTGAGTATGACCGGTTCTAAGCTTACGAATGTGACCGTATTTCTGTTCCTATAAACAGACGAGGTGAGTACTTGCTTTTTATGAACACTTTCGAACGTTTTCTTTTTATCCTACTTGGTCAATGAATGATACTTGGTATACTTATAATGCCAGGCATATCACAAGGGGCCTTAATCAACAGAAAACGTATTAATATTAGATTGAAGCCGTAAAATCCTAGTTTCCAGCATCTTTGATCAGTTTTTGTGTAACACAACGCAACTCCGAAGAGGATGACACATCTTATGTATAACATATAGCTAGATCTACGAATTAGTCATGAATATTTTAAGTAATTTAGCCTGCTCTTTCTGTCCAAATATGATACATCTTTGAATTTTTGAGAATACGAATGTCACTGGTGCCCCATTATTGGAGAATACGGTTGTGAAATGTCTTGGATGCCGTGTTACACTCGTTTCCATGACATTTCACAAGCGTATCCTCTGGGAAAAGATAAATCCTTCTCTTGCTCACTCTACGGGGGATCATATAAACTGAGATTTGGAGATCTTGTTCAGGTTAGCCATAAAAAGGTTTGGGATTTGTTTTTTTCTACTGTGATATTAATGATTTGGCTCTAAGGCGAGAAATCTGTACTTTCTGATTGATATTCCATTATGAACAGTTACATTGCTAAAATAGCTCATGTTTAACATTTTTTTGTTACATTACTATTAAATACAGCATAAACTATATTCAACAAACACAATTTCAAAAAGGATAATATAGAAGTTAACCTTTATTTTCCATTTTTAAGCAGCTGTGCCTCTCATGACTTTCCAAAACAGGTCATATTCGTAGCCTAAGAACCGGTCATACTCAATATACGCGGATACTCTAGTTACCCGTGTAGGTGAGCAATTCGATAGTATTATCAAGGTTTATTGATACATACTTGAAACAGAAAAATGATGTATTACTGCAACATATGGTGGTAATATTTATATCTAGATAACTGTGAATATCATCAAAGCGTATATTGCTTATTTCTCATCATGTAGGTCATTTGGACCTGGCACAATTGCATATAGGTTTAAAAAAATATATTGTTATTGGATTGTGTGCTTAAAAGCATGTACTTCTTAAAATACATATTGTTATATATCTAATTATTTGGATAAAAGGTTTGCAAACACACAGGTGGCAAGTAGACCTTTCGCAATTAAACATAAAAGCAGCTTACAGTAGCCATAGCTGCATACTGTCATTAGATTTATCAGTACTTTACTTGAGCTAATTGCTGTTATAAATATCATTGTTAAGGCTTTACTAAATCATCGTTCAATTCTAAGCAGAATTACAATTAGTGCAATGGGAAGCGGCATTACATATAACGAATAGATCCTGAAAAATGTTGATCAGTAAATTCCAGTTGTAATTTAAATAGAATACGCAAAGAGGTCTATACGCTGCATATTATACTAGTTCTATGCGACAAGAATGTTAATCTAGATGGCGATAAAATTATTTTAATGAAATTCATTCCAGGTGAGAATCGACGGATTATCGTTTCGAGAGCTTGAGTTTGAGCACAAGATACCTTTGGATACTGTGACACACATTGCTTTGGAGAACTTCCAATCGGTCTTCAGATCTCTGGAGTTTCAAGATATCACTATAAGCCACGAATACGAGAATACATTCACGCAATATGCCGACAATCCCGAGGTTACAAGAGTAACTCCTGTTGAGAGGGTCAAAGGGGCAAATACAACACAAGAGGAGAGTGTCACTACAGTAACCGAGATTACAGTTGAGGAATCCGTTACGACTAATAATGAACAAGAACACAATGAAGTAGTAATAGTTGAGGAGACTAGGCAGACAGAAAGTGAGATTAAAGAGAGTGTCACTACGGTAACCGAGATTACAGTTGAGGAATCCGTTACGACTAAGAATGAACAAGAAGATAATGAAGTAATAGTTGAGGAGACTAAACAGACAGAAAGTGAGGTTAAAGAGAGTGTCACTACGGTAACTGAGGTTACAGTTGAGAAATCCGTTACGACTAAGAATGAACAAGAAGATAATGAAGTAATAGTTGAGGAGACTAAACAGACAGAAAGTGTGACTGAAGCGCTTGTTGATGACATTGAAGAACAAATTGAGGTAGCTACTACATCAGGTGTGGAAAATACACACAAGACAACGCAAGGTACGTTTTTAAAATCTGAAAAGACAGCGCCATGCTATATATTACATATGTTAAAATCAAAAATAGAAAATGTTTTTTAATGAATGTTCACAAAGAAATAATTTATATATTTTATCTGAACAGTGAACTTGCCTAAAGGAAGAAGAAGCGATGTGGAATGTCACATCAAACATTACAGGGAATATAAATATTATTGAAGGTCTAAGCTGACAATATTATGTCGAATTTCATTGATTAAACATGGGCACGTTCACTGTTTCATTTTTTGGAAGATTACCTTAAAAATTGAAGTATTATCCTAAAATGAGGTCAGCATCGTTAGACTTTTTACACGAAAGGCATGATAAGGAATGGAGGGCTAGATCAAAAGCGTTTTAAAATTATGATATGGTTTGTTCCGGAATTACATATGGATGGCAATGGGGAATGTGCTGAAATAATCACCAGTTTGTCTATATGTCTGTGCCTGGCCTGCATTTGTATATCCGTGTTGTCTGATTAGCGTCCCTATAACAATTGAATGTGGGTTGCCATGAATTCAAGTTTGATCAATATTCAATGCTTTGTCGTTGGTACTAGAAGGTGTAAAAATTGATAATTATTTTTACATCATTTAAATTATAAATGAAATACAGGGTGACATAAAAAACGTTACTATCTAATTTTCTCAACTATGATGGAATCTGTATGGAATTTGTTTGTGTAGATAGAGTCTTCAATGGAAAAAACGGTGATGCATCTATACTTTTGTAATTTAGAGGAAACACTCTTTCCGACATGGTATGCTCTCATGTGAAATCGTCCAAAGATGATTAAAAATGCAAATCTGTAAAATTGAGATTTCTGTCTTTATTATCTGTCTTTATCTTTTATTATGCCATTATAATCGAGAAAGTTATTCCAAAACTAGAGGACAAAGTTGTTTTGTGTCACCCTGTACATGCAAACTTATTATTTTTGCAGGTGGTATGTTGGTAATCTAACAAATCGATTGTAAATTGTTCAGTACATGTATAACTACAACGAATACGGGCAAATTATGAAATCAAGCACATTGAAGGCAACGCATAGAATTTAATGTTTAATAAATTCGACTTGTAGGCAATTTAACAGACATCAAAACAGAGATAATCACAGAAGTTCTTGAACGTAAACCAGACGAAACGATTCAACCACAAGACGACGAGGACATTACAACAACTACAGAAGAGGATAAATTGAGCTTTCGCGAAGCGGTTGAGGCTGTCCTCCTGAACAGTTCAGTAGACAAAGCAAAAGAGAGAATTGCAGAATTTGAGGCCAACAATCAACCAATCCAAGAGGTCGACACCGTAGAAGTCAAGAATAAACCAACCACTACGATTGTGTACGACTATGACACAACCAACACCTCAAGTGACGAGAAACCACACGAGGAACTTCCATGCATAACAACTATTGTGTATGACTATGATACAAGCGTCTCCTCTACTCACACACATGAGAAATACGACACGATCAGTGCAATAAAAAACTCAACGAGTGAGACCAACAGAAAGAAAACACCTATAGTATACGACCTGGACACTAATGTGTCAACTACTCACAGATTTGAAGTTAATGAAAGGGAAAATAAAGCAGAAGACAAAACGATCAAAACAATCATCGTCTATGATCTTGATAGTAAGTTAAAAGCTGAACAAAGTATTTACAACACCACAACAACAACCACAACTGAGTCTTACCATACAATCAAAAGAAATGATAATAGGATAAGTGTTGCGTATGACGATGATAGTAATCTAGTATCAGAACAGACAGGCGCTCCTATCCGTATAGTAGAATCAAGAACAGATAATCGATACTATCAACGTGGGGTAGGATTCATAACAGCAGAAAACGGGCATATCGAGGAACAGGCAAATTCAGTTGAACAAACAGAAAAAGATTTGACTTTTTTGGAAAAAGTCCAGATAAAAGTAATAGAACCAATTAAAGAATTCGTTAGAGGTGACGATAAAGAAACGTCCGAATCTGAGAAAATTGAGGAGAGGGAAGAGAAAATTACGAAGATAAGTGACACAGCTACATCTGAAAAGAGCATAGATTCGGAAACCTTTCCATACAAATTACCATCTGATAAGATAAATAAATCAATTAATACAGAAATTGTAACTGACAAAGAATCTGAAAACGACCCGAGCTTTATTGAAAAAGTTCAACAAAAATTTAGCGATGCATTTAGAAATAAATCTGAAGAAGGCGATGAAACAAATGATAATGGTAACACAGAAAACATTTTAGGGAAAGAAGACAATACAAGTGAAGTCAACTCTTCAAAAGAAGATGTTCTAGCAGAAACTGATGGTATCAGTGATAAGGAAAAAACTACCGCCAATGAAGCCAATGAGTTGGGCTTCATAGACAAGGTTCAGCAAAAATTCAATGAGACATTCAGAAAAAAATCCGAAGGTGACAACGAAAAGAATGAACACATAGATCTTGATTCAGACGCGGACCAACAAGAAGTAATCGTTACCAATGATTCGCAAACACAGAGTGAACAAAATAATAATGCAAAATTAAAAAGCACAATTAAAAGTAATGAGAAAGACCCAAGCTTTCTTGATAAAGTGAAAGAGAAGTTGAGTTTCTCTAAGGATTCAGATATTGATGACCAAGAAAAGGTAGAAACAAACACAAATAAGCCCGAAGAAGAAAAAGAACCAGAATATGATAAAACAGATAATGAATGCAAAACTAAACCAGAATATGAGAATGACACACGATTCATAGATAAAGTCAAAGATACTTTGAGTTTCACAAGAAATTCCGAAAAGAATGCAAGGGATCCAGGAAAGGATGATAACATCGAAGAGAAGGTAAAAACAGTACAAAGCAATAACAATGATACACACGCTACTGATAGTGAATCAAGTGTAAATGACCCGACCATCCTTGATAAAATCAAAGAGAAGTTGCGTTTCACTGGGGATTCAGAAAAATATATCGATGAAGCAGACAAAGTAGAAGCAAAACAAACTGAGATTGTACATGCAATACAAGGGGATAGTGTAGAACACAGGGACACTAGTGACAACAATCCTCACGCTGTTGATAGTGGATCAACAAGAAATGATCAAAACCTTCTAGACAAGATCAAAGAAAGGTTGAGTTTCACAAAGGATTCAGAAAAAGATATTGATAATCAAACAGAAATCGATGCAAAAACAAATAAACTTGACGAAGTAAAAGTTGAGACTTTTGGTACAATTGACAGTGATAAAAGTGGTATTGATGGTGAACCTGCTGTTACAGACCCTAGTTTCCTAGACAAGATCAAAGAAAGGTTGAGTTTCACAAAGGATTCGGAAAAGGATATTGATGATCAGACAAAGGTCGAGGGAAAAACAAATTCTATTGACGAAGTGAAAGTTGAACTTAATAATACTATTGACAATGATAAGATTGCTATTGATAGTGAATCTGCTGCTACCGACCCAAGTTTACTAGACAAGATCAAAGAAAAGTTGAGTTTCACAAAGGATTCGGAAAAGGATATTGATGATCAGACAAAGGTCGAGGGAAAAACAAATGCTATTGACGAAATAAAAGTTGAATCTAATGGTACTATTGACAATGATAAGATTGCTATCGATAGTGAATCTGCTGTTACAGACCCTAGTTTACTAGACAAGATCAAAGAAAAGTTGAGTTTCACAAAGGATTCGGAAAAGGATATTGATGATCAGAAAAAGGTTGAGGGAAAAACAAATGATATCGACGAAATAAAAGTTGAACCTAATGGTACCATTGACAATGATAATAGTGCTGTTGATGGTGAATCTGCTGTTACAGACCCAAGTTTACTAGACAAGATCAAAGAAAAGTTGAGTTTCACAAAGGATTCGGAAAAGGATATTGATGATGAGACAAAGGTCGAGGGAAAAACAAATGATATTGACGAAATAAAAAGTGAAGTTAATAATACTATTGACAATGATAAGATTTTTATTGATAGTGAATCTACTGTTACAGACCCTAGTTTACTAGACAAGATCAAAGAAAAGTTGAGTTTCACAAAGGATTCGGAAAAGGATATTGATGATCAGAAAAAGCTCGAGGGAGAAATACATGATATTAACGAAGTAAAAGTTGAACTAAATAGTACTATTGACAGTGAGAAAAGTGGTATTGATCACGAATCTGCTGTTACGGACCCAAGTTTACTAGACAAGATCAAAGAAAAGTTGAGTTTCACAAAGGATTCGGAAAAGGATATTGATGATCAGACAAAGGTCGGGGGAAAAACAAATGCTATTGACGAAATACAAGTTGAACTTAATAATACTATTGACAATGATAAGATTGCTATTGATAGTGAATCTGCTGCTACCGACCCAAGTTTACTAGACAAGATCAAAGAAAAGTTGAGTTTCACAAAGGATTCGGAAAAGGATATTGATGATCAGAAAAAGGTCGAGGGAAAAACAAATGATATCGACGAAATAAAAGTTGAACCTTATGGTACCATTGACAATGATAATAGTGCTACCGATGGTGAATCTGCTGTTACCGACCCAAGTTTCCTAGACAAAGTCAAAGAGAAGTTGAGTTTCACTAAGGATTCAGAAAAGGATATTGATGAGCATCAAAAGGTCGAATCAAGACAAAACGAACTTGAAGAAGGACAAATACCCGAAGACAACAATCTAGATGATGAATACAAGACGAAGGGCGATTCAAGCTTTCTAGATAAAGTCAAAGATAAATTGAGTTTCACAGGTAATTCTCAAAAGGACATATATTCTGAAGAGAAGGCTGATGCAAAAACTAGTGATCTAATTGAAAGTGAAGTGACCCGTGCACCAAAAATAAGTAAAGAGCTAAAGGATGGCAGTAGCATAACCTTTGTAGACAAAGTGCAACAAAAATTTAAGGACACATTTGGAGCAAAGTCACCCGAATCCAAAGACATAGATCAGGAGTATGGTGCTAACATAGCTAGTGAGAAAACTGACTTTGAGCGTTTTAAAGAAACAGAATCAGAACCTCTGTATTATCAGAAGGGTATTGGATATATATCACCGATAAATGCCAAAATTAGTGATATTGATGAGTCAAGTGATGCTAAACTAAGCTTTGACAAAGGTGACGAAGACTCTAGTTTTCTGGATAAAGTAAAGGAAAAACTTCATGAAACATTCAAAAGGAACAATGAAAATGAACAACTACACGATGATGGTGTAACTTCTGGGTCTGAAGGTAAGATCCAAAAAGAGTTTAATAATATATTTCAAAAACCCAATAACGTATTTGAAAGTGAGGAGTCCTTCAACTCTAACGCAACAGATAACAACGTTATTAAAGAGGCAGAACAACACATCAAAGCAACGCCTGCTGCCATCGAGTATCAATCGCAGGATCCTCAAAGTAAATCAGTGAGTTTTAATGACAGAATTGAACTGTGGAAGAATAGCACCGATATTGATGACAATACATTTGATAATGAAATGAATAAAAATGAGGAAACATTGACTCTGGAAGGCGAACCGACAGAATCTGATAAACCAGGTTTTATTGGAAAGATAAAGAAAACATTTGGCGACATCACTGATAGTCTTAAAGATACAACTGGGAGCTCTGAGCAATATCAAGACAAACGTTATCATAGTGATGAAAGAATTCCAGAAACATACTACGAGGACGATCAATTTATACTTCAACGTAAAGGTAATGGAGCTATACACACAGAACTAACTCCACAGGAAAACGTCACGTTAAAAGAAAACACCCCATCCAAAGAAACTACAAATTCTAAAGGTGATTCTGACATTGCTGAAGGTGATGAAGCAACGCATGAGCAATTAACAGACATTTCTGAGAACAAAGAACCCCATGGGGACAATAAGACAAAACCAGACGTATCTCTCAAAGAACGATTCAACTCATCAATAGTTGAACCTGTAAAGGAGTTCTTTGCAGTCCATCGTGACACAGACGACTCATTTCATTACCTACAGTGGGACTACACTAATAAAGATAATCCATACAGAAATAATTCTGATAATATGTCTGAAGGTATGTCTTCCAAATCATCATACAAGACGGCTATTGAAGACCCTGATTGGGATGATCCGAATGCTTATATTAAAGAAGAAGATGGGCAGTCCTCACAGGATTCAAATCGTAACGAGATTCATGTGAACATAGGTAAGGACAGTTTTGGGAGAGTGTCTTCTAAAGGTGATACAATAACAGAGCTCCTGGACAAAGGTCCTATACGATACAGACAGGAAAGTACTGCACCGCTAAAGGCACTGCCTCCCACTCATAGCGGCCCTGTCTACATCTGCCAAGCTCCAATGATATACTACGGACAAGGGAGTCCAAAAGAGACAGCGAGATCTCCCGATCAAGATTCAATAGGGTATTGGTCAGAAGTAACATCAGAGAATGAATTCTCGCAGAAAGACCAAGACAGCCTGGATGGACAGCGATTTAAGATATCACCCATCAGTACAGTAGATGATGAGCCGTCATTCAAGCATAGTCAACAGGTGAGTGAACCTCTTTTGTTATTTAGGGCCCTATCACTGCGTCAACCCTGATGCCAATGGGCTAGTAGTAATAACTACACTCTGAAAAATAAAACAAAATACAGAAGAAATATGCGACTGTAATTTTGATTTAGTAACTAAAGATTGACTCTTCTGATTAATGATCAATGGATAATATCTTATTAAGAGTCGATTTTTGTACGTGTAGATAGTCAATTCGTTGTTAAATTTTCCCAAATATTGCGTTTCATATCGCATGCTATTATAGGCTCAGCATGCGTATGTATTGTATATTATTAGATTATCTTTGTATTAACTTTTAAAGGAGTCAAATTAAACTATTCGAAAGGGTATGATGAAAACATATTTGATTAGATAGTTCATCGAACGACCGCGCTTTTTGACCACAGCGTAACACTATTCAATTAACTTGACTAAAGACTGATTGGGCTCGTTCCCTCTGTTATGGTGGGCTTATCTGGCTTATTAGTATCTCGTTCAGGGTCCTGTTTTTTCCACAACATACCAGGTACATGTATAAGTGCATTCACTGTGGGAATTAACTTTAAATTATGAGATAAGTTAAGTTGTTACTTAGCTTGGTCACAGTTTGGTTTGCTGGTATCGAATACCCCCTATAAGTTAATGTTCTGTCTTGTTCAATAAGCAACACAATTTCGCATTAGATTGTGCACTATTTGGCAATAATTACGAAACACCGCGCAGACCACGAAAGATCACATTTGGCAAGCAATGGTCACTCAAGCTGTTTGTAAACGTCTTTTCAAATGGGGGTTTCATCTGTGATGGTATACTGCTAACCTCTGGGATTTAGGAAGAGAAAGTGATTTTATAACTGTTAACCAAGTTAGATAATGTCGCATTGCTTGAGCGAACATGTTAGGATATTCCATTATAAGATTCGTAAATAATATGACCAGCTGACAAAAGGAACACGTATCATCTTCTGAACATGTCAGTGCAGGTTAGTATGAGTTATTTATATGAATAATTACTATTTGCCTTAACCTTAAACACGTACTCATTGACGTGATCCCAAACGAGTGAGAGTTTGTAATTTTTTTTGAAGTGAACAAATTTCGCATCTAATATTCACATCGCTCTCATTATCTTGGGTCTCCGTCAATTACACAATTGTTCTGAGTTGTGCGATCTATGATCACGTTACCAAAAACCGCCAAGATCGTTACCGACGTCAGAAAATTAACAATTTTGATGAAGGAACACGATCGGATGTCTATCGAAACGTGAAGAAGTTAGTGTTTTAGGTTGAGACAACCAGTAACTATTTATATTTCCCAAGTAATTGCAATTAAGATCCCAGCCAAAAATGAAACAAAGAGGGACCGCAATCATAATTCATCCAACACGGTACAAAGTAACATTTTTTATTCTATTATCTAGGGGGATGTCAACAGTCCAATGTTGGTTGTAATGAAGTTGTCAGAGCCATTGAAGGTTGGACGGCACATCCACATTGAGGGATTTGTCCAGAACAAATGTAAATGGTAAGATGGAACAACTAAATACTATACTGATTTTGTAGTTATAAATCTCCGTTTTTCAAATACCTCTGGTAATTGCATTGTGCTTACATATTTATAGAATTCGCCTCGTATGTATCTCCTCCTATCCACAAGTATTTTGATGTTCGAGGACTAGTTTAATGTTAAACATATGATATGTCTTCTGGAGTGTTTTATTATTGTTGTGGCCCAAGCGGTAACTTGTTTCCCTTTGTTAATAACTGTTCCTTCTGTGTTTCTCAAGTACTTTTTGCTTTTCGCCATAGCGGTTGATCTTAATATTTGCAGCTATCTATAATATTTTATTCGGCTTTAGTTTTACAGTGAACCTTCAAAGTGGTCTAGAGGGACCCCCGTTGAGCAATCTTGCTATGAAAATGAGTCCAATATTTGCCCCTGATGGCAATGGGGGTTCCATCGGATTGGACGCTGTCGTCAAAAAAGAGTGGGTCAAAAGGGAAGATAGGCGCAAGCAGCAAGCAATTGCAAAGATAGAAAGATTTCCATTCTTCAGGGGCCACCCCTTTGAAATGGAGATTGAAATTCAAAAAGAAGGATATGTGGTATGTGAAGTCCTTTAGCAATACTATTAGAGCACTATGTTTAGCAAATAAAACATGTTTTAATTTAAGTTCAGCTGCAGTTTGGTGATCAATATATCGTGATGGTTCACCTTTTTTCGTCTTTATTTTTTAGTGTAATCGTACAGGTGCAGGCCCGTAGCCAGGATTTGCCAAGTGGGGTTCAATTTTTGAAAAATTCCAGGGGGGTTTACTTGGGACAATTTTGGTCCAAAAAAATGGTGAAAAACTGCATGATTTTTAAAGATTTTTGAGCCAGGGGGTGGGGTGGGGGGGGGTTCTCTCGAATCGAACCCCCCCCCCCCTCGGCTACGAGCCTGAGATCTATATTTCTATTGCTACATTAGCGAAGTTACATAATAGAGTTGTAAAATGAATGTAATGTGGCAGTGTCATACACTAGGCAAGTAAATCATAGACGTCACAGTGACTGGCCACCATGTTTCACTTTTGAGACACTCAGGAAATATTGGATGTGTTTAAAATGATTGTAAAACTGCATTGTCTGGTTTTAGGTTTTTGTTGACGGTACCTATATCCTGGGATTCAAGCACCAGATGTCTATTGAGAAAATATCACATCTCATCTTAGATGGTGATGTAAACTTTTACAATGTACATTACCCAGATTTAAAGGTAATCCAAGTGTAAAATGTAGAATATTCACACAGCCGCCAAATGAAATTCCTGTTACTATTTTACATAATAATAACAGTGTGACAATCATTAGTTAACTTTGACCTAGTTCTTACTTATTCATTCTTTCGTTGACAGCCCACAACCACCATCTTTTAGAAATAATTACATCCAAAAGTCTTAAATGATTGATTAATCTTTTTTTCCATATATTTGTGTGCATTTTACAATTGTAGACACTACCCTATGTGAAAGAAATCCCCAACGGTCTGTGTATCGGCGAGGTTGTATGTATTGATGGCTACATTCCAGAATACGCAGAAAGGTATGTACATTTGTATTTTTATTCTTGCCACTGCACTCTAAATGTTGTTCATAAGCGAATGTTGTTCATAAGCGTAGTTCAGATTCTGAATATATGTTAGTTGTACAAAAGGGTCGTCCTGATCCAGGAAATCTGTAAGCTGTTCACAAGCGTCGTCCCGATTCTGAATATCTGTTAATTGTACATAAGGGTCGTCCAGATCCTTGAAATCTGTTAGTTGTTCATAAGCGTAGTTCAGATTCTGAATATCTTAGTTGTACATAAGCTCTCGAAATAGGTATGGAAAAGGTATATCTTCAATAAATTAAAATTCCAATCATGACAACAAGTGTATGCCAAAAATCATACAAAAAAGCTAACACCATTAACAGAACTTGTCATTAAAACATTCTATTAACAAATTCAAAACAGAACAATACCCAAAGTTCGGACATACTTGCTCGAAGGACAATGTCAAAAACATTCAAACACAATCAAACCTAAATGGTTATTCCAATGGCAGAACATACAATCAAATACATTTTCCAATAGATTCAAAACACAATCATCATAAAAATTATATGGCAATCATGACGAACACAACATCCATCATAGACTATCACAATTTTCTGCAAATGGACATATTATAAAACATACATGACATATTATGTTTCAGTTTTCAATTTGGGTTCCAAACCAATGACCACTACTATCCTGATACCACAGTAGCCTTCCACATGAAGGTGCAACTCCAGGGCATGGACAGGAAGGCTGTTTGCAATGCATACATCAACAACAAATGGCAAGTGGAGAAGTTTGTGGACGGATATCTGCCGTTTGTCAGAGACAGTAAACTGGACATTAAAGTAACTGTATGGAAAGATTATTTTATGGTAAGATAGCATTGTTGTATATACGAGTAGTTTTATATGTTCTGGAGCGAGAACATATATTTTTATCCAACTATTTTGTGGACAGTGTTCATCATTTGGCGTTCGGCGTCCATAACAAATTGCAGATGGTGAAACTTTGCATATTGATGCCTTGTTTATTCCTAACGTACCCTCCAGTTTTATTTTGAGACTGCATGGGCCAACGAAATTCCCTTTTTTTATTATTATATCTTGATTACCGCCATATTATGGCTAGCAATACCTCATTGGTATATTCCGTATTTTACGTATTTTACACTCGAAGACAGAGCCAGAAACCCCTCCTTGGAGGAGCCCTGTGTTCTTTTGTGTGCACAGGTACACAGACATACAGGTACACACCACAGCCTTTAATACGAGTCGTGAACCACTCAGTCAAACACCCAGAATTACATAACGCACAAACAAACTTGTCTGAACCCGGGGCCAAGCGATATTGGTAACCTTTTGACTCTGCCACTGAGCCACATCGGGTGGACTAACTTTTGATGGAGTTCAAGAATAATTTACCGCCAACATTTGTATCGTTATTCAAAAAAACTCAAGTTTAATGACTAGTATTGTTTGCTACCTGATTTTGTATTATGTAAGTTCTTGCCTTCCAGGTGGACGTTAACGACAGTTTCTTTGTGGAATACAAGTATAATGTAGTGCTAGGAGATGTCACACATGTTGCGATAGATGGAGACATCAAATTATATGCCATACACTACCTTAACGTAAGTTTAATCAACTTTTAAGAGTTCATTTATATGAGACATATAAGAATCAATAAGTTTGCTTTGATTGACATTTGATAATTTTATGATAACGAAATTCAATAGTTTGTGCATCGATTTCAGAATAAAGTGCGCAGAACGAAAAGCAAAGCTGCAAGTCTGCTGAAGAACAATTGTTGCCCATGTGTTGATACGGACTGTTGCCTGTTATAGGGATAGGGGCGTGTGTTTCCCCTTCCCATTTTCATGTGCACTGAACGAAAAAGCAGATGAGCTAATCACTGTTTTAAGTCGCATGTTTTAAATGTGTTTCATGCATTTAAAATGCAGTAATGCAGGTAGACTATGAACTTAAATTTGTTAAAGTTGCAAGCTGTACTGTATAAACACTGATATATACTAAGCTATACACTTATACTATATACTTATTTAATAAGACTATAGAACGAGGCATATGATGCAAATAACAACTATATAATGAACTGGTGATGGTAATGCACTACAATCTACAGGGAGTACACTTCCCTCCAAAAGTTTGGCAATTCATCAGTATACAGCATGTTTATGCAAAGGACCGCGAGTTGTTTGTAGAATGAATCTGGGGAATATATAAATGATGATGTGATATAGACCAAAACAACCCAATGAGGTGTGTATAATGATCATCTTTCCTGTTATCTCAAAATCTGCTTGGAATTATACCATTGGATACTATGGGAAATTTCTCAGAGAAAATTCTTGGGATTAACGAAGGGGTACCATTTACATACATGAAACCAATTTAGAACAGCATTAATATTATTCAAAAGCGATCGTAATAATGATTCTCAGCTCTCTGAAGTTTGAAAAATAGATGTTCCTTGAAAATTAGAAATATTTTTTAGGATTATATGGTGCAATCTTATAGTCAATAAAATGTTTTAAAGTGAATTGATGTTTTTTTAGATGAAAAACACAAGCGAAATGCATGAAAAGGCCCCCAGATTCATTCTACAAACAACTCGGGGTTCTTTTACTTATTTTCTTCAATTACATTCGATCAAAAATTTGTGACAAAAATGATATAAATCATTCAACTGTGTTTGACATAGTTTTGCATCATAGTATGGCTGTAAAAATATTTTTCTTCATTAACAAGTTTCAGTTGCTCAAACTTCACGTATTTGAACACCTTGAAAGTTGAAGATGTAAATATCAGCGACCCATAAGTAAATAACAAAGAAAATGTTGCAATTTTTGGTCACCCTGTACCATAGTCCGGTATGTACTTTAAAAATGATTCCAATAAATTAAATGAAGTATTGTTTATACTAGTATTACAATTATATGGAATTGTATAGGAGAAATAAATATATCTATTTTATTACAATGTTTTTTTGGTTGTATTTTATCAGTTCAACTGGCCACGGTATTACTAAAATGGTAACAAATACTAAATACGATCTGAGAGCAAGTTTCCAAAAGGTATTACAACTACACTTCATGCATATTTTCTAAGAGTCTCCGTATTTCATTGAATTACGTTATAAACAATGGAAAAGAGGAAGACTCTTCGATCTAAATGAACCGTGGCCAATACCATCTTCATTCATCCATCCATCTAACCCATGGAAAGATCATTCACACGTGATTCGTTGTGCAGGTAAATCTTGTCATTTTGGCAGGAAGCGTTGGCGAGATTTGATTCAGTTTCTACAAATAAAAGGAAATAACCTTTAAAAATAATGCCGCTGAAAATGGTCAACACAATATTCGTTTATTAGTATTGATTAGTATTATTGTGATATCTGTTTAATAATCCCAATGACTCGTGCAGATGGTCGTTCAAAGTTTAACGATGCTTGATTCTAACTAGTTCTAACAGATGGATTTTGTTGAAATGAAAGTTATTTCAATTCTCCCAATTATTCTTTTATATGGAATTAAAGAGATTTTTTAAATAATCTGTTTAATAATCCCAATGACTCGTGCAGATGGTCGTTCAAAGTTTAACGATGCTTGATTCTAACTAGTTCTAACAGATGGATTTTGTTGAAATGAAAGTTATTTCAATTCTCCCAATTATTCTTTTATATGGAATTAAAGAGATTTTTTAGTATTATCATGTATTTGATTTGGGTTTTGCTTGTATTGAATCTACTTGTTATGTTTATGCATTAAAGGATTGGTATCGATATTGTGAACTTTTTGAACATCCGTTTCTCTTAAACCAGTAATCAAAAAAATTCTAAAACTTTTACACATCATCAATTTAATGGTCATCATTTGAATGGTAACAATATGATATGAAATGGATGTATATACTCTTCTTTATATTGTTTTAGAAAACACATCGGACACTTCTTTTGTTCTTGGTATCATAGTAGCCCGGACAGAATTGTTCAATGGTCACTTTTTCTTTAATAATTTTTTTAATTTTCAGTATTATCATAGTCTGATCACATATTTGAAAACTAGAGTAAAATTCTGACATACAAAATTGATTATTTACGGAGAATCTCTCAATTTATTGATATTATAGGCGTTCATAGCATGACTGACGCAAATACATAATTCATCATTTTGCCTCATATTTGTTCAAAATGGCGGCATATTTTGTGAATTTGAATGTTCAGTTGAAAGATAATATTTAGGAAATGTCATTGGCCATGACATGGAGTCATGTAGACTGCTGCCTTGGTATGAGGTAATGACTGCATTTATAACCCTTTGTTTTAAATTGACTTGTATGTATACCAGTACTTAAAAAGGTTTGTACATTGCATGTACACTATATTAGTAAGGTCGCAGGACCTAACGTTTTTTGGCCATTCCATTGTTACTCGTAGTGAATTAGCAACCTTAGTTTGTTTAACCTGTGCAACTATAGGGTCATACTGCCACAGTTTGTAATGTCTTTTTCAGTCACACGCCTCTTAACCCATCCTTGGCATGCATGTGCATTGTTCTTTAGTTTTTCAATGGCCTCTGAGATGGCTGTTTGGAGCTCTTGGAAAGATTGAGGACCTATTCTCAACACACCCCGCACATTGGGGCGGTACCTTTTCACATTCTCTTGAACACAAAACCGAACATTTCAATAGAGTTGATTTCATATACCCTTGGAGGGAGTTGACTTCTTGTATTTGATGATTACTCAGTTGCTGCATTACATCTGGATTGTACCGGTGGCAGCATGGCCCTATAGTCCTTTGACAAGCTTTAAATATTAACATTCAACTGAACATTAAAATTCACAAAATATGCCGCCATTTTGAACAAATATGAGGCAAAATGATGAATTATGTATTTCCGTCAGTCATATTACGAACGCCTATAATATCAATGAATTAAGAGATGTTCCTTAAATATTTTTTTTGTATGTCAGAATTTTACTCTCGTTTTCAAATATGTGATCAGACTATGATAATACTAAAAATTAAAAAAGTTATTAAAGAAAAGGTGACCATTGAACAATTCTGTCCGGGCTACTATGATACCAAGAACAAAAGAAGTGTGTTCAAAATGAAATGAAACATCTTTCCGAAGCTCATTGGAACAAAACGACATTAACACAACGTGTTTAGGTCTCTCAATATTGTTATTGTACAAAGGACATTTTGGTTGATTTTAAGTATATTGTTAATGAAATAAAAGGTTTATCTTAATTTTTATCTAGTTTTCTTTTGTGGGGGGGGGGTTGTTTTAATCTTTTGAATAGTTTTTGTTAACTCAACCGAAAATTCCTTTCTATAACTATAATATTGAGAGGTCTAAAAAAATTGTATATGTTATTTTGTTCCAACAAGGTTCGAAAAGACATTTTATTTCATTCTCAATAATTGGTAGAAAGGAACAAAAATCAATTGCACTAAAAAACAAAACATGTTAACAAATACAGTTATATAAAACATATATAAATAATTTTCGCATTAAATTGTTGTCAATCAGTCAACATTATACAAAGGACCGTGTTTTATTACAGAATGTTTTCAATTATTGGTTTAAGAGAAAAACCTTGTTTAATTCAATTCACCATATCGATACCCATCCTTTAATGAGCCCCTCAACCAGACAACAAATATTACCATCTTGTTGTGTAGGTCTGATAGAGAAGATATAGCTTCTGGTCCTCTAGACGTGACGTAACGTTTCCGCTGCCATGCCAACCTCACCTCCTCATTCAGCAATACGTGAAATATGAACATAAAGAAACCCTAGAGGGAGAATTCAAATAATTAAGAAATAATGAATTATTTAATTTTTCTTTGGGTTCTGACAGATGCATCAACTGACCATTTATTCATACAGTTATTAATGAATTAGTTATATGAACTTGTTATTTATATGAACTTGTTATGATGAATTAGTAGTACCTGTAGTGAATTGAGAACTGCAAAAATATATTGAAAAACGATGGCAGCCCCATCTATGGCGAGAATACCAAACAACCATGTGACTCCTAGAAGAGGCAATAGTGTTACTGCAGCACGCACACTCGACCTACAAGACAGAGCAGTCTAATTTGTAGTTGCTTTGCCCGATTGACACGTAATCATCACAATCTAGGGTTTTTTAAATTCAAAACAGTCGAGAAAAATAACCACATTCTTTTGCCACTTGACGTGTATTATCACAATTTAGGGTTTGCAATTGAAGAATTACCTACCTTATCTTTTCCACCTCTGACTTTCTAGCATTGACTCTGACACTTAAGAAGACTCGCAGAACTGCAGCCAGAACAATCAAGTTCAACTGAAAACGATGTAATAACTATATATAATCAAATGACACTGCATTTGAACACTATGTTGATTATTCGGTGCATGTGTGCAGTAACGTTGTGTTTAGATATCGTTTATGGTTATTGGCAATCAGAAAATTTACTTTATCAGGAATCCAAAGAGAAAAACAGATTTTGGTGAATTTTTGTCTAAAAAATTAGTATGATTTAGAAACACAATGGCATACAGTGAAGATATCTTGAAATAATTCAATGACGAAGGAAATCATATTGCGTTATATTTCGATGATGTATCTATAAAATATTCAAAAATTTAATGAAAAAATTATGATTTTATAGTTAATACAATACAATATAGATATCAGCATCCAAATAGTATAATGGTTATTCCTTTTCACTTTGACAAAGAGAGTATGCAAGACAACGAAGGTCCAACATCAAAGCATACATACCATGATGACAAAGACGGCAGGACCTACAAACGTCCAGATTGTACCAATCTCTATACTCAACCAACAACTGAAAATAATATTCATAGTTTAATCATAGTTTATATTGATTGAACTTTTTATATGCTTTTGTTTTGCATTTCCTCTTTTCTTTCCTGATGCGTTTTATCCAGTCATGTTAAGCCACAAAATGAGAACATAGCATTTGGATGATGTAATACACTTACTGTCGTTTAGTTCCATATCCCTTTCCCAATGGAGAAGCTGCTGTTGCCACAACAACGGCCAATGGCGTAACTATAAACAGATAATATGAATTTATTACCCAAATAAGGTATGTGTGAGAGTTGACACTTGACAACTACATTCTGATGTTCATAGCATCTCTCTAATGTTGCAAAATAGACTCACCCAGAAGGGCAGAGTTGGAGAAAGCGTGGCTTACCACGATGCATAACTAGATGAGGTCTTCTTTACACTCAAAAGTCTTAAACGCCTTCCTCTATCTGATAAAAACTCAAAAACATGCTGTATGACCTCACCAAATAAAACGTTCTATACTGTACATGTAGTACGTACCCCATCCAAGAACTAAGGCAATTCCAAGTTTGGGACGTCGTTGGAGGGGTTTATACAGTTTGCATAACAATATAACTCCCTCAATAAGCATCATTGTGAAGACAACCAGAAAGAAATAATGAAGGGACATAGCCACGATTTGACATATCAACTGAAAATATATTGCAAGTTATAAACATAGTGTGTCGTGGTAGTAATTCTTGTAATAATACTGTCAAACAGGATGTCGGTACAAATAGGAGGTAGACTGATGGAACAGCTAAAATAACGAGGATTTTGGATAGTGGCAAACCCAGGTTATGAGGGCGCAGCCTAGTGCCAACGAGTGCTTCTGAAAATAACTCAATGGTCAATTCTTTAAAAGAATATTGATTGTGGAAATCATTATGTATTGCTTTCAATTTTGCTCTGTTTATCTTTCATCGTTTCCTTTTCCCAGGCTTCAATTAGATTTATTAGAAACAATGATGTTTTTTCAAATTCATAAATTCTTTAGCCTAGACGACAATCAAAATTGAGTATCAGCTGCAATGTTAATCAAATGTACCGTATGTACCATGTAGAAGTATAGATGTAATATGACCTTTTATAGAACTTGCTCCCAAAACTAAATTTGTCCTTGAATAAATTGTAGTTGTAAATGTTGATAATGAAAGAACAATTATCCTTAGGACGTCATGATGATCAGTGATACAAAGATTGTTTGCATGAGATATCCTTACTTTGTCATGAATTGCCCTTAAACCAGCAACCAGCACAATCAGTGCTATCAACAGAGCTAGCATCAGATTTATCAGCAGAATACAAAGATTATTTGCATGAGTCATCCTTACCTTGTCATGAATTGCCCCTAAACCAGCAACCAGCACAATCAGTGCTATCAACAGAGCTAGCATCAGATTTATCAGCGGAATACAAAGATTATTTGCATGAGACATCCTTACCTTGTCATGAATTGTCCCTAAACCAGCAACCAGCACAATCAGTGCTATCAACAGAGCTAGCATCAGATTTATCAGCAGAATACAAAGATTATTTGCATGAGACATCCTTACCTTGTCATGAATTGTCCCTAAACCAGCAACCAGCACAATCAGTGCTATCAGCAGAGCTAGCATCAGATTTATCAGCAGAATACAAAGATTATTTGCATGAGACATCCTTACCTTGTCATGAATTGCCCCTAAACCAGCAACCAGCACAATCAGTGCTATCAACAGAGCTAGCATCAGATTTATCAGCAGAATACAAAGACTATTGCATTAGACATCCTTACCTTGTCATGAATTGCCCCTAAACCAGCAACCAGCACAATCAGTGCTATCAACAGAGCTAGCATCAGGTTTATCAGCAGGATCATCCGTTCAGATTTCAACCTACAAACATATATCACTTAATTTTATATCATAGTAAACAAGAGTGGCTGAAGATTAAGATTAAAATCACGTAAAGATTGAAATAAATCAAAGAAAAATATCTTCTTATTTGTATAATTATTGTTATATCTTTATTTTCCCATTACCCATGGATCATTTTCAACGTATTTACATCATATTGTTAAAAGTTGCAGAACAATTGCACGCAAAGTTTTTACAAAAAGTAGTTATTTTTCATCAAATTGAGCCGTGAGCTCTTATACCTGATATTATTATCACTTTACATGTTGTATAAGAGAGGAAAGAGTCTAAATATGTTCTCCTATACACTCACCCATATCTAAAGAGTATCAACAGAGATACAACCAATGTCGATATTGAAATGCCACAACCAATACGTGTTATAATCTCTAGTGTCGCACTCACTACAGGAGACATCTACAACCAAAATCATTTAGTCCAACAAGAACGAAATCCGATTATTTAAGGAATAAAGAAGCATGTATCATTCTATATTAGAAATATTAAAGCATGAGTGTATGTACTAACCCGTCTACACAATGCATGAAGGAGAAGCCTGAGTTCATAATCAGAATGGGTTAGTACATACACAAATGCTTTTATATTTCCAATATAGAATGATACATGATTCTTTATTGCAATTCAAACGTGACTCTTGCAATGACGAAGTACTATGTTCAGTAGAACAGTGCACCATTTACATCTGCAAGAGTGTTGTCTTTGAAGAAATTCAATTTTATATGTTTTTGGACAAGTTTATTATTAGAAATACTAAATAGGGGTGTTAGGTTACAATTGATATTCGTTTGGATACTTTTAAGATTTTGTTTGTCAAAATATTATAGAAAATGAATTAACTGATTTTATGCAGAACAATTATGAAAACCTAGTTGGAAAATCATTGCATTGGCTAAAATGAACACACTGATGATATGCTGTCACCCCTTTTTAAAGAATAGTACTGCTCAGTCCGTGCATTTCTCAAAAATTAAATGCACAGCATGCATGTATCAATAAATTAACACACGAAAATGCTTTAAGCTGATTGGTTGAGACACACTTGGCATGTTTGAATAGCAAATAATATCTGTTACTATGCATTTTAATCATTAAGTTTTTAGAATCAACATTTTCTTTATTCCAATCAGACTAAAGAATGGTTCTGAAAAATGAAGAATTCTTATAATAATGAACAATTAACATGTACAACGTTGGAAAATTGTTGCAAGTCATACCTTTAGAGATTGTACTTGCATGAGAACAGCAAAATTCGTCAAATGGTTACAATAACAGGTCACGTGAGAACGATTTGCTGCATGGACAGAACAACCATCCGTTTTCCAAGGGAAACTGAAGCAGCAAACAAAATAATTTTATTTTATGTAAAGGATAAACAGTGAGCCTTAGGTATAAGGTGAAATAATAGCCAAGGGCCGAATCGTTCATCTTAATCCCCACACTGACTCTTATTAAAGGTAAATGGTCCGTGATCTAAAGTTGATTTCATTTGAATTGACTTTCTGACTAGATGTAAGTGAGTTGATATATGCAAGTGAGTGAGTGGGCTATAAAAAGTCCAGTGTCAGTGCACTGCATGTAATAGCCCGGGTACAATGTGAAAATTTATGTTTTTTTTTTATACCATTCAACTATCAAGTGAGTGAATAGAAGACGAAGTGATTAGTTTTGCTTCAGTGCACTGTATGTGACAGTTCAGGTGTAAACATTGAACATAGATCGAGTAGAATTTGTAAGTAAGCTTAGACCAATACTGTAGCTAGCAACACAAATTAATTTATTGTTATATATTGTTTTATTTTAAAGAATGCACAGTAACAAAAGAAGAGTAAATTTGTCTTTTGTGCCAAGTGTCCATTCTTTAAAAACAATAGACAAAGAATGCACAGTTCTTTTGATACAGCTGTTTATTCTTTAAAATAAAATACAGTTCATTCTATTGTATTGTGACTAAACTAATTGCATTGTTGATATGTGCCTTATTGGAGAATACATATACTATGCTATGGAACCTTATATTTGATCTTTCCGTCCATGCTTTCAAAATTGGTTGCTGTGTGAATGCTAATAATGAATTATTTTTCAAAAGGAAGTTTGTTGTTGGCTACATGTTATGAATATGGAATGATTCAGGAGATAATGTGTCAATGATTGTTGCTATTAAACCTAACTAAACCCACAGGATATATTCCTTACCTTTCTGAAGAGAAATCAATAAATCCGCAAACTGGATATCTGCTTGAGAAGTTAGTTTCCTGTTGGATACAGAGACAAAGTAAGTAACGTATCAGGATCAAATCCAGACGAGATAAAGTCAATAAAAATCAGAAGCTTGTCTATCTTTGAAGCAATTGAAGTGTATCTTGAAAAACAATGCATTTTACGAGTCACTTAACTTACAGCAATTTTCATCACAATCTGAACTGGCTGGCTGAACAACTGCGAGCTGATACTAGATATCTTAATGGACGTTAACAAGTCACTGATGACTTCATAAGTCTCTGAAGAGCTTGAAAACACAAACATATAGTGCCAAAACATGTTATGTACTGAAAACACTATGATAGGCGCTGGCGCCGTAACCATGAGGTCGTGAGTTCGAGGCGCGTTAGGTCCCCGTGTTTATTCATTTAAAAGAAATATATAAGTTTCATGTACGTGCATGGTACATATTTGCACGGTCTGGACTTATTCAGGATACATTATTAGAGAAACTTCTTGAAGTTGAGAATTTCTAATGTTCACTGTTCTCTCACTAAGATCATTATGTCTATGATTACCAATAACTAGAAGTTCTTAACTTGGCCTAGTTTCTGCTAAAGACCTAAAGAGTATTGCAAATGACAAATGAAGTACGTTTCAATTGAATTTTCAATAGTAAACGACAACATATTTGTATATGGACACGACAAAATAATTGTTTACCTGTCATTTTTCAATTTGAATTTTGGGAACTTTCCACCCTTGTACACACCATAAATCACACGCTCAGGGATATCTAGGTAAAAATGGGAAATTTTTGTTTGCAAATTTACTTGATTGTGTATGGATTAGGCTTTATAGCATCAAAGTAGGCGATTATATTAACATATTTTTGATAAGTAATAAGTAACATTTAGACAAAAATATTACAATAGTGTTGGGAAAAACAAATACTAAAGCAAACATTATGGACACGCCTCTTACCAGTCGACACATTATTTGGGATAAATATTTTGTTTCCATCAAATCCAACACCTTGTTTTTCGATAACGTGTTGCCAATTTGTCGTGTAGTCCAAAGACAGCTTTTCTATTTTTATGTTTGTAGCTGTAATGTCTTCAGCTGCATCGCTGTGTAGCATTGCTTCACTGAATATATCCAAGATCTTGATTAGTTCGATGGAGCTGTTCAAATATTTTGAATTCCTTTCTTCTAAAAGGTTACTTGCAGTTTGAATAAATAGCTACAATAAAATTAATTGATATGTGAAATGTGTACATTTAATTATTCATCAGAAACTAATAGAGTCGTTCACCTTATAATTAATTCAAAATAAGTAAAAAAGTATGGCGTATTCAAACTATTCTCACCTGTTTGAAACGCTTTATATCTGTTTTCTCGTATAGTGCTGCATCGTTGAGAATGGAATGATTGGACAAAGCAAACATTTGACCCATGATTTTATTCATTTCATCTTTGTTAACCGTGTTATCCATCCCCGTCCTTTGGGCCAGCATGTGGATGTTTAAAAGTGCATCGGAAAATGTCCTTTCAGTTGTCACCATTTCAGTAGTTTCTTCCAAATTGTCAGTTACTTTCTAGAATGAGCACAATTAGAAAATACGTTTTAAAATAATATCAACCATCTTTTAATATAATACTGTATGCATCTGATCTCAAGTAATTCTCTTCTTTTACCTAATTTTAAAACAGGTGTTTCTGAATCACGGACTATTAACAAATATATTACAAATTCCATTTAATATTCTTGTAACCATTTTCATTTGAATTGAAAGGTTGTATTGCAACCTGCTCTGCATTTACTTTTGTTGTGTTAATCTTGTCTTGTGCCGTTGTTGTTTCATTTTCTTGTGCTACCGTAGTAATTGTACTTTGTAAGCTCTTCCCATGATCAGTTTGTGTGTCTGTTCCAACAGTAGATGTAACATTTGTTGTAGGAGCCGCATCAACCTCTACTACGAACTCATGTGTAACTTTTTTCCTCACCTCAGTACCTAAGTTAAGATGAACCCATCATCGTAGTGTACTATATATGTATTAATTTAGTATGATTGCAACTTTTTGATTTATTATTATAACACATACATTTTTCATCGCATGAATGGTTGATATGGACCTGCACCTTGTATTTTATTGTGAAATGCTTACCGTTATCAGATGCAATTATGATGATTGTATATGGAGATTCGGAAAGCTTTGTAGAACGTTCTAGATAGAGAACACCAGTCGTTAGACCTATTCTGAACGCACTTTCATCTTTCCCTGTAAAATTAATGTAATTGTAATGTTATATCGCATCATACAATGCCTTACTAAACCATACTAAACCAAACCGTATACCCTGCGTGCAGAGTCTAGTAAATAATAATAAACGAAGCTCTCTTTCAAGAAGTGAAGTCGAACGAATGCAAAGGGTAAAAACCGTACAGTGCAATGTAAGTACGTATTATAAAATATGAAGATAATTATAACTCCACGCACCTACCCGATATACTAAACTCGATATCACCATCCACCCCCTTGTCTTCATCAGATGCTGTAAATGTTGTAATAATTGTTCCTGCACTGACGTCTTCTTGTATAAAATGTTGCGAATTTGTGGCGTTATCAAACGATGGGGCGTACTCATTCACAGGAAGAACTGTCACCGTTGCATATTGATGCGTGTCGTCGTCTGGTGCTTTGGTAATTTTGATCTACATACCAGAAATAGACATTTGAAAATAGTTTGTTTATTGGCCTTTATTTGTGGGATTAAGCAGTAAGCTGACGATTTCGCGAAGCTACGGTCGCCGTACGCCCGACGTAGAGCAGAGAGTTAATGTGGGTTGAAGACCGTGGATTTGACAGAAGAAAAATCACAGGAGAAGAAAATGGAATGTTGACGTAATTCATCTCGGTCTTTCTTTTGATTTTTAAAATTACCCTTCACGTTATTACATATTCACAGTACTTATATCGACATATATAATACATACATTTTCATATACTTCGATCTGTTCGTAATCAACGTCATCTTTCACCACCAGGTCATAGAATAAATTAGCCCCAGACTGAATTCCAGCCGATTTACGTAGCTTAAATGGAACACTAATATTGGCTATCACTACCTCATCAGTACATGAAGCACTGGCGATCATCGTTTCCTTGGGAGAATTCTCTTCAATTTGTAGGCTGCTGACATTGAACTTACACAATGAATTTGCTGGAAATTAAGATGTGTTTTTAGAAAAACAAACAAACAAACACACAAACAAACAAACGAACAATTAATCATCATTCCAATCATGTCATAGATCTCAAATGTTTACGGGGCTAAAAAAGATGTCCGTCTGAAATCGATTATGTAGTTTAGATCTTAGATTTATCTCATCTATCTGATGGAATCTGACATACTCCAACTGGAATTCAATAGTCTTCATATTTCACAAATTCCACTTATCAGAATATAATCAGAGCAAAGGACATATTACGACAATGGAGTGCCTACTATTGAGAAATATCTATTCATGTGTTGTGTTTCCCTGGCAATCTCAACAAAGCCACAACATCATTTTAATCCACTACGCTAATCCAGGTATAAAATATAACAATGGTTTTATTGAACGGTTTAATTTAATACCAGAACATGACATGATGCGTTTCTATAGAATGCAATTAATTCCTTTGCTACAATCGTAAAATAGTAAATGTTCTTTAGCCTCTAACTTGTGGAATTTTAATCTAGGTGTAAGTACGTCTGAATCCAAGGCCTCTAGGTTACGGTACCTTCCCGCCTACTAGATAAAACACGCGCTTGATACCTCTCAGCCAAATCCCCATCCCCTCAAAATGGTTGTTTCACTAGCTAAGCTCACGGTGTAAGCTGGTAACACTGTTCCACAACTAGTTACTTTGACCAGGGATTTGACGGAACGCCAATGTAACAAAATGGATGAACTTCCTGAATACGTGTTTTTTGTTTTTCGATTTAAACCTACTTGTAAGTCAAGTTGCAGATTATCATTTGGCACAAAGTTAGACAATATAGTCTAGCTTTTGGAAACGCTCTCGGTTTGGAATCTGATTTTTAAATAAAGCTGTCATTTATGCATTTAGACCATTGCCTTTGTTACATTGACGTAAGTCAATGTAACAAAAGCGAGGGACTAAATATATGAATTCCAACTACATTAACAAAACACATTTGTGGCAAATTATAATCTGAGATTTAGTTAAAACAGTGTTAGTCTCAGATTTAGCCTTTTCAAAGATGTCATCTATCCACAGTTAATACCCTCATTTATTGATGACACAAAATTAAAGGGGCAACAAGGCCTGTAGCAGAAGTGTAAATTTAGTTCAAAGCTTCAAAAAGGGGAAATCCACTTTTATATGTTTAAGATCCACCATGTTTCAATAGGATTATCAGCTGAAATAATGTTTATCTAGGGGGTTTCTTTGTAGATAATAAAAATAGATGTAAGTCTTGATGGAAAATCCAAACTTAAATATGTTTTGACAATGGTCCATGATCGTTGAATGGCCCCTCTGCACTAATTGTTGCACCTTTAATTGATGTCCCGGAACAACTTCTTGGCATACAAACTATTTCTAGCTTAAAGACTTGTCACTTTGAGTCTAAGAATAGGTACTTGTATAACAAATGATGTAATGATGAGATATAAATACTTACATAGCACGAATGTAAACCTTGTTGTAAGGAAAAGCTGAAAGAAGTTTAAAATATGGTTATAGTCCAACATTCGTATAAAAGAATTACATATATAGAATTAAAGCCATATTGACCAAACAAATTAAATATTTTTTTTACAGAACTCTGCATTGAAGTTCGGATTCTTTTCATTACAGCCGATAGATAGACGTCCTTGGAGAGCTTCAAAGATCGATCCTTAATGAAAAATAAATGTACCATTTGAAAGAAGTGTATGGTAGCTTTAATAATCTAACCTGTACGGATCATTCGAGGCCAAATTTGAAAAAAAAGTTTACTTCATAAGTCATTTGAGCGAAACTTTTAAAAAAAAGATTTGTCATTAAGAAATGTTCATGAAACCCTTACTTGATCAATCTGTAACTAACAGACGTTTCCAACGACGTCTAACCCTATTTCTGACCCTTTCTAATGGTATATTCAAATTATGGAAAATAGCGACATGTTTTGCCTTCATTTCTCAACTATTATGAAACGGTCACAAATATAAAATCATAATATATTGCAACTCTCATCTCATAATTATAGTTATAACAAGAGTAGAACTAATTGTTAATGTTAAAACGTAGAATGGTGTACATCATAGTAAATTGAAATATTAAATACTTACCCCAAGAATCACTCTGTAAAAATCCATTCCTGCTATTTATTGTCGGTTTTACAAAAAAACGAACGATTTCAGAATCAATCACCCGTTAAATTATTACGTATATGTTTTCCATTAGCCTTCATAAAAAAGAAACACGCAATCCCGCAATCTGGTTATCCAATTATCAAAGCATTAGAGTTCTATTATTTGTAGCATCCAACATATTAGAATAACAATCATTTATAATCTGTTCAATTCGGTATATCTACAGATGCCCCTTTACTTACTTAGATGTCATTTCAACTATCGTCGTCATTATTTAGTATCAATATCACTTGTATATTTTTTCCTCGCATCTGTATTAAAAAGCAACCGATTCGACGGGTATAATACCTTTCTAAGAATACAATAATCTCTGTTTTCATTTTACCTTATTAATAACTTATGCTATTCCAATCTTAGTCACGCTCTCGTCAGAACCTTATAATTAAAATCACAAAGAGTATGTTTGTAATCCATTTTATTAACAACGACAGGTGAACATGAATCGATGCATCACAATGACCACCGATCTCATATCAGAATTTCATCCAATTCTACTGACACTAAATAACGATTTTTAAAATGTTATTTTAAGGGGGTGACCGAGACCTATTGTTCTTGTAAAAGAAATACCATCGTCACCATTCTAAAACATGATAATATGACATTATGTTGGAAAAACAAGCAATTTGATGGTAAACTTTTAGAATAACATTTATTACGTTTTTATGGACAATTGCTTTTATCATTCCCAGTGCTTCAATATCCTGAAAACTCAAGAAATTACTATAATTTGTGCAAGCAAGCGCGTCAAATTACAAAGCTAGATACACATTTCTCTACCGTTACATGAAATTCGAAATGGCGAACGTCCGTAACAAATAATTAATTACGTTTTACAATCGCCTGAATTTTAGCCATATAATTATAACGTGTCACCCATATGACACTCTCAGTATTTATGTTATGTTTTTGTCACACTTATGGGTCACATACTCACATTAGCAGGTAATATTACTTTAGTCAGTCATATGAATCACTGTTAATTTATTTGAAGAATAAGTTCATCGACATCAAAACTATTTCCAATGAGTGTTTACTACAGAGCTTTGAAATCTCGTTGAAGTCTCGTGTTGAATGAGATTTTATGAGATCTGCGTTTTTAACCATGACGGACCAACGATATCTTCTAGAGTGATGAGGGGAACTCAAAGAATTTGAAATGTTGGAGTTAGTCCTAACTGGAAATAAATCAATCTATACACCCAGCCTTTAGTTTTCGAGGTAGTTAACAGAAAACACAAAACAGGAGATGAAAAAAGTATGAGGAATGAAAATTCTTTGAACTGAGATAACACATACTACACTACGCTGCTACGGTAGGGGACGTGTCTGGGGTGGTCACTGTATACAAAATTCAGTGGGGGTCCTAGGCTGAACCCTCAGATATCAATATGTGCCCATACCAATGAAACAAAACGTTAAGTTTAATTTCTTGTATCTATTTTGGACGTTTTTGTTTTAACTTTTTGAATACTTTTTGTTAAATGAACCAAACTTTCCTTTGTGTAGCTATACTATTGAGAGGTCTAAGAAAATGTTATATGCTATTTTGTTCCAACAAGGTTTGGAAAGATATTTTATTTCATTCTCAAGAATCTGTAGAAAGGAACAAAAATCAATTGCACTAAAAAACAAAAATTGTTCACAAAAAACTATAATATGAAATATATATAAAAACAAATTTCGCATTAAATTGTTTTCAATCAGTGACCATAAAATATAGGACCTTGTTTTTTATAGAATGTTTTCAATAACAAATAGGTTTGAGAGTTTGAGAAAAACAATTTTGAATTCAGTTCACCATATTGATACCAATCCTTTCAATTATTCCCATAACAACCAAAAGGTCGCCCAAAAACCATACCAAATGTCCAAATATAAGACCAATGCCATGCCAATGTCCATTATAGAACCAATGCCATACCAAATGTCCAATTATAAGACCAATGCCATGCCAATGTCCAATATAGAACCAATGCCATAACAAATGTCCAATTATAAGACCAATGCCATGCCAATGTCCAATATAGAACCAATGCCATAACAAATGTCCAATTGTAAGACCAATGCCATGCCAATGTCCAATATAGAACCAATGCCATAACAAATGTCCAATTATAAGACCAATGCCATAACAAATGTCCAATTATAGGACCGATGCGAGACTTGATACAAGCCTATGATTGATCCAAAGTATAATATTTCATGTCCCGGGGAAAAAGGTAAAATTTCAAACTGAAGAAGACCACAAGGGAAAAAGCAGATCTTTGAAGAAAACGATCCAAAACAACCCTCAAATTAGGATATCTGTAACTATGAGACCAGTGCCATACCACAAGTGTAAGGTATCGTATTTTCCACATCCATGCTCATACACGAGTGTGGAAAAATCTGACACTATAACATTTTTATCAAAGTTGTAATGTAGTTATATTTGTATTGTGCTAAAAACTAAATTGTATGATTGGAAATGATATGGGTATAATCCTGTTATAGCTGAGGTGATACTAAATAATTATTTCAACTAAATTGGAATATATTTTTGCATAGCTTCATGATATCATGGTTCCGTATCAGATATTATAACTTTGAATGATATATTCTGAGACGACTAAACAACAATAAAACCTTCATATCAAAAGTTATTATTTATTTTAATCATCAGATTTTACATAGTGTAGTACTCTCTTGGATCACTAAATGTAATCCATAATATCCTGGCATTCACATGACTGAGAAAAAAATTAAATATGATTTTCGAACAACGAAACTTAAAATAGATGTCACTGTTGATGCATAGGATAAACATTTGTAGATAAAATTCTCAACTTCTTCATTTCGCTTTCATCTCATCTCAGTTTAAAACAATGTCTTAACCTTGGTTCAAAACGCCCTTCTGTCCTACAGGCGTCTAAATTCTTCTGACTTGACCTAACGCAAGCAAGTGGGAGGGGGATCAATTGTATTTTTCTTATTATTGTTTTGGAGCCAGGCCCATCCCACCATTTTGTCGTCTAGCCAGAGCCACAGATATGATACATAAGTAAACTACAGTGCACTGGAATAAACTAACTACAAAAGAAAACTGTACTAATCGAAACTAAATTAAAGTGACTTCTAAAATAAACAGAACACTCGAAAGCTCACTAAGTTTACCAAAAGAGAAAAAAGTTTAAATCAATGGAAAACATTTCCAATCCATAACTTTATATTTTAGAATTAGTTAGTTTGGCTTTTCGCAATTTACTGAAACTACTCGAGGGAAAGAATGTATTTGATTGTCTACTAATTGATTTAAAATAATTTAAAATGCTAAATTCAACTGACACGAACTGTCCAATCAATATCCGGCGAGAGATAATATCCAAAACTAAAATTGCGATTAAAAATCTATATTTCATAAAAACACGGATTCTAAACGGGTTTTCAATTCATAAGAGTTATTCAATATTGGCAGTTCTTGATTGAATTCAAATCAATTTCATGCTTATCAAATTTGGTTATTATCTATTAACACTCGTTAGCATCCATGTATAGTTTACTTTTTATTTGCATATAGACGTGGTCCTGTTGGATTACAAGACTTTTAATTGAATTAAATTTCATAATTTTATTTAACTAGGTGTAATCAAAACACTAAGTACAACTAAATGGTAAATTGATACTGAGTATTGCAATAGAACATTTGATACTGCATGCGATACTACGTGCACATTATTTAATTCTGGACATATTATGATTATGGACGTCTAGTGGATAAGGCGCAACTATGGCTTACAAAGTGGATTTCCTATATCCGCTGATTTTCCTTATAATTCTGCAACAGAGTCATGGCCTTGATATCATCGAGGACCTGTTGAAACTTAATAAAGGGAAGATTAAAGGTAATAACGAAAACGGTCTTATTGTATATGATAGATGTCAGAGAAGGCCTTACAGAGTATAGTTTTTTTTATCATAATATATTTATTATCATTTTTACTTTTACATTTACAATTTACAATACATCATAACCGAGTATACTCTTTGTCGTATTTCTTAACTATCCGCTATTTATATAGGCAATTATTTTGTTCTCATTTGTGCAAAATATATTATTTTGTGTGCATATTCATGTGTTTATAGCTTAACACATCATTTTTGACAGATCTGTGCTTTGACATTGTGTTTGCTCTGGATCGTTCGTGCAGTGTAGCTGAGGAGGATCTTGATAGAAGTATAAGTTTTATGACACAAATGATCAAAGAAATAGATATAGGAGCACATAAAGTACAGGTATAGCGAAATATATATATATAGTTTTTATGTCACCTCCAGAAGTGGTGACATATTTTTATGGTCTTCAACCTTTTTTCGGCGTCTGAAACAGCATTCGGAGTCTGTAACAGCGTTCGGCGTCTGTAACAAATGGCAGAAGGGGAAATTCAACATCTTAATGCCTTGTAAAAGTAGCATTATCTTACTCGACCAAACCATTCGACTGAGGATGCTACATTTGAAATTAAATTTGAACTGAATCACATGCAGTTTCTTTATTTTTTCAAAAGAGGCGCATTCTACTTTTTTCCTGATACATATTTTTAATTTCTCCTCGTAATACTCAAGGTCGGCTTGGTTGTATTTGACGACGGAGCTCGTATTCTCATAGATGTTGGTCAGTACAATGAGAAGTCTCGCCTGCTAGAAGCCATAGATACTGCAAACTATACATACAATGGTTGTAAAACTGCCACGTGGACCGCATTGAATCTGGTCAGGACTAGCAAAAAGCTGCTCAATAATAATGAGATTGACCAACAGACCAAGAAACCTCGTCAAAAGATTCTAGTTGTTATAACAGATGGTGTTCCGTTTGATACAAAACATGTGAGTGAATTAAAAAACATTTTACTCATTGATAAGACTTTCGAATTTCGAAATCCAGCGAAATAATATCAGTTCTCACTGAGAGCCCTGATCGATGCATAGGTTTTATAATTTGAATATAATTAGAATGATCTTTCAGAATATGGGTAAAATGCTGAAAATAACTGAAAAAGAAGCTGTTAAGAATCACGAGGCTGGAATCACGACGATTGTCGTGTGTATCAGGAACAGCGATGGTGAATATGTGGAAGATTCTGATGCGACTATATTTGACAAACTAGCGAGCAAACCACTAGAAGGACACAAGTTCTATATTGATAATTTGGAGGTTGATGCAAAGAAAGTCTTTCCAACACTTGCAAGGTTTACTTGTGATTGTAAGTTATATCGGCTACTGCACCTACATCGTATCATTACTGTCAAGTTTTATTTTCAATTAATTTGAAACATTTCCTCGACCAAACTGTACGTGATCAAGTAATAATCAAAAGCATGTTCTGTTTCCATTTTTAGATCGATGTTCCAAACCGATAGATATTGTTTTCATTCTGGATTGTTCAATGAATGCCGATGGTTACACTCACAAGGCACTTGACTTCATCGTATCTCTGCTTAAATCGTTCCCCATCAATCCTGAACGGTTTGCCAGAGTTGGGGTGGTCACCTTCAATGATCATGCAACCGTTGAGTTCGGTCTAACCAAACACACCACCTTCGAGGATATCAAAAACGCGATTGAAAATATAAGAGGTGTTCACAAAAAGAACCGAGATACTGCATATGCTTTTAAAACAGCTCGACAATCCGTGTTCTATGCAAATGAAGCTAGAAACCGGGTGGCTAGTAGAGTAAACGTGTTGGCAACAAGTGAAAGAGCTTGGCCGAAGGGATACCGACAACATAACATGAGAAAAGTGTTGGGACAGGCGCGGTACAATGAACTATATGAGATAAACACCATTATCATTGGTTTACCCCCGTATGAGCCCAATATAGACACACAACAACAGATTCTTGATGAATGGCAGAAGTTGGTGACCAACAAGGACACGAACAACATCTTTGACATGAAATCAAGTCGGGCTACTTTCGAAGATCTTGAGGTGGTCAAAAACTACATTGCAAAACAAATGTGTGATCTAGTTGGACTAGAATAATGACAATTGCAAACATTTAAAAGTTTCATTGCACAAGTAATTTAATAGTTAGAAATTCCAGACAATGAGGATGCTTTAGTTATGTATGATCGATGTACGTAGGTATTTATAAATTACGGCCAATGACCGAGAAACGTCCATCAACTTTCGACGTTAAAAGCCTCACGTTGCCAGGGGAACGGATCAACATAACAGAATCTTCAAAGAGTCCATTGATTCGTTATAATTTCTAATAACAAATACGTCAAAGAGTCTGTATATTTTTTAGATGAGTGTTATATTCGAATGTAAAAAGTGTGTAAAATGAAGGTTGTTCAGGTTATGTTTATTTTTGTTAAGCTGAAAAATTATAATAGATCTAAAAGAAACATTCAATCACCACTTGAGTTTTGATTTAAGAATTGAATATCAAGGAGCTTGGTCGTGGAAACCACGATTTACCAAACTTTATGTAGATGTCGTATTTTGTATGATCAATTTTTATCTATATTGAAAAATTTTAAGCAGTTTAAACGATTAAATGGTTCGGTTTAATGCATGACCTATCTCAGGCTGAGGTTGCAAAACACATTGAAATGATGCTAGATCTATTCAACAAAAGAAACGGTTGTTCGTTAGAAGAAGGTAATCAAAAGGGCGGATCAGATAAGTAGAATAAAATGGTATAGCTAACGTTTATATACCAATCCTTCATGACAAGAAAACAAAGTAAAAGACAGGCAATTGGTTGCGTTTATTTGCATAACTAAGAACCATTTTAAGTGGCTTGGGTACACATATAACACAGTCGATACTTACATAAAAAATACAGAAGATGAATATCGACAGAGTTAGTGATTCTAGGAACAACGAGACTAGATAACTCGGAACTTAAATATGATTGATGATAGATCGGCATAGTCCGATTGATTTTATTATTTATTTGCCTCTCTAAACTTTTAAGAGAAGAGGAAAATGGCAAATACGTTGTCATGGATACTTCTATATTTTATGGTCTATATTTGGGATTCACAGGCTTCAGGTAAGAAATTTTAAGGTATCGTTTACATGTTTTTCAAACCTAATTAGCTTATAAGTTGTAGGTATTACGATCCCCGATACTTAATACATAAGTTAATAATCTGCATAAACACCATAGGTCTTTGGAACCCTTATGGCGAGAGAAGAGACCAAAATCAAATGACATTTTGACCGTCAAATAGGTCGTTTTATGTCTAAAATAGATTTAAGACATATTTTAGTGATCAAATTGTTAGGTCAAGGTTATATTATAGGTTATTCGGAGCTCTCGGATCTGGGATTTGCTGAAAATATAGATCTTTATAAAAAAGTTTCAAGGTTTACCACTGGGGATGCTGAATAATAATTGTTTAGAAAATTGGAATTGAACTCACAATGTTTTTCACTTGGCACATTTTAAGGTGGATCCCGGCTGCATTATTGTGTTTCATGGATTATGGCGACGGGATTTCGTCCATCCCACATCATTTGAGACTGAATGCTCTTTTATGAGTACTAGTATTTACAACTACATTTGATGTTTTGAGTATTTGCTATAATTTTTTCTTCAACATGTATAGTAATGACTACAGTATGAACCAAATGTCCCTTGGTGTTCTGGTTCTGATTGGATGGGGGAAGGTGGTGTTAGACTTTATTCCTTTTCACGTTAGATTTTGGTTTTGAGATATATAAGGTCTATTTTTCTTATGACAGATTTACACTTAGAGTTTGCTTTTCTTGCTAGTTTCCTTTACAGTTTTTGGTCCTCTCCCGTTGGCACTTGTGCTTAGATATTTTTATCTATCTTATTGGAAAATAACATTGATGAAATACAAAAAGGCTTTACATATCAAGGGCAAACTGGAAAATACCAAGAAAAATCCAAGAGTATACCAGTCATAAGGAAAATAAACCCCAACTTTCCTGAAACATAATCCAACGGAAAAAATTTTCGATTCATTTCTAAATCTTCTTCAGGATTACTTAGTTAATGAAAACACAGAATGAAATCCTGTTTAGATTAGGATTACTTCAGGTTTACCTCAAGAAGATTGAGAAATAAATCGAAAATTTGTAATCTCACATATTTTTATGTTTTTAAAACACTTAATAACATTATACATGTACACAATCTGAGACCATAACAACAAGGGACATTTCGTTCAAATATTTGCAAGTCATGTTGAAGAAAACTTTTGAAATCGATAGGGCTCCAATACTCAAAACATCAAAAATAGATACTATAGCATTCATTCTCAAATGATGTGGGACAGAAAAAATCCAATCTCGATACCCATAAGCATATCAACATCCATCCGCGAAGTCCACCATAGTAAAACACAATATTTCACAATCATCTATAAATTCTATGAATGAATGTTCATTTGGACATTATACAGGTCGTTCAATAAATAAAGCTAATTTTGCTCTTAGTCTTTTATTCTTTGATATTCATAATTCAAATTTTACAGAAGAAGCATAAGGTATTTGTCTCATTATTCTGAAAATATGTTTGAGATATATTGAAAAATAGCAGAAAAGTGGTTGCCATAGCAACTCAGAAACGGACTCAGCAAAGCAAAGGACCACGTGAGGTATGGCAATATCGAGTGCTATCAAAGGCAAGTGATTTTAGCAGTCGTATCTTTCCCCTTGGGTACTTTCCGGCCATAAATACAGTGATTTTTATTAAAACAATATGTTTTCTTTGAGATGAAGTAAAATATGATAGTAAAATATCAATCCAACTCTCTGGAAAAATATGGATTAGGACCCCACCTTGGCACTTTTTTAAAAACGTTTCGCTTGTTTTCTTAAAAGCGGATCTTGTTTGTCTCAATTTTATCATATCAGACGTTTCTTCTACACTTTATTAACAACTTCTGAAAAGGGGATGGGTATTGAAATGCGCCAAAGTTAAAAACCATATATCTCATGTTATATTCCCATAGGGAAAACTCAGACTATCCATTGTTTCAATACCATTTATTGAAATGACATGGAAAGATTGCCTAATGATTTCAATGGCAAAAAGTCATGGCAAATATGATCTTAACTGTGACGTGACATGAACTATTTTCCGCAATATCTACAGTGCTATTAAAATCGCTCCACTGAACCCGTTTCCGTGTTGCTATGGCAACCACTACTCTGCTATTTTTGATTTTGATATAACTGAAAAACATTCAGAAAAGTTAGACAAATGTATGATTCTGTTTCTATGAATTTTGAATGATTGAGACAAAGAATAAACGTTTTAGAGCAATTTTGCAATGTTTCGTAACAATAATTAAATTGAGTTAATTATTCCATGATTATTCGTCACATTTATGCCCAGAATGGTATCACAGTCATATCAAATCCTTTGAGATAATCATCCCTTCCCATCCACATTTACTAATATTGGAGTTACCATGTAATTATTGTGCACGTTGACTCTTAAGCCATATATCTGCAGCTTGAAGCATTGATTATATTGGTGAGAAAATGTTCCATTCGTTTTTTACATGTAACAAATACATACATCGTTATAATGTAAATGTTTGTAAATGGTGTCTTTAATAAGCTCAAAAACGAAGTAAGTCTTAGTTTTTGACAACTTTTGAAAACATTTTAAATACTTTTATAAAACGGTTAAAAACTCTTTCGAATATTTGGGACTTAAAACATTAAAGAAGTGACGCCACTTTCTAGCTCAAGACATCCTTTTATATGCTAGAAATATTCCCTTCCATGGTCGTTACTAATAAACATAAGATCATTCTGGGCTGGACTTCGTGATTTCAGAGACGTTATTGACAAGATAAACACAGGATTGTTCAGTCATTCATCTTGAGATGTTATTAAATCTAGATTTATTCTAAAGAACTATGATATATGTCAACATGAAGTGCGTCCTTAGTTTTTATATTAGCTGAACTGACATTGAAAGTCATATGGTAAACATTTTGCTTACATTCTATAAATGCCCCAAAATAATATTGACAGATCGACAAGCTAATGTTATTAATTATTTTTTTAATGAAATATATGTTGACCCTACTTGTACAATGTTTGGTTTACATGACGAAAGAACGATTTTTCACCAGGGGCTTCTGGATCAATTGACTAAACAACTTTAAATTATTATCAACATCTCGCTCCCGTTTGTCTTTTGAATCTGTTGAAAAAGAATTTCTGGCATATATTTATAAAAGGCCTAAACCAACATGTTCGATAGAATGGTCATTTGATTCAGTGAAAGGTATCACCCATAAGGTTTAACAAAATATGCAAACAATATTATTATTTGAGGTGTATTTGAAAAGTTTTTTTTATGAAATTCAATCACTGAGTTCAATAATAAATCAGCAAAAGAATGCGCAATTTAAGATGAAAAATCTAACACCAAAAGTCTTTAAAACAGTAAAAGCAGAGTAAGAAAAGAAATATCGACATGTATACATTTTAAAAATCATTTTCAGCTCCAGTTGCAAAGAACCTTCCAGCAAGTGTCAACTTGAACGAGGATTGTGGAACTACTATGACGTTATTCACCACCATAGCATCTGACGCAGATGGTGACCCAATAACATTCTCTTTGACTGTGTCCCCAGCAACCAGTGTGTTTTCTGTGAACTCAGGTGGGTTGTCACGTAACTTGTCACCAACTGGCATCTTTGATCGATGTTGATCTTTGTACCTTCTCGTTTGTTTTAAATGTATGGTCTGAAAAATTTACACTCATATACAAGACACTACTCAGACACTCATATCGTATACAATGACTATGTTTTGACCATGGATAGAATATTTTTCTAATTAAATCTATATGTTTTCTTTCTCGAAGTACATGTATATCAATCAACTCTAATAAGAAAACCATTGTTCAGTGCCCCATCTCGGCACTATCGTCACATTTTCAATATGACTTATTTGGAATTCCCTTTCTCATGTTTACCATATCTTATAAAAGGTTGAAAAGCAATTAAGTTGAAAACAACATATCCCACATTACGTTCCCATACCAAAATTTGTGATTTTCCCAGTTAGACTTTCAACGCCAAAAACGCTCTCAAGAAGTGAAGTATAATTGCAAATGATAAACATAGCATGGAATAGTCACTATACCCCAATACACCCTTCTTTGGTATTACGAAACATCTTAGTTCAAAATGATTTTGTCATGAGTAGTTTGTTTAGAAAACTACTTCATCTTGACTTCTTGTCATAGAATGATAATGGATGCTTAATGCTGACACATATATGGTTTACTTTTTCGTTATCGATACTTACATATAATGTGATGCTTTTATTTTACTTCAACGAATAATAATAACATCAATCTTGCCAGGAAATAACTTGATATAACAATTGATGATTTTTTCTATGAAGATGTATTACATTTCATTCTAATTCGATAATTATAGATGGACACGTCATATATGATGGATCTACTCTAGACCGTGTCACTATACCCCAATACACCCTTACCATCACAGTTACAGCTGGTGGCGAGACTGTTGTGGGAGACTTAACAGTAACTATCACATCTTCTTCGGCTGATAATCGACCATATTGGCTCCACTCACCAACAGAGAGAAACCCATTAGTTGAAGTAAGCATTCATTTTGAAAATATCAAAGGAAACGAAGCAACTGAAATGTATACGCAAATCAATTCGAATATAAAGTTCATATTTGCTTGACGAATTACGTCACGAATCGTAACAGAAAATATCTCTACAGAGGGACGGTCGAAATTAATACTATTCTTGTATTTCATTATCAAAATTCAATAGAACTTTGCTTCATTTATTAGAGAGATTGTTTCATTGAATTCCGTATAGATATGTCGTATATACTATTTTTGATCTGAAAATTGATCTTGCGTCACAAATCTGACAAAAAGGGTATGAGTTCAAGAGGAACATGTCAGAAATTGTATCATTCTTGTATCTTATTATTAATGGAACTATACTTCATTTACCAGAGGGATTGTTTTATTGAATTCCGTTGCAGATATTGTATTCAAAAAGTCATCAGAAAGTCTGATATCTGCATTGATCCGAAGGCTGTCACAATTTGATTATCATATTGTTACATTATTGACCTGAATTATAACTCCTCTAATATATTGTATTTTATGCTATCGTTTTTCAATGTGTTAGGAAGTAACTAATTGTCAGTTTTAACTACCAAACCGTGGTTATTGTAACATTATTTCGATGTAATTTTTGTCAATATTATTCTTTGCTTCTTTTTAAATTCCATTTTGATAATTTGGATTCTATTGTTTTCTCCCAACTCAAACTTTAAAAAAATTAATAAACCAGATTGAAATGTTAGGGATGTTAAAAGGATTGTAAAATACTCCTGGTTGAGTGTTGGTTGGAGAAACCATTTTATTCAAAAGAACTCATTGTTGTATTTTCTATTTAAATAAGTTAATACGTTCTGAATAAAACATATGGTTTAATATGTTTGTTGCCTGTGGTTGTCTCGTTCGTTTATAACAGGGTGTTCAAAAAACGCAACCCGAAGAAATCGCTATATCTTGAAAAATACTGGTTCAATTATGTTCATATTTTCAGGAAATAAAGAAGAGACTGTGTATGTACAGCTCCTGTAAAAGGTTAGTTGTAAAACTTGATGCCTTGGACACCTGCTCAAAAGACAGCTGCAGTCAGGGGTGACTGCAATCGCAAAAAATTAAATAACTTCCTAACCATAGTATTTTGACTCTTCAAATTTGGCACAAATCATCTTCATTCAATGTATGGTAAATCTGTAGAGTGAAATTAAAAGCACTTGAGGTACATTATAGTCATGGTTAAAATGCTTAATTCAAATCACAGTCCAACGCCCTTGTTCAGGGAGACTTAAGAAGCCATTTTGACCATGACTGTAAAGTCCCTAGGGTGATGAAACTCCACAAATTCACCAAACATTGAATGAGGATAATTTCTGCCAAATTGAATTAGTATTTTCCAAGATATAGTGATTTTCCATTCATATTTTTCGTATTTTGCTAGTACAACTGTCTTTTGAGCAAGTGTCCAAGATATCATGTTTTACAACTCACTAACAACAGGAGCTATACATACACAGTCTCTTCTTTCTTTCCTGAAAATATGAACATAATTGGATTAGTATTGTCCAAGAAATAGCGATTTCGTTGGGTTGCGTTTTTTAACACCCTGTACCATGGCGTTTCGAGAAGCCAGAATGACTGAATGGTTACAATTGTTGCAATCATTTACTGCTTTTCCTATAGATAACTCGTTCATAAACCTTTCCCAATTTCCAGGTATCAGTGCGAGAACATTCCCCAGCAGGGACCGTGGTTTACAAAGCAGTTGCAGCAGATCCAGAAGGCCTGTTGGTAGACTACTACAACTATTGGGAAACACCCTCCTCTGCTATCATGAATGGAGGAGTTGAGTGTTTTGAATTTGACGAAAGTGGTATGTTATTTCCAATCAAATTATGATCAAACGTGATCCCCTCCTGCTTTCTCAGACCATACATGTGACATATGACACATTTGCATAGCCGGAGGGGGGGGGGTGCGATGGGGGCGATCGCACCCCCATCCCCACAAGAAAAAGAAAAAAATTGTTTAAAAATACATTAACAAATTATAGTTTGAAATGCCTAGAATAAACCATAGACGATGTAAATTGAAAAAACTTCCGGGGTTGAACAACGTACTCCCCTTTCTGGAGTGATGCACACCCCAAAAATCGCACCCTATTGACAATTGCCCCTGTAACATACACTTAATTTATAGTTCTAATTGTATTACAGCTGGAGAGCTTAAAGTTGCGAACGCAGCATGTTTCGACTATAATGACCTGGTAACTCCTGGTGACACTGGCCCCCACTTAGAGCAATGGATCGAAGCCTACGATGGAGTAATGACAACGTCATATGATTACGACATTCTTCTTGCTGTTACATTTCTCAGGAATATTCCCCCTGTTATTCATAATCTACCGGACAGTGTGACTCTCACAGAGGCCCAGTTTGCCGAAGAAGTCATATCCAATGTGAACGCAACTGATAATGAGAATGACCCTCTTACATATACAGTCGTAGCTGACGTGACTGATGCACCATTCTCTATTGATAGTACAAGTGAGTATTTATCAAAACCTAAAGTGGAAGGTCTTTCTTGTTCAAAGAAACTATTTTCTGCATTGCGTGAACACTTTAATATCGTACAAAAGGCTGTGGTGTGTAATTGTATGTCTATGTACACTCGACTGCCCTTACAAATGGGTTTTCACATTATTTTATACCATTTTCTCAGTCCAAGCATCAAGGTTAACTGGATTGCCCTTGCAAATAAGTTGCACTTTGAGTCTTGAATATCATTTCATGGATTATTCCATGGAATGATATTATATATATATAATATAATGGAATATATTTTTTGTCTTCTTTCCTCCATACATATTTCTGTATATGCATTTACATATGATCTCTCACAACTACACAGTACTACATGCTTATCCTTATATCTGTAGCATTTGAGTAAGAGATGCTCCAAATAGTGTTATATCTTGTATATATGTTTGCAAGCAAATCACTTGCACCCTTTTATTTTTATTTTTATTTGTTACTTTCTATTTCTGAAATGAATTTAGAATCCGTTACAATATTGATGACAATCAAAGCATTGTGTTTCGTGGCTGGAAGTATTTTATTAAGCATTTCAAAGGAAAAAATGACTATTCAACTAATTTTACCATTTGAACTTGACAATGGCTAATTCTCTCAAAGATCTTCCATTTTATGAGTGTTCAAATGTTGAATTTATGGACATAACACATGGACCTGACTTTTTTGATAATTTACTTTTCAATCCACTTGATTTTGACAATCAAATTGCAAATGAAGATCACATTGACAATGTACAAACTGATATGCATAAAATCGCTAAAGAGTGTAATTATGTGAATATTGATAAATTAAATTCAACAATAAAATGTGATTCATTTTCACTACTCCACATGAATATGAGAAGCTTACCAAAAAACAATTGGAAATTTGAAATGCTAAACTCTTTGAGTAAAAATGCCTTTTCTGTGATAGCTATGTCTGAAACATGGTTAACTCAACACAATGAGAGGCTTTTTTCACTAAATGGATATAATACTGTATTTAATTCGAGAAAACAGTCTAGAGGTGGGGGAGTTTGCCTCCATATTGCCAAACAGTACACATTTGAGGAAAGGTCGGATCTCAAACTTAATTCTGATAAATGTGAATCAGTGTCCATTGAAATAAAACAAGATGAAGGAAAAAATATTATTGTAACTGCTATTTACAAGCCTCCAAATGCCAACTTAAATGATTTTAATAATCTATTTAATATGTTTCTAGAAAAAGTGGCTTCTGAGAACAAAATTTCATATATCCTTGGCGATTTTAATGTCGATCTTTTTAAAGCAAATGACCATGATCAAACAAATGATTTCTTGTGTAATTTATACACAAACAATTATATGCCGTTGATTTATAGGCCCTCAAGAATAACCAGAAACTGTGCTACTTTAATTGATAACATCTTTACCAATGCTCATAATATTGCTCAATCTGGTATCATTTTGTATGATATTTCAGATCATTTTCCCATTTATGCTGTTAATAATCATGAGAAGCCCAAAGTTAAAAAACTAAAGATCCAGTACAGACTAATTAATGATGAAACATGTACAAGACTCCAATCAGAGATCTCAAAGATTAATTGGCATGCTATTTATCAATCTCAGTGTGTAAATAATGCTTATAATTCTTTTATTGAAACGTTTACCGAAGCTTATAATAGGTGTCTACCAGTAAAATCAAAAATAGTCAGCACTTTCAATGATAATGAAAAACCCTGGATTACTCTTGGAATTATTATATCAGCTAGATACAAAAATAAGCTTTATATTAAATACAAAAAGAATCCAACACTGGAAAACAAAGCCATGTATAAAAGGTATAAAAATAAATTAACTCATGTAATTCGTAATGCTGAAAAAGCTTATTACAAAAATAAATTTGAAGCAAATAAAGACAACATAAAAAAATCCTGGAACATAATTAACACCATCTTAAAGAAAAAGTCTGGACAATCAAAAATTAATAATACATTTAACCTTAATAATCGACAAACTACAGATGGCGCTGAAATAGCTGAAAACTTTAACAATTTCTTTAGCTCTATTGGCAATAAACTTGCAAATAAGATTCATAGTAATACTGATCCAATGGTTAATTTAAGAAAAATTAATTCAAATGATAAATCACTCTTTTTAACTCCTGTAACAGAAACTGATGTTAAGAATCAACTTAAATCTTTGAAACCTTCCGCTGCTTCAATAGACGATATTAAGCCCTCAGTTGTCAAATTACTAAAAGAATCATTATCAGCCCCACTTACACAGATCTTTAACCTGTCAATCTCTACTGGAACATTTCCTGATGCATTGAAAATTGCTAGAGTCATTCCCATATTTAAAAAAGGTTTAAAAGAAATTTTTAATAACTACAGACCCATTTCTATCTTAAGTGTATTTTCTAAAATGTTGGAAAAAATTGTTCATGATAAGGTTACCGTATTTCTTGAAAAATATGAAATTTTATACTTACACCAATATGGCTTTAGGAAAAAACATTCAACATACATGGCCCTTTTAAATTTCATTGAAAATATTAGAAAGTCTTTAGATTCAGGGAAAACTAGTCTTGGTATTTATATTGATTTAACCAAAGCCTTTGACACTGTTGATCATAAAATATTACTTCAAAAACTTGAATTCTATGGCATTCGTGGAGTAGCTCTTTCTTGGTTCACAAGTTATCTTGAAAATAGAAGAATCATCACAGAATTTACAAAGAAGAATGTTTCACTCGACCAATTTACAGAGACTGATGTGAAATATAGATCAATTGAAAATACAGTTGAATATGGAGTACCTCAAGGGTCAGTAATAGGCCCCCTCTTATTTATAATCTTCATTAACGACATATATCTAGTCTCAAATAAACTATCCTTTGTTTTATATGCTGACGACACAAATATTGCGCTTACTGACAAAAATATTGAAAATCTAGTCATTGAAATGAATGAAGAATTACAAAATGTCTCAAATTGGATGAAGGCAAATAAACTAACTCTTAATGTTGACAAAACCAAGTTTATGATATTTAGCAATAAAAAAGATCTGAACAACAAGAACATTATCCTTAAGATTGACAACCAGCCAATTGAAGAGGTGAAAGAAATTAACTTTCTTGGTGTTATCATTGATTCGAAGTTACACTGGTCTCCTCACATTAACGCTATATGTACAAAAATCTCTAATTTGATTGGTATATTATACAGGACTAGACATCGACTGACTTTGAATGCCATGACTACAATTTATTATTCAATGATTTATTCTTACCTGAGCTATGGAAATATCTTATGGGGAAATGCCATAAAAACACTCATTCAGAAATTATATATATTGCAAAAGAAATTCTTAAGAGTCATTACGTATTCTGATAGCTTTGCCCCTTCAGGTCCACTATTTCAGAAGCTAAAGATTTTAAACGTATTTGATATTCATTCCCACCAAACAGCTAGCTTTGTACAAAAAACACTTTCTGAATCGCCTGAATTCCCTTTTAAAAAATTCAACCATCTTTTCTCATTAAGATCAACAATTCACTCACATGACACAAAATCAAAAAATGATTTGATTGTTCAACCATTTAGAACAGAATATGGAAGGAAATCAATTGGGACAAGTGGCCCATCAATTTATAACACGTTATCTTCTGATTTGAGAAACTCAGTTCATATTAAAATGTTTCAACGAAAGTTTAAGTTCAATTTGTTAAGTCGTTATTAGTTATTTTGAATCATACTTCCACTATGTTACATCAAGGTAAAAAAAAGTAGATCCATGCTTTGTAATTTATGTACACTACAATAACTGTTCTAACATTACATGCTTTGTGAATAACACATTATATTTTTTCAAAACATGGAATCCATACACCCCGCGGGGTGTCCTTTTCATATCACTTGTAAATTTATATTGTATGAAAACTAGAATTGAATAATAAATTGAATTGAAATTGAATTGAAGTGCACATAAAATAACACAGGGCTCCTTCAAGGAGGGGTTTCTGGGTCTATCTTCAAGGTTAATTACGTAAATTACGACCGTATATATACGGGATACACCCAAGAGGTATTGCTCACCTTCATTGGTGGTAAACAAATACAATAACAATACAATATGGGTATAAATAAATGGCATTCTGTATATTTTGTGTTATGTACACGGTTGCTCTAATTGATTATTCAAAATTATTTCAGATGGCTCCGTGTATGTGACCGCCAACCCTCTCTTCGACCGAGCTTCTACATCTTCATATATTTTAACAATTTCTGTGTCTGATGGCTTCAACATGGTATCATCAACGCTCACTGTGAACATAGTAGTCCCTCCAACAACAACCACTACAACCACGATCCCCCCATTGGTAGTTAACCTTCCAAGTAGTGTTGATATACGAGAAGACATCACTCCTCCAGTTACAATATTTACTATTAATGCTACTGGGAATGGGCCTATTCAGTACAATATCATCGATATGGCCCCGGCTGGTCCGTTCTTCTTGAACTATTCAGGTAAGTCCATAAATTGTTTTAGAAACTATAGTTCATTGATCAAATGCTGGCTTGGCTTAAATTTTTAATCTTGTGTATTTGTTTCGCTTTATATATCCACGGCCGTAAATCAACATAATAGGGAGTTTAAGCTTGCAATGTTTTTCACAACCTAAACGTAAACGGAAAATATTTAAACTATGCATTTGTATAGGCGATCGGTCATACGTATAGGTTCACGTTTCGATCATATGCAAGCTTAAACTCCCTATTAAGTTAAAGGGGATACCCCAAAAGGTCGAGACGCATTTTAATGCATTATAATGTGTGAAGTCCATCATATCATAACAACACACAATTTCTAGCCATTATCACATGAATGTTATTATAGTGCTGTATCCAAGATCGAAATACCAAGTATCTATTACTAGATATAAGTGAATTATGACGTCTGGTCAATGTGGTTTCTGTTCTAGATGGTGTTATCATTGTCAATGAGGATAGTGTTCTCGATTATGAAGCTGTTTTTACCTACAATATCACCATAAATGTGAATGACAGCACAACAATGGACATATTCAACCTAAGCATCAACCTAATTGATGTGAACGAGCCTCCTAGATTTTTACAATACAACCAATCGATACAGATTGAAGAAGAACAGGTAAGAAATACACCAGTTTATAAACACTGCTATTTAAATTACTTTTTGAGATGTTCATTGAGGTATTGTAGGGCGTGACATAACGTTCTTGCAAAAGTGCTCTATTTTTTGTTTCTCTGTTAATGTGGCTAAAATGTGCAACAGATCAGTGCAAATCAGGGATATCTGGATTTGATTCCTTATCACTGTCAAAAGAGAAACGACAAAAAAGGTATCAAAGGCACATACGAGAAGTATGCAGTGATAAGTAATCAAATCCCGATATTCCCCAAACACCGATCTGCTGCACAGAGAAACATTGTTTTAAAACCAATCAAATCAATCAATTAAAATCAATATGTAAAATCATATCATGAGACATTTTAATCATATACTGTATATATGTCAGTGTAATACATGCTGAAGGAGAATTACACGTTCATATTTCAAAACTTAAAAATATGTCCACTTAGTTTGTTTGGTCGTTTTTTTATATTATTTGCTTTGATTTACTCTATATGTTATAGAGTATAGGGTTTACCATTCCGCTGTCTATCACAGCCAATGACGAAGATGTTGGTGATTCACTATACTATTGGATATCACAACAAACAAACGCCACCTATTTCAATCTTAGAAACTCACCTGATGTTGGACTTGAGCTAGCTGACCGGATCGATTTTGATGACAATACCATCCCAAGAGTATATCATCTAGGTGTGTTATATCATAATCAATCAATACATAGAAAAGCATACGATGATAAATGAATATGCTAGGACAATAAATTACTATAAGAGTAGACGATGATTGAAATACGAAACGATTGTAAAGTGTCAAACAAAACTTACCCAAATCGAAATCCATTAATCCTGTTTGAGGGTATCAAATTGCATGCCGTGAGTAGCAATGAATTCAGTAATAATTGATAAGGTTTACATGTCATTCTTCGTTTTTTCAGAGGTCTATGTCAACGATAGTGGTGGTCTCACAGACAAACTACATGTCTATATAAACATTACCAATGTAAATGACAATAGTCCCAAATGGGTTCCAGACACATACAATAAAACAATCGAAAAATCCCAATCCATTGCGGCAGAAATTATGCAAATCAACCTAGCAATAGATGAAGATGATGATGATTGTTTGCTATCATATACTATAAGTGGAACTAACTCAGAGTCATTTACTTTGAACTCCGATGGATTATTATCGATGTCCTCAAATATGGAATTTACCCCGGGTGATTTGATGATATTAGTTTTAACTGCAACTGACTGCGGATCACCATCTCGAAGTGGTAACGCAACAATATCACTCGGTATAAAAAATGAAACGGTCACAACAGAAATGACATCTATAGAAATGACATCTACAGAGATGACATCTATAGAAACAACAAATACAGCAAGTCAAACCACAACTAGTGACACTAACAGTTTAGTTAGTCATCCCGAAGAAGGATACATATACTCTTACACAACCAGACAAACGGCATCAACAAATATAATTAATGAAAATAGTAGTAGCACCAGTATATCCATAGGTGAAAATAATGACGTTAGTACCACTGGTATATCCATAGGTGAAAATAATGACATGTACAATAGTACCATTGGTATATCCATCAGTGAGGGTACTGACAATAGTGCAAATACCAATGAAATACATGAAAATGTTGGCCCTGCAACAGCAACAATACCTACCGTAACTACAGAATTGAGAAATATGAACAGCTCCAAGCAAGTGGAAACTATGGAGACCTCTAGCGTTGCCTGGGTATCAGGAGTGGTCGTAGGTGTGTTGTTGGTCGCAGTTGCACTGATCGTAGGATCGATTTTGTATACTAAGAAGAGGTACTTGTCTTTTCTGTATTGTTATGACTTTGAGTAAGGATTATTTTTCAATTTTCGCATGGCTCCTTTGGTGTTTCCTGTTTCCAACATACTTGAATATACATTGAGCTAGATTTTGTTTTACCTAACTATATACACCGTCTGTGTTTTTGTTTCAGAAACCAAAAGCGAGAAAAGAAACAACTTGACAATAATGAAATGGATGATACAGAATCATTTTATGAAGAAAAACAAACTGCTAATAAAACAGGAACGCCATTAAAGACATTTGACTTTAGATACAATAAAACGCCACCTAACGAGGGGATTATCTCACTTACTGATCTACCGCCATCTATACCCCCAAGAAAGATGCAATATACAGATGAACCCGAAACCCCACATCTGACACCAACACAAAGTGTGAAACACCTAAAAACATCTTCAATTGATAGCATAGTGAGGTCAAAGAGGATTTTAGATGGTTACAATGATGCAACTAATAGTACGAGTCAGTCACGTGAATCAACTCAAGACATGTTAACTGTACCGGAAACATATACAATGCCAAATTCAACCATCCCAGTAGCATTATCAGGAAGTAACATATCAATGAGTGTTGGCTCACTTAAGTCAGAACGGTCAATAACTAGCAGTGTAGACGCCAGCAGTGGGTATGAAACGGAAGATAAAACAAATGGTTATGTAATATGATAATCTAATTATGCAATACTTTATATAAAACATTATATATGATTTTTTATAATTGGAATAAAACCACTTCATACACATTCATACATACATAGCGGTAATCAATAAATTAGTATTTGTGTAACAACCGGTGGGCACGCTCGTCCGGGGAGATATAGTGTAACGAGTCAGATACAAGAAATGAAAGGGAGTGTACTAAATTCAATGCCCCGTACGGGAATCGCTCCAAAGCTGGACCGTATCAGCGACGTTTGCAATTTTCGAAACCTGTCGGCGACTAGTATTTTAGTCCTTTATTAACTGAGTAGGTCAGTGTCGTTCGTTATCTCCAATTCACACAAAGCTAGGCAAGGTGTGTCCAAATCCAGCCAATCAGAACACGCTATTTCACGTATTGCATTAGGCATTTGTTGTATGGTTGTCAAAGTGAGTAGATTGAAATTGATGCTTTGTCAACTTGACCGTTGCAAAAAGTTTTACAATGTGTAAAAATAATTCAAGCCCAAGACTCAATGCATTGTGGCTGCTTCATTCCACTCAGGCATTGTTTCCTAAACGTTTCATTCCCGCTGCCCGGGAGCCCGGGGCTTAAATCATTCATTGACCCATTGCGAATGTAAACGAAAGATGTTTGGACCCCTTTTTATTCCTTTATCCACATATATAAGTTGTAGTCCGTAGAGAGTACAATCAATTCCCTAGAGCGTGTGCTATACAGCATCGCCCCCCGAACTTGCCGTACTGTAAAACAAATCGTGAAATACGGAATGGTCATCCGCAATTGATGATAAAGTCATCATTTTTCATAAAATTATCAGTTTTATCACACAAATAGTGACTGCCATTGATGGAAATAGTGCAATATATTTTTCCCGAGGGAATATCCTGTCCAGTGACATGTCAGTAGACAGGATATTCCCGAGGGGAAAATTTTTACAATATTTCCCTAAAATGTGGCAGTCACTATTTGTTTTATTGTATACCCCATATGTACTCTGTAAACAAAAACAAAATGAGAAGTCTTTTCATTTGAACATTTAATGTTGAAATTTAACATTGTTGACAGGTTCTTATTGGTACTTAAAGGTATTTTGCCTTTCAATTCCTATAATATCAGCTATCAGGGAAAATAAAACATACCAATGACTGGTCACATGACCTAACTGGTGATTAGTACATTTCATCTTCCTTGATAGCAGGAATTTAGAACTTTGCAGGGATTAGTTCATCTATTTCATATCATGTGACCATGAATGAGCCAATGAGCATCTATAATACATATGGGGTATATAATAATCCGTATTATTATATATCTCAAATGTATTCTAGATGCTCATTGGCTTATCCATGGTCACATGACATGGAATAGATGAACTAATTCCCTGGAAAGTCCTAAATCCATGCTTTCAGGGAAGATGAATTGTACTAATCACCAGTTAGGTCATGTGACCAGTCAATAGTACGTTTTATCTTCCCCCAAATCTGAGATTATAGGAGTTGAAAGGTAAAATGCCTTTAAATGCCAATAAGAACCTGTGAACATTTGATATTGAAATGAAAAGACTTCTCATTTTATTATTGTTTACAGAGTACTTATCAGGTATATAATAAAACAAATAGTGACTGCCACATTTTCGGGAAATAGTGTAAAAATTTTCCTCTCGGGAATATCCTGTCAACTGACTTGTTCCCTCGGCCTGCAGCCTCGGGAACATGTCAGTGGACAGGATATTCCCTTGAGGAAAATATTTTGCACTATTTCCCTCAATAGCAGTCACTATTTGTATAATGATGTAGACAACCCGACTAATACGGAATGGGTATCAACAATCAACAGTGCGTATAAAAGCACAGTATTTTATGTATAATAAAATATATTCTCCGCAAACAAATCGTGGCTCGAGTACAATACGCTCATTTTGAAAACAAAAATATCAAACGAGACAACGCTGCACATCAGCATGCATTTATTTAGCACTTCTCTCGTTTTCGTGATTTCAACCATTGTGTTATCCACTGCGGACCAATGCTGCGAAAAACAAAACAAAAAAATGAATAAAGAGCTGAGAAAATACAAACGTGAGATGAGTGATGAGTTTTCCAGTTTACGAAAAGAAGTAAGGGAGTTGATGGGGAAAGTGGTTCTAAAACCAGGTTAGTTCATACACATTATAGTCTTGAAGTAAAAGAGAGAGTTAATGGGGAAAGTAGTTCTAAAACCAGGTTAGTTCAAACACAAATGCATAGCCGTAGGCACCGGGGGTTCGGTGGGTTCGGGCGAACCCCCGGCCAGGATTTCCCCGAAAAATTATTTTGTGCAAAAAATCACAGCAATAAGCAGAAACATTAATTTACTGTGCAATTTCAAAACTTTATATGATCAATAAATAAGTTCATATTTGTTATCACTGTGAAAAAAGCCAAATATAGTTTGTACTATAGTAAACTATTTTTTAGAATAACCCCCATATAGTTTGAATTTCACCTAAAATATGGGCGAGAATAGTTTCTCCCATATTCCTAAAAACGGAACACTTTAATATAAGTCCTGATATACTCTCCGGTACGCCCATATAAACTAAAATAAGTTGCATATATCATTGCAGAGTGTATATCTTTACTGAACTATTTTCCACTTATACGCCTCAAAGTAAGAATCAAACCTACTATATGCGGTGAAAAACAACTTATATTAAATAAAAACAGACTATATCAAACTATACTTGACTTATTCTTCTCTTATTCTACCTCAAAACAAACTATACGCGTCTTATACGCGATATTACGTAATAGCTTCAGTTCCCGAGTTTGTTGTTTTAACAGATTAGAAGCAAAGTACAGCATTGAATGTATTTTGTTTTCAATGCTAATTAATTCGCTTGTTCAGATTAATCTGGTCATTTCTATAACTGAGGGTTCTAATTTCCATCAAAAAGTCATTTAGAAATTAAGCTTTTTACTTTAACTAAATTGGACAATGACAATCGAATTATAATTAACACCGTGTTAAATTTTGGATTCATTTCATTAAGTCTGTGGAAAGTTACATTTTTCAATTCACTTGGTATTGAAGTAAAAATAATATAGAAAAAAATTTAATATAGTTGCAATAAGAGGGAATCGTAGAGAATATTTTTTCCTGTATGGTAAGCAGTTATTTCCTGTATTATAGCGAAATAAGATATAATAACTATTTTTAAAAATTAATTTTTCTTTAATAATATTATTCGTGTATTATTTGAAGGGAACAACATATAATGCCATATAATATAGAATAATATTCTAGTCAGGAGCAAATAATATGTTGGCATTTGCAATCAAAAGCGGATTATATGCGTTTATTTTTGAGCCATTAATCCCTAAGTATTCCATTCCTATGAAATGAGTTTCATTCACACTAATTAATCCGTTTGTTCTTATTTCTCAAAAAATTATTTGCAAATTAAGTTTTTACATATTTATTTGATTGAATAATGTCCCTCGAGTTATGATTAAGATTGTGTTAAATTTTGGATTCAATTGATCAATTCATTGGAAAGTTAATTTTTTATTCTTAACATTTTTACTCTATTGTTTCTCTGTCACATCAGGTTTACAACAAACAACATTTAAATCCCCCTCTTATACAGGTACAAACAACCACCTGTACTATTCACTTTGCCAACCAAAAACAATAATTCAATTAATATATTACGCATTTTATACAAGCCCCTACCTAAGGACCCCCTTCCCCTGGCCAACAATTCTTTAAAGAAATGCAGTTTTCACCATTCACATACATGTATTGACATGTCAGAGTAATGTTATTAGTAAAACTTTAATCCCTAAGTATTCAATTTCTATGAATTGAGTTTTGTTCACCCTGATAAATAATCTGTTTGTTAGAGTTAATGGATTAATTTCTACAGCCTACATGTATGGCTCTAATTTCCACAAAAAATACAAATTAATTTTTTCATATTTATTTGATTGTATAGTGTACCTCGTGCTATGATTAACATTGTGTTAAAATTTGGATTCAATCAATTAACTCATTGGGAAGTAATTTTTTGATTTTTAATTATGGGGTTTCCTCACAATTTAACTCCATTGTTTCTCTGTAACATTAAGTTTAATACAACAAACAACATTTAAAGCCCTCTCTTACACAGACACAAACAAACACCACTATTCACTTTGCAAACCACACAAAACGTTTATAACACAAAATTGCAAAAATATTCAGCTCAATATATCACGCCTTTGATACGTACAGGTCTGTGGCCATGAGGGAGGGTCATTGGGTTCATGTGAATCCCCCACCCCCTTGCCAAGATTCTTTCAAAATCATACAGTTTTCACCAATCTGAGCACTGTCAAGTGATTTTTGGCCCCCTTGGTACGTTTTGAAAATTGACCCCCTGAGCTCAAACTTATCATGAGCCTGTAATATACCAGAAATATTGCTCAGATTTCATCTGACAAATCACTTATAATGAATTAGGAAATAACATGCATTATGTAAATGATACAAGTAGTATTAAGCCATATTAAAACAAAGTTAAAACTTGTATTCTTTCACATTTCACAATTCGTGTGTTTTCTGTTATCCATATGATATCTGAGATAGACACCCGTGATAAACAACAGAGATTAGCCCGTGCAATACAATTGTTTCTTTTAGAATTGGACCATTTCTGTTTATAACAGCTGGTTTTATTAATCATTCTTTGTTTTCCGTTTCAATATATACATATACAAAAGGTGCAAGATTCGGTATGTTTAGTTGATAACGTAATAATGCAAATAAAAAAACGGGCGCATTTTACATTCATTGCAAATGTTTCATCTGACAAATTGATGATTATGTTTTGAGCAAATTGGTGCATGGAAGAACAAACTGATGCAAATAACATACAGTATGGACATACAGCTACATGTATGTCAGAGCAATATGATAAGTAAGACTTTAATCCCTAATTATTCAATTTCTATTAAATGAGTTTTGTTAACACTGATTACTAATCTGTTTGTTAGAGTCAATGGATTAATTTCCTACAGCCAACGATTCTAAGTTCCACAAAAAACAGTTTTGCAAATTATGTTTTTTTTATTTATTTGATTGTATATTATCCCCCATGTTATGATTAACATTGTGTTAAAATTTGGATTCAATCGATCAATTCATTGGAAAAATAATTTTTTAATTCTTAATAAATAAGTTTTCCCAGAGACATATGTTTTTCATGTCTCTGGTTTTCCTCACATGTTTACTCTATTGTTTCTCTGTCCCATCAAGGTTACACTAAACAAAATTTAAATGCCCCTCTTATATTACACAGGCACAACCACCTGTTTTCACTTTGTCAGCCAAAAAACAGTCTTGACACAGAAATGCTCAATATTCAGCTACATGTAAATACATTACGCATTTTATACAGGCCCGTACCTAGCGACCCCCTCCCCTTGGCCAACAATTCTTTCAAGATCATGCAGTTTTTCACCATCTCGTACATGTATTGACATGACAGAGCAATATAAATAAAACTTTAATCCCCAAGTATTTAATTTCTATGACATGAGTTTTGTTCAATGATGACTAATCCGTTTGTTATGAATTAAAGGATTAATATGTGTCCCTCTTGCTATGATTAATATTGTGTTAAAATTTGGAATTAATCGATTAACTCATTGAAAAGTAAAGTTTTTGATTTTTAATAAATGACTTTTCTTCACCTTTAATCCACAGTTATTACCCAAATGTTGAAAGAAACAGTGAAAGGTTAAACTAGGCTCATGAGTATGTTTCAATTTGAGACAGTATGTGATGTGCTCCAGGTACATCAGTATATTAAAAAGTTCAATTTGGCGCATTAGTATAGTTCAATTTGGCGCATTATTTATGATGTTCAAAGTACATCCTTACAGTGAAAGATTAAACTTGGCTCATGAGTATGTTTCAATTTGGTGCATAGTATGTCATGTGCTCCAAATACATCAGTATTTTAAAACGCTCAATTTGGCGCGTTTGTACAGACCAATTTGGCGCTCTAAGTTCATCAGTATATTAAAAAGTTCAATTTGGCGCATACATTGGTATAGTTCAATTTGGCGCGTTATTTATGATGTTCAAAATACATCATTATATTGAAAGGTTAAACTTGGCTCGTGAGTATGTTTCAATTTAAGACATAGTATGTTATATGCTCTAAGTTCGTCAGTATATTAAAAAGCTCAATTTGGCGTATTATCATAATTCAATTTGATGCGTTATTCATGATGTTCAAGGTACATCCTTCCATTGAAAGGTTAAACTTGGCTCATGAGTATGTTTCAATGGGACATAGTATGTGATGTGCTCCAAATTCATCAGTATATTAAAAAGTTCAATTTGGCACATTATCATAATTCAATTTGGCGCGTTATTTATGATGTACATCCTTACATTGAAAGGTTAAACTTGCTCATGAGTATGTTTCAATGGGACATAGTATGTGATGTGCTCCAAGTTCATCGGTATAATAAAAAGTTCAATTTGGCGCATTATCATAGTTCAATTTGGCGCGTTATTTATGATGTTCAAAGTACATCCTTACATTGAAAGGTTACACTTGGTTCATGAGTATGTTTCAATGGGACATAGTATGTGATGTGCTCCAAGTTCATCAGTATATTAAAAAGTTCCATTTGGCGCATTATCATAGTTCAATTTGGTGCAGTTATTTATGATGTTCAAAGTACATCCTTACATTGAAAGGTTAAACTTGGCTCATGAGTATGTTTCAATTTGGGACATAGTATGTGATGTGCTGTAAGTTCAATATGGCACATTATCATAGTTCAATTTGGCGCGTTATTTATGATGTTCAAAGTACATCCTTACATTGAAAGATTAAACTTGGCTCATGAGTATGTTTCAATGGGACATAGTATGTGATGTGCTCCAAGTTCATCAGTATATTAAAAAGTTCAATTTGGCGCATTATCATAGTTCAATTTGGCGCGTTATTTATGATGTTCAAAGTACATCCTTACATTGAAAGGTTAAACTTGGCTCATGAGTATGTTTCAATTTGGGACATAGTATGTGATGTACTGTAAGTTCATCAGTATATTAAAAAGTACAATTTGGCGCATTATTATAGTTCAATTTGGTGCATTATTTATGATGTTCA